TATGGAGTTTTATAGTAATAGATCTACATGAAACAACCAGTTGACTTTGAAGTCAAAGGCCAAGAGAGATTAGTTTGTAGATTGTTAAAATCATTGTATGGACAAAAGCAAACTCTTGGGCAGTGAAACACGCGTTTTGATCAATTTATGAAGGCAAAAGGTTTTTACGGAGCATGTGTGATCATTGTGTCCACATGAAGAAGTTGAATGATTTGACATTCAATCTCATCATTCTAGTACTCTACATTGACGACATGTTCATATTGACGAAGAACTAATCCAATGTTGATAAATGCAAGAGTAAGTTGAAGTCTTCATTTGAGATGAAAAATATGGAGTAATCAAAAAGAATATTAGGCATGGATATTCATATGAATTTTGAACAGCGAAGGCTCTGATTAAGTCAGTGCAAATATGTTCGATGTATACTTGAGAGGTTTAACATGACAAATTTTAAAAGAGTATGGACTACTTTACCAGCACATTATAAACTCTTCATAGCTCAATGTCCTACCGATGCTATGAAGAAAGGAAGAATGGCATGTGCTCCCTATGAATAACCTGTGTGCACCTCATGTATTTGATGGTGTGCACTAGGCCGTATATTGTCTTTGCGATGGGCAAGGTGAGCAGGTACATGTCGAATCCAAAAAAAGTTCAATGGGAAGCAGTGAAATGGATTTGAGATATTTGAAGAGTACTATGGATTATGGCTTAAAGTTTGATAGTTTATTAGACAATGCCAAATCCTTATTTGACTATGTTGATGGTGACTATGGACAAGATCTAGATAAAAAAAGATCTACAATTGGATATGTGTTTACACTTGGCGGTGGAAGCATTAGTTGGAGTTCTGTCTTGAAAAAATGCATAGTTCAGTCAACAACGGAAGTTGACTATGTGGCAGAAGCAGAAGCGGCAAAGGAAGATATTTGGTTGGATAGACTTATCATGGAAATGGAATTTACGTAGTACGTGGTTAATCTTCATTGAGTGCTTAATATTTGGTTGCTTATCAGGTCATGGATAGTAGAGTGAAGCACATCGACATCAGGTACCACTTTATCAAACAATCAGTGTCTGATAAAACGATTGAGTTTGTCAAGATTAACAATAAACTCAATCCAGTTGATGCTTTGACTAAAGTTATTCTTTAGAGAGTTTCAGCCGACACTGTGCTATCATGGAGATTGTGCATGGAGAGCACATGTAGAGTTTGCTAGAATAGTAACTTCTAGTTAACTCTTTATGTTATTATTCTATCTTAATATGACTACGGTTTAGTTATAATTAATTCTGGTGTAAAGAGGGTACTTGTGTTAGAATTCTGTCTAGAATTCTAACACACAGCTGAGTAACAATATAAGTCACATAGGTTATTGTTACCTTAACGAGAGTTAAGGAAAGATTGTTGATGTTAATTCTTGTTAATGAGGGTTTAGGGTTTAACTATCTATAGCTAGGTTTGTTGTTGTTGTTGTTGGTGTTGGATTTATATAACCCCCAAGGCTTCTACTCTGTACGCACTGCATTTAGTTATAAGTAAACTATTTCGCATGTTTCAACCGTGAACGTAGACCTTGAAGTTGAGTCACATTATATGACGTGTCTCTCGTGTTCGTGCTTGATTTAAATGTTTCACTAAGATTCTTTGTTTTACGTTAATGACATATAGATATCAACATAACTTACTTAATTGTTGTTATCATATATTATAACAAACTTTTAAAAGATTCATCATTGATTATATAAGCATCATGTAGTCTAACTCCATGCATTTTAACGGAAAAATAGATTATTTAAAACATTATTGAGAGTCAAATCAATGCAATCATGTTTACAAATTAGATAAAGGAGAAATTCAATGTGGGGTCGGAAAAGTAGCACTGTAAATTTTGTGGTTTATTCAATACTCGCTATATGTAAAATATTTTACTACATCATGACACAAAGATGTGTATTCTTTAGATTATACATTAAGCTGCGCAAAAACATCTTTAGATTATACATTAAGCTGCGCAAAAACATCTCTCGATGTGAAAGCAACGACTTGTGAAATTTTCATCTCCATGGAAATAGTAAATCGAAGTTGATGGCAGTGCTAAGAAATCTGAACTAATTTTGATATAACAGAATTTATTTGAAAATCTCATCACAGTTCATACTGAACTTATGGGCATGTATTTGGATGTAAGAACCTGAATTATAACTTTCCGAACCAGCTCCTTAATGTAAGCTAGAAGAAAGCACTCGTCAATTCATTCTCACTGCGAATCGACGGAGTTCACTCTAACCATATCTGAGTGCCAACTCTTTTCATCCATGTGGTAGAATGGGAAAACTCTACAATTTTGCAATGTCTAAACATGCATCATCATTTTCGGATAACAGCCTCAAAGCATCCAAAATCTTGGATTGAGACCTTGCATCTTTTGTGTTGTAAATATGTCAAGATAGACTAATTCTTTTACAGCATCAATGGACTAGATTGTGTTCTACATTCCAATATTTGACTTGTAGTTGGATGAGGTTCAATAATTAATGCTGATTTTGCTTGTTTTAAGATACGTGTGCAGCGTCATCGCTCAACTCCACATCATTCTCGTGGCAGCAGAGCCCTATATCCATCGAATATGACCTGTCTCCAGGGCACGATTAGTACTGCTGTCAAGCAAGCTAAAGCGTCTCCTAGACCCTGATTTGATAATTGATGAAAACTTGCAAAGCAGTGTAAAGCGGAACACCAGACAAACTCTGAGAACTAGTGGACCGCATTGTGATAAGGCAAATCATTCATTTATGCCCAAAGGCTGTCATAAAGAAAAAGGAAAAACTCGTGCTTTCAAGTTCAGGGACACGTATGAAGTAATATTGCAGCGTGTAACATTTCTCTCCTATGCCTGATTCTCCGGATCACTGTCAAAGTGATTTCCAATTTCGAGAGAACAACAGTTTGCGAAATTGTATTCTTTCAATCGATCGACAAAAATTGATCCGCAGGGCAATAAGAAGCAAATATTTCGACAAAAATTAGCTGATTAATCTCTTGCGGATATTTTCGTAATTTTCTCTCTGAACAAACGACAGATTGATTGACATTGGCAGCTATGACTTAACGAAAACCACTTTCTTAACATAAATTCCATGCATGTCCTTACAGACGTACTTTGCACAACAGATTCTTGTCATTGAAACGAACTGACAAGTTTACTTAATCAAGTACAGAAGATGTGGAACGCTGCAATAGTTGAGATTAAAGCGGAGAAAAACTCGTGCTGAAGACCAGATGCGTAATATACTATCTTAGGATATCCTTTCTGGATTTCGTCCCAACATTCTGGATCTTATATCTTACATCCTTACTTTTCATTCCCACCTTTATTCCGATCGACCTATCGGCTTGAAATATGACCCTATTCCTTAAGCGTAGACCTGGGTATACGCTTGTGTTCTTCAAAAGTCCTCGTATCTGGAATTAACTGCAGACACCTTCTATCTGCCGCTCCAGCTTCCAAGCTCTTCGTCATTCCTCATCACGTCCCCGCCATTCTACCTAATATCTCACATTCAATTCTCGGAATCTAGGCACGTAGCATGACACTACAACTCCAGCGCACCCTCCACGAAAGCGGTCTTTAGAAGTCTTAATTTCTGAATTTTACTGCAGGTTTCTACATCTGCTGCTCAGCCTTCTGGGCTCATTATCTACCTCTTCACCTATCGTGTCCACCGCCTTTCTACCTACTATCTCCTTCTCTAGTCTCTGCTCAGGTCAACTCAACTCGATGGCCCTCCCTGCCTGGCTCTAAGGATACATGTCCTCCGATCAGAAAGTACATTTGCCAACTCAAGGATTTCATAAAAAATTTGAATGATTGTATCGCACGATAAGGTACTAGAATGAGTAAGAAAATGCCAATCCACCTACTCGAGCTTTAGGTACAGGCCTCCTATCTAATTACCGGGGTTTGCTTTGGCTTCTCTAGTGCTCAATAGGAGATCATCGCTCTGAACCGCGAATTCAGCAGACTACGGTTCATTCCTGCTCTGGTCCATCAAACCATGTAAATATCGGACTAAGTTTTGCAACAGTGCCCGCTTCGCCTGTACATACATCCTCAACTGTAACTACCATCTACTTCTTGTAAACAATTTATTTTACTCCTTGCGGTAAATCACTGTCCAACTACCAAGGTTAACAAGAAAGGGGTTTAAATGCTTGGACTGAGGATGAGGTTCAGCAGCAGAACGGAAAGAGAATGATGCACGTTAGTGCACTGACTTTCCGTTTCAACCAATTCGAACCCGAATGGAAAAACTGACAGTTTCTCAGGAGGCACTGTGGAGCATGCGAAGGCTTTCCATAAATTCAGATCAACCGTGCGCAAGCCTCTGCCCAATGCTTATGACAACGTTGATTCGAATGCGCCGAACGACCTAGATTGCTGATGCATACTTCTCGAACGAGATAGTCGTTTGAATCTTTTCATTCGGTTCTAAAGCGCAGAATCAAACGAGATGCCGTTACATGTTACATGTTACCTACCTGGCAAGTAATTTTCACGAAGTCCCGGTCCTAGCAGCAGTTACATCTACTCTAAATGCGGTATTTCGCTCCTAGCGTACCACATTCTCAACCACTCAGCTGCACCCCCTGATCAGAAGAGGAAGATTGACCTCCACATGTCCCGGGTACCACAGGATCTATGCTGAAACTGAGAAGGTTAAACAGATGAATGCCCTAATACCAACGTGAGGACGTGGACAACTCGTTGCAGAAGTATATCAATGTGACAAATTGCCACTTGAATACATCCACCCCGAATTTGACTAATCGGATACCACAGAATGAATCTGTATCTCAAGAAGCTCACATTCCTTCGTGTCCTGATACCCGACTTCGAGACAATGCCCTTCTCTACTCCAGGGAAAAAAAAACTCCCTTTCAGGAGTCTAGCACATCCTGACGAGTCCAATCCATCGACAGTGATCATTTTGAATCCCCCAAGTAAATAAGTATATAAGAAGTGTTTCAAAGTGCCACCATACATTGGCGGCTTTTCTTCGATACGGTATGAACAATGAGAGTTACCCAAGAGTTTGTACATGCTGGTGATATGTCATCTCGGATCGGGAAAATTTATGAAGAGGCGAGAATCTCTTGAAGAATTTCCACCATCGTCCGTGCCTCACCGTCATTGTTCTCCGCGTCGCCACCGGACTCCAACACTGCGGCATCTAACACCAGCTTGCGCTGTGCAATATTGTAAATATTTTCATCCACACTACCCTTGCTTACAAGCCTGTACACAGTTACAGGTTTGGTTTGACCAATCCTATGACACCTATCTTCTGCCTGTCTATCCATTTGGGGATTGAAATCGACATCATGAATTATAACGGTATCGGCTCCCGTCAAGTTCAAACCTTGACCCCCCGCCCTGGTTGATAGGAGAAAAGCAAAAATTTCAGGATCGTTGTTAAAGGAGTCCACAATCTCCTGACGATCTCTTACCTGCGTACTTCCATCAAGCCTAACGTAAGAGAGGTCCATTACGTCCAGGGCCCACTCCAGGATATCGAGCATTTGAGTCCACTGGCTGAAAATCAGAGGCCGATGGCCCATGCTTTTCAACTCGGGAAGCAATTTAGCTAGGACCTGGCATTTAACTGAAGCTAACGGATGTCCATCATTTAACTTGCCTGCGAAACTAGGACCCTTCAGACCTTCAGTCAAGCATAACTTATACAAACCGTGATCGTTGTAAGCTTTGAGCTCGTCCCGAACACGCTCCTCAGTACACTGATTGCCAAACGTTTCTCGGGCATGGCATTTCCGCGCCAAAATCTCCACGTCCTTGTCGGTGTAGATGCGTCTAATGAGTAAAGGGTGGTTGGCTATCTTCCGAAGTTGAGTGAAAATGTTATGCATTTGCCGTTTCGGCAAGACGGCATCAAATGCAGATCCGTTCGAAGATTTGGCATTTCGCACGGAAAGTGCCATCTCTCGATACTCCTCCACATTCTCCTTGTAAGCCAAAGCCTGATCAGGCAGCATGTTTACGCACTCCACCTTGTGAATTTTAGGGACCAGCTGCTGCATAACGTCGCTCTTCAGGCGCCTTAACACAAAAGGACCCAAAATAGCTTTCATTTGTCCGATCAGGTCCCTATCTTCTTGTAACGCAGATGCTGTGGTGTTTCGGCTCCCCAGCACCTTACTCAAATCTACTTTACCGGTGTCGAAAATGTCAGGTAGGAGAAATTCTAAAAGGGCCCAGAGCTCTTGCAGGTCGTTTTGCAATGGGGTGCCAGTGAGCATCACTCTTTGTCTTGCCTTTTGGGCTAGTTCTCTTAAACGTCTGGTCCTCAAACTGCCCTTGTCTTTCAGAAAGTGGGCTTCATCCATCATGACGCAACTCCACTTCCAGCTCCGCAAAAACACACGATCGTCTTTTTGCTGAGCACTCCGCCTTTCGAAGAGGGTATAACAGGTCAACATCACATTGAACGGTAATCTCACTCCGGATTTCTTCTGGGCTTGGAGATCCCGAATAAGACTGGCTCTCTCATTGCCATGAAACAGCACTACATTGAACGAAGGGCACCACTTATTTAATTCTCGCTGCCAATTATCCAGCAATGAGGCTGGAGCAACGATCAAGTGAGGGCCGGGGTCTTTATCCAAGTGCTTCAACAGGGCCAAGAATGCGACAGCTTGCACTGTCTTCCCCAGACCCATCTCGTCGGCAAGAATCGCTCCTCCGACATTCTTCCGATTTAAGAGCAGCATGAAATTCACACCCACCAGCTGGTACGGCTTCAAGATCTGTCCATTAACGCCACCTATGCCACAAGCGGCACAGACATCTGCCTGAGAAACAATTTTCGCTTGAGATACATCCACCGCCGCATACCTGTCCTCCAGAAGGGCGTTCGGAGAAAGTTCATGACGTAGATCCGCCGCTATGCGATCGCACTTCTGCAACGTTTTGAAAATCAGGTCGAGCTCGTCGTTGCTCTCTTCCTGTTCCACATCATCGACTTCATCGGCCTCTTCTAGCTCGTCTTGATGAAGAAGCTGGGCAATTGCTTCATCATCGGCGGCGGATGTACCTCTATTATTTCCTCTAGAGCTCCAGCCAGACTTCGCATTGTCAAGGGCTTTCTGATCATCCAGATTGGGTTCATAGTCTTCATCATCGTCGCTGCTGTCAGCAACCCTAAACTTCCTTCCTTTCGGTCGTCGCGTATTTTCGCTAACAGTGGGAGGTTCCTCCAGAGCTTCCGGCTCTGGATCGAGGACCTCTTCGGATACACTTTTCACAGCTCCACGTCTAGAAGAAGAACTTCCTTCCGAGATCTTCCGGGGAGGTTTAAATTGAAAACTTTCAATCGGAGGGGGAGCTGCGGATCGGGGTGATTTCACGATCATGCAATCGTCTACCTCACCAGCAGCGTTGGATTCTGGGATGTCACAGATTTTACGCAACCTCTTCCTGGAGTTGGTGACCAGATTGTGCCTTGGACCCAGAACTCTCGAGACACGTACTTGAACGTACGAACCTCCCTTATCTTCGTCCATAATATCTTTCATGAAACGCTTCATAGTCCCAGGCTAATTACAGACCGCTTGAGATTCGATTGATGGTACTTCACGGAGGACCGAAGGTTGACACCCCAGACCTAAAGACTGACAGAAATCATCGGAAAAACGACCAGCACTGGGCCGGACCTCACCCAGTGAGTGGCAATGACAGGTGGTCCAATGCATTCAATATGATGGATCATCCCGGGCGTTCGATTACTGCTGTTCCACGATAATGACGAACTCCCTCCGATCGCGAGAAGACAGCCGTGTCAAAACCAACTCCAAATTGTACAACATTGGTCACAACTATAGATGAACAGTAACCCTAATATTGCAGGGCACCTGTTTCGAAATAGAACTTCACAGCCTCCTCGTCCCTCCACATACTCCGCAAACGACTTTCTATCTCTCTCTTCCTTTCTACGCTGGGCAACAATTCCAGCCGCTGTTCGCCTGTCTCGTTTTGCCTCTCGTCGTGGCAACAAAATTCCAATCCTCTGAAGAAATCTGAATCCTCATTTTCGGCCTACCCACCGACGGTCCGACCACGGTATGCTGTCCCGCTGACTATCAACGAGAACAACAACAAAAAGCTGATCGACAAAGAAAATGAATGGAATCGGCGGTAAACCTACTCACGCCCATGGAGCCACGAACACGCGAGGACTGAAGAACACCGAAAACGAAGGAGACCAGCTCCGTTTTGACCAAACCGGTTGGGATTCGCTCTCCCGATGCTCTTCCTCCACCTCCTCCACCTCTCTTCCGACCTGTCGCCTCCTCTCCCTCTGCAGTTGAAGTTCCTGATGTCTACTCCGTACGACTCGAGTGGAGCCCAATCCACTGACTGTAACTCCAACCAAAAACACCAAGCGAGACAGATCCCGCCTTCAGACACTCAATCCAACGCTTCTGTTCAGACTTCCCAGTCGATTGCTATCCCCCGAGATCGCTCCAAGGCGTCTCTCACTTTCTCTCTCTCTCTCTCCCCCGAGATCGCTCCAAGGCGTCTCTCACTCTCTCACTCTCTCTCTCTCTCTCTCTTAGCGTAAAGCAAACCATCGGACTCACCGAAGTTCAGGCGTCTCAAGGCACAGACATCAATCAGCCGCACGAGAGTGAACAGGAGAGGGTGTGTAGGAAACGGGACATGGAGGGAAAACACAAGAAATGAACACCCGCCAAATGCGAATCCAGCACAAACATACAAAACTCGTTGACGTCGCCCCACAGACCTTCCTTCGAGCCCTTCCCTCGCTCGCTCCTCGAATTCGCTCTCTTCCCTCCCGGACCTCTCCTCTCCTTCCTTGCGTTTCCTTCTTTCCTTCTTTCCTGCTCTCAACCGTTGGCGCAGAGATTCCGAGCCACGAATCACGATTTGTCTGCCATCGCGCGGAACACGACAAAATACTCGTTTAGCGCCAAAGCCAAAGGAGGTATGGGCACAAAGGCGCCAAAACCAACACGGTGGCAAAGCGGGCTCTGTGTAGGCGCCAGCTGAAGCTTCGGCTGTCTGAGGACCAGTCGACCATTCCCGACCCGAGAAGACCTGGGCCCAGGGCCCGCCTGCTCCGCTGACGTCGTCCCGCAGATGCGGGCCCACCCGTGCTTTTCTCGGCCAATGAGAAGTGACCACGGTGGTGAGTGCGACTGTGATCGGATCAATGATTAAGGCCTGAGATGATGGCATTCATGGCCCTGCAAAGCTGACTGGCGAAAAATCTGTGGAATTTTCGGTGTACAGCATGTACGGTGTTTGTAAGGTGAAAGGAGCGAGGTTTGACGGGCCTTTTCGGGGAAAATCGGCCAAACTTGGGTTCGCCTTTTGCTCGACTTTTCGTCCGAAACTTTGTCTGCTTTCGTCTTCGTCACATCTTGGTCTTTTCGGCCGTAGATCTCAAAGGCCCGGTTTTAGCAACCTTCGCACACCTTTGACTCGCGTTCCGAGCCTCCAGTGAACCCGTGACCGGGAACTAGTCATCTAATACGGACGAATCATGACTCGTGATTGACAGCTAAATATAGGATTCGAATCTGACTTGGAAAGCTCCTTCGCTGGAGATTTCTATACCTATGATAATTGTCACAAGAGTGCTTTTGAAGTGATAGTAGTTCATCAGTCCTGTAGTTTTTCCAGGGGCTAAAAACTGTACAAAAAGGATGGGAAACCAGCTAGCCAGTTTCATCCGCGTAAGGATGAAACTGAAACAACCGGGGAAAAGCAGTGATATGACAACATATTTCCTTGTATCTCCTGATATCTAGCCTAATTGGCATGAAAAATCTAACTAATCATGTTTAAACTCCCATGCAGAGAAAAACAATAAAACTCTCTCTGAAACTTATACAATTCGGGGATAATCGATGGGTTTACGACACGTTGGTTTGCATATCATTTTAATATAAAATGAATAATTTAACATTTCATATAGAAAATGGAAATATGAACCAAAATGGCATATATGGAAAAGAAATTAAATTTTTAGGTTTGATTTTTCAACAGAAAAAATAATTTATACATACAACTATTTGAAAACCAAATCTTCATCAATGAGAAATTATCTATCTATTATCCTAAATAATATCATATTCCACTTCATCCATACAAAATCTACTCAATGATCAAAATCAAAATTATAAATGCAATTCAAAAATTTATTAATCAAAATCAAATCAAACGTTATAAACATACTATGCTTCTTGACTTAGAAGTTGAAATGAATCATGATAATTCAAACAATGTTCGGATATAATTAACATGAATATACATTTGTTGTATTGAAATTAATTTTTCAATAAAATTCAATTCATAAAAGAAATATAAAAATTATTGTACATCTGAGTCAAAATATTATTGTACACACATAAAATAAAATAAGAGCTAGTGAACCAACATTATTGTTTGTTCAAAATGTGACATACATTGACATGATGAAAAACATGCACTTGATATCTTCAAAAGCAACATGAGTAATATTTTTAGTCCATGTGAGCCAAAACAATAAAATATTTATGTATACTTTATTGAATTCATCAATATTGGTCAAGGCATATACATTTAATCTGATCAATGGATCTACTAAGTTTATCATTTCCATCAATTTATTATCAATTATCATTAATTGATAAAAAAGCCTGAAAAATACAGCTTTATTCAATAATATGAGCTATGTTTAAGTAGCTAACATTTGTTGGTATTCTGTAACATCTAAAATACTTTTTAAGAGGTAAGAAGTATTATTATTTTATAATGATCTCAATTTTTTACAAGTTTGATTCTTTGTTCAAGCTTACAACCTCATACATTTTTAAATTAATACTTTCAATGTAATATTATCTTTTATAATAAATTTTTATATGTCAAAAGGTTAAAAAAGTCATTATTTGATTATCATAAATAAAAATTAATATCCTTATGGATAAATTTACTTTAATCCCATCAAATACCATATTATTAAATATATATTTTCTAAACATCTTTTTAAATCTATGGACTAGTGCTTTAAAAAACCGTCATTGTATATGTATGGGATCATTGTTACTAAATATGTTTATTTTATAAACAATGATCATAGATTTTGTGATCACTAGACCTAAGTTTTGAAAAAAATAAAATTTACCAATTATTTCATATCAAATACTATAAATGTTGCGAATGCTTTTTTCATATATAAATCAAAATGTATGTAGTTCTTTTTTAAGAAACAAAATGTTTCTTGCTGAAATTGATATTTTTGTTTCATTCTACTGAAGATACATTTTTTCTTATTATAATTTCTATCATACCATGATAGAAATCCATTGTAATGTCTTCGTTCTTACATTCAATTCAAAATGGAAATTTTAAAATATATATTTTAAAATCAAGTATTGCTGAAAATTTATGTTATGATGAAGACAGTTAACATCAAATAAAATATGATAAATTGATATATATCAAAATTATAGTTTAGATACATCAAACTTACTTAAAAATTAAAAAAAATTGTACAAATGAAAGAAAATACTTTCATTATTGATTTTAAAATTTTGAATATGAACCTTTATATAATTTGGTATAAATTTGGTATTTAAATTATATACATTTTAATCATTACAAATTGTTCGATTTCATGATTTATTCAAATTTAGGTTGAAATACAACGATATTTATGAATAATCTATGTGTAAACTCATGATCTCATGCTTTTGATTAAAAAGCACCGAGATTGAAAGAAAAAATTTACAAATTAATTTTTATGATTACAAAAATTTGGAAATTAAAAATCTTAATTTATCTTATATGATTAATAATTTGAAAGATTGAAACCAATTATTATATGTTATATTTCCGTAATTATAAAAAATAATTGAAAAACTATATTTATTATTATGGAATTTTAAATTATTTATTTTTTACAATGTAAATATTTTGTAATTATATTTTGAAATATTATAACATGCAATTTGTAAATGATCACATTAACCGTTATAAGTTTATAATTTTCAAGATCAAATTAAAATATGAATATTTATTAAAATAAAATAAAATCTAAAGTAACTTGTATGAAGTTTACAATCATATTTTTTATTATTACAATTGATTTTGATTATAAATATCTGGATAGTTAGTTGAACAATTATAGATTTATGTGAATCTTTCAATCCATGCTTTAGTAGTAGACTTTCAAGTTTTATGTTGTAATCTCATTCTATTGTATTCGCTTAAGTCATTATTTATTTTGAGCATTCTTTTCATGAACTACATATGAATGAATGATTTAATTATGAATGTAAATCAGTCTTGAACAATGATTTGACATCACATGATTTTTCGTACGCAATGTCACATGTTGCTTTGTTAGTTATTTGCATTATACGTTCCATATTCTGAATTCATTAATCATCAATGACTGATGCTTTATTATTTCACACATAAACAACATATTTTTACTAAATTCAATATAAATATCATTATACCACAAAAAGATCATCCTCTTTTTGGTTTAATTTAATACAAATATATATATTTTTGAATCAATTACTAAGATTTAGATTTGAGCCATGTCATCTGTATATTATTTTGCTAGTTGTATATTTTCATTATTATACTTTGGGTTATACTATCAAATGTGTTGGTGTATAAGTTCATATGTTAGAGTTTTGGTATAGATATGGAAGAGTATGTGATACTCTTCCATATCCTTTTTTAATCCTTTTATTCCTTGAATTACAACTTGTGTGTTTTAGAACATTATAAATTTTAGCAGAATCTATAATTTTAATTAGTTTTCTTAAAAAATTCCTAATGAATGTGGTAAGTTTTTGATGTAGTAAAGTCATAGGGTTGAAAATCTTTGAAAATTATTCATATTGGTTTTTTTATATGAATCAAATATATATTTTTTATAAAGAGTTTGCAAAAGCAAAGAGTTTATACTTTACCTAGCTCCTTCTACATCTTATTTTTTTCCGTCATTATTTTAATTTCTATGCGATTGTTGTCCAAATAACTTATATTTCATTTGCACAACATCATACACTTATTAATGATATCATTAAAGATGTTGATATGACATGAAAATATGTTACATATTACTTTGATATGATTTTGAAGTTAGTTTTGATTACAAAATTACCATATTTGACTCTAAAGAACCAATTTAGTATTGCATATGTTGATGTCTTACACATGATATCATTTTGGATGCTATGATACTCTATGGCCTCGTATGGATTGTTAATGGAGATCAACAACCAATGTTTTCGTTTAGAAAGGTGAGTGAAGATGTCTTACTTTTTTTATTCCTTTTACCTAAACTTGTTCATTATATGGATGTTTACTATATCTGTTTCATGTTTGTTGAGAATGTATGAAAGTTTACTCGACACTGTATTTTATAGATTTTTTTAGTAAAAATATGTTCATAGATATCATCCACATCAAAAGAATTACCATTACGAAGATCTTAGTAAAAGTAAAAACACTCATAGTTTATTTCTTCCCGTTCTGTTTCATCTATGTAGTATATTGACTGGTACTCCATTCCTTTTTGCTATACTGTACTGACTGATTTTTCTTGTTTTTTACTTCTGTCATGCAAAAGGCTACTTCTGCCATGTCACTGTTATATATAGGCTCCATGTAGGATCGCACGCTCGACGAAGCCTGATGATCTACTGGATACCTGTTTACGAATTTGCACACACTTACTTGCATCAGATTCCGGCTTTACAGGAATGTCTTTGATTTACGAGTTCCTGCATTTAACGAGGACCACAATTTTTCCAATTGCTGCGAGACGTACTGGGCTGTCCTGGAGTACGGATCTTGATCGTGGGGTCCCCAACGACTGGAAAACTTCGAGGTTATGTAAGCCCGCAACGATCGCAACTTGGCAGTACTCCGATGGTCCAACCTGTCGGAAGTCAAAAATATCCGCGCACTGGATCTCGTTTTATGGTTCCTGAAATTTTCTCCCGAGGGCCGAAGATATCCTCAGTACACGAAGTACACTTTCTTGAAATCTGTGCCCTCACTCTCACACAAGTTCCCCGAAAAGACATTTCATTTCCGACCACAGATGGTGATTTATCATTTTGACATTCATATCGTGCACATTTGTGCTAACCAGAGTCCCAAAATATTACTACAGTCCAGGTTTTGCTCGTTAGAGCATAAGACAGTTTAACAAGAATGACGTAATATAGGCTGCTCATGATGTAAAAATCCACCAGGACAGAAACAAATCGAATGCCCAACGGTGGGGATTTCCAGCTATCTCTTGAGATTTACGCTACTGTCTAGTGCACAAACTATTGTCATGAAGTGGTATATTCAGAATATACAAAACATGGTGGTGTTCATCTCTATTTTATGTGTACTCTTGGTCCAGTTGCGTGGAACATATTCTAAGGACGATGTTCAATATACTGTAAAGAGAGTATGGCCACAATTTGGCCGATTTCAGGACGGTAGAGAATACAAGTACGGTTTCTCAACTGCCGATCACTGCATATATCTTGGTTTTAAGGCTTATGGTATAAGAGTGGCATGATAAAAGATTGTAGAACTCAAATGATATCTAGCAACGAAAAATTACTACTCACGAGACTCAAATATTTTTTACATATTGTAAAATTACTTGGAACAAAAGAAAAAGTGACAAGAAGAAGATAGAGACAATAAATGAAATGAACCTATTATATACAAGGTGATGAATATACACAACTGGTAGTGGTGATAGATAGCAGCACCTCTAATAAAGTTCATGCCCGCATGAGGGAGGACATACATGCGTTAGATCCACTAATGCAGTTACCAAGGATGTATTTTTTGATCCATTACAGTGAAGAGTGTATTGTATGTGACCCAATGTAGAAATAGTAATTGCAAGTTTCAATAGAACTCCATGCAGAACTCACTGGCAAACCCCAATGCTCGCAAAGATATCACCACGACTAAATTTGTCATGGATCTCGTGGTTCAAAATATACTTCCGAGGAGTCATTCATTTAATCTGGAGGAGTAGGGACAAGACTGCATCTTTGACAATATGCATTCCTTGAAACTTTGATTTGGCAAGCTAACGACACAAACAAAGGCACATGAGAGTAAGAAACAGTCTACTGTGATTGTTTGAATCACGCTCTGTTCCCATGATTCTTGCAATTAAATCAAGTTGGATGAGCACGTGTCGACTAAAAATACCACTGCTTGCTCACTGAGAAGACATTAATCTGATGGTAATGTCTTCTCATCAGATTAGGGTGACTCCTTGTAATCTTGTCTCCTACAATCGCAACATAATCAACAACACGCAGTTGACATATATTCATCAAGCAAGATTTGCTCGTCCGCATGCTCTCACTTTTTTCGTGAGCAATGACTCCCATAAGCACATGTGGAGGACTTGATGCCTATAAAGGAGATAGCAAAAGAAATGAGATATTGACTGGAGGTCCGGCCGAAGTAGCTCACATTGTAGATTGATCTCTTCCGTATGCCTTCGAGCTGACGAACGGTACCCAATGAAATCACCAACGCACATAGGATCGATGTACAATTTAGCTTTTCTTCCGCTGCGTAGTGGACATCAACTTTACTTCAGAGCTTCAATAAATATGGATGCTACCTATTCTATCTTCCAGTGACAGCGCTGTAGATGCCAGCGTCTGCATACAATTGCAACTAGGTTGTAGATGCTAGGGTTACTTCCACTTTCCACAGTTTATAATCCCGATTGACTTGTCCATCTTCATCTAACCATGTATATTATTTTACTCGGATGTTATCGTCCTCAAGTTGGCCTGATTATAGGAAATTAAAAATTTAATAAGTATAGATGCTTACCTCATTTTGAGGATTATTACTACCACAGTTAATGATATTTTATATTCTATTTTGCTATCGACCGAAGTCGAGACTTCATAAAATATTACTGATAAGATATATATTTGAACATATTAATGTCTAATTAATCTAGTTCAAGCTAGTAAAAGGACTGAAAATATAATGATCAACCTATTGGGATTGATTCAATAAGAGTCACGCCTCTTCCAAGACAAGACTCTTTCAGTTAAGTCACCCTAATATGTATTAGATCTTGTTAAACATTCAACCTTTGGTACTGATGTCTTTTTGTGGATATAAAGTGCTTATCGTTACATGATCTTGTTGAGATTTTTCTCTTGTGAATTTGTTGTAGAAACTATACACGTAGGTTAAGATAGATTGTCGTATGATACTCAAAAAGTGTACTTGCGAGCTCATAGAGTTGGTGAGAAAGAATTACTTGGCTCGCCTACTATCACCTTTATCGAGATTGAAAGAATATAAGTGCAAGGCCTAGGAACGCAGTCGTTAGCATTTACTGCAAGTAAAGAGCGCATGCACAATTCGAAAAGTCTTCCACATCTGAGAGACTTCATGAATTCGGAAATCCATTCCAATGTAAACGGTCCGCCCGTGTCATGTTCAATTCCTAACTCGCATAATTGAAGTACATCACACTTATTAGATTATGCGATTGGGAATTTAGAAATGTAACTTGAAGGTCGCTCGCTGTCAAGACACCTGTCTTCCGATTGGCGGAGTAACAAGGAACTATGCAATTCATGAAAATTGCAAGATTTGCATATCTTCTTATTCTTTTCTTTAAACCACCGGATAGCTTAAACTTTTTTCGATGGTTTACGCTTATCATACAATTACAGACCTTGACATAGTTGATTGTATTTCTAGTCCGAAACGAGACGAGAATTAACATCTTCCCCAACCCTTACACAAGTACTATCTATGCTCTTGCGTATCTTCATATAATCATATGTAAGAGTTTTATTACTTGAACAGGTAAACAATTCTATTTAGAATAAACTATGTCTTGGCTTCAAATATTTGGATTATCACGTGATATAATATATTTATAAGATTCATTATTTTTTTTAGAGAGCGGAGAATAAGTATCAATTACACCGTCAAATATATAGTGTATTTTAGATGAGATACCTTTCTATGTTTGTGGAGTGCATGTTACATATCTTACACGAAATAATTCCTCGGAGGATGAAAATGCAAATATCTAGACGGGTGACAATTGTCACCTAGTAGACTAAGGTTTACCTAGTTTTGAAAACATATGGAACTGAATCATATGTATTTCCGTAATAGGTTACAAAATTATTCTACCCTCAACTTGGTTTTATATAACATTTTCCAATCACTAGTAGACTAAGGTTTACCTAGATTTGACAACATATGGAACTAAATCCGATGTTTTCCGTGATATGTTACAAAATTATTCTACCCTCAACTTGGTATTGTATAACATTTTCCAATCACTAGTAGACTAAGGTTTACCTAGTTTTGAAAACATATGGAACTAAATCATATGTTTTTCCGTGATAGGTTACAAAATTATTATACCCTCAACTTGGTAATGTATAACTTTTTTCAATCACTAGTAGACTAAGGTTTATCTGGTTTCGAAAACATATGGAACTTAATCATATGTATTTCCGGGATAGGTTACAAAATTATTATACCCTCAACTTGGTATTGTATAACATTTTCCAATCACTGTGTGTCTATTGGTCTATGTAAACCAGTAGAATTCATGTCGAGCAAGTTGGACAATCACAAGTAACGTCGTTTGGGTCTTCCTCTGTTCGTTATTCATCTGTCCGCGAGAGAAAGCGTGATTCTGGAAGCATCTAGAGAGATAGTTAAAACAAGGAGAACGTACAAATGGCACAGTACATTGTTCACGGTGTTACCGAAATGACAATCACAATGATGAATTTGGATATTATTATGATGGGCGATATTATAGTATGGTACGTGTTGCCCGCACATTGTTGAGCACCGAAGTACGCCCTAATTGGTTCCTACCTCTTTGGAAATACTCCCGTCAAAACTCGATCTCCCCATTCTGCCAGATTCTCTTAGCAGAAGGAGCCGAAGCAGCAGACCGACCCCAACTTGGATAAAATCGCAAAAGCCATATTCACCTCGCCGCGTCATCGATTGATGCTGTGACACGTACGCATGTAGTCTAACTGTGTCCTGTCCTGAAGGGAATTTCCGGCGACACATGAGGAAGCCTCGAGGTAAAACGCAGTCGATGCGGTAGTCCTTAGGAGGGACCCTTTATAGGTTCTAGGTATGCCAGACTGCCAATGGTACCGACTCCCGAGTACTGTACCGGATACACTTTACTGGCACAATGTTCACATGGGACCATGGGGCCGTTGCTTTGCACGCAGCCTGCCACCAAGGGTCCCACGGGCACGACGCCGGGCGCGAGGTTATAGAAGGGCGAGCCGGGCGCGGAGTCATGGTACTCTTCTCGAAGGGAAGACGTCGATCTTACACCCCGAGTCGAGAAGCGGAGGAAGCTCGACCACCGACCGCCGTGAGGTCTTGCAAGGCATATCACGCACGCGGGCGGGCTCGCTGGCTTGTAGCTGGTGCCGATAAAATCATCGCAGCATTCCACACTCTACTGTCTTTCGGCGCGGAGGTGTCTGTTTGTTGGCTGGCTTGCTCGCTCTCTTTTCCGACGGTGTTGTGGTCTAGGAAGCAAGGCGGACGATATTATCTTCGAGCTCGTGTTGCGGTCTGATCTTATTCTTCTGCCCGGCCGGGGTTACTATCTATCTATCTATCTATCTTCCTTTTTCTTCCTTCTTTCTATCCGTGTGGTACGCATTTCTCCGAAGTGGAGGACAGGAGGAGACTGACTGCCGTGGTGTCAGTTGTCTGCTAAGAAGGGAGGCCGGATTCTAGGACCTTTGGGGAATAAAATTTCTGCGGTAAGTTGCCATTTCTCGGCAGGAGGAGATGTGAATTGAAGTGATGTGGATGGAAGCTTTGATTTGTGGGGAGTCAATCAGTGATCTGCTGTTGTTTTTGCTGTTGGTGCTCTACGATGAGATTGGGGCTTTTGAAGTCTCAGGAAGCACGCCATTGTCTAGGTATACATGCATGCATGCCCAAGCTTACGTCTGCTAGTAAACGCTGAGAGACCTTGGGTGTCTCAAAGGAGCATGGCTGGACGGGGACATGGTTCATATGTTCTACAGAAGCAAGGGATCTCCAGGTCGGATTCTGAGTGAATTTTGGATCGACATGGAGCCCAGTTTGTCGGACTAGAATGCTACAGTGGGTGGGGTTTACCGCGCTTTGTTACAATACTGTCCGGAGAAGTTGGAAGTGAGATCTTGTTGATTCTCGATGTGGTGTTCTCTCACCTGATGTTTGACTGTCCAGCATGTGTGAGGTAATAGGTGTAGTGTTTACACTTTGGATTGTCGAAAGTTTACGACTTTTGGGAAATTAAGCACCGTACAGCACTGGAACTTCTGCTCTGTACGATCGGATCTGATGTTTTCATGTTATTTGGCTTGTTGCGCAGTTTTCTCAATCCGTCGAGCTGGCAGGAAAAGGAGAGCTAGCGTTATGCATGGGAGAGTGCTTTCAGGGGGTCGAGGCCGCCGATCTTGCCCTCGGCAAGCCTTGCCTTTTCCCGCTCTCGACCACCGCTACGGTTGCTCAAGCTTTGAAAGCTCTGAAGTACAACAAGGACATTGCAGTGTTAAGTGTATGGGTCGAGCGCGCGGCTGACGAGTTGTACGACAAATCTGCGTTGCCCAAAACTGGTGGCAGAGCTAAGGACCGATATCGCTGTGGGGGGCTGATTACTACTTTGGATATCATCTGCTTTTTGGCCTGTGATGAGAGTATGCAAAATCCAGCATCGGCGTTAAACTCTCCTCTCTCTGTTCTCTATCCATCGCTCTCACAGGCTGTCGAGCACGTTCATGGACGCACAAGGTACTGTTCCTTTCCTAACCTCATCCCAGCCACTCGTCAGTGCAGGAAGCTGATTTTTGTATGAATTCTGCGTGTTTCGATGTGCTGTTAGAGTGCTAAGATCACGGAGTGAACGTTTGTTCTTAATATGTCTTTTCCCTGCCATCCTACTTTACTTTTGGAAAATTGTATTGGTGGTGCGGTTTGTGATGATCGTTGCAACTTACCATGCTCGGTAGAGGCAATTGTGCGCGTAACTGTTTCAAGTAGTATCGTTTCTTCAGGAAAACGTGACCGAAAACAAAGGGGATGGTGTGGAAGTCACCTACTTTTCGAAAAGTATATTCTCCTTCATGTGTACCCCCAGTCATGAACAGAGTCATCACACGAGGTCACGTGTCTCCGGGCACAGTAAATTCGAGCGGCTGTAATGGTCGCTCTATGAAGACGACTATGGGAACATGTATGTCTGGTGTGACCGAGATACATGGAAGTGAGGCAGTTGCTTGGCAAGACTAGACAGTCCTGAACATCCCTAACGCACCTGAACATAAGCGTCTGGAACTGTGCAATCCCGCGGGCAGCACAGTTGTCACCCAAGAACTGACCCTTTGAAACTGAGATTACAGTCGTGTACTCTCAGTCATGAACAAAGTCCTATCACGATGTCAAGTGTCTCAGACCACTATACACTTGAGTCGCAGTAATGGTACCTCCATGAAGACGACCATGCGAACATGTATGTTTGGTGTGACCGAGATACATGTAAGTGAGGCAGTTCCTTGGTAAGACTGAACATCCCTGAACCATCTTAAAGCCCCTGAACGGAAGAGTCTGGAATCGTGCAATCCCGTGGGCAGCATAGTAGTCACCCAAAGACTGACCCTCTGAAACTGGGATTACATTCGTGAAATGCGTGGCTGAACGAATGATTCCGTACCCCATTACACTATATGCCTTACACTGGCCTTCCGGTGAAACATTCTAGCTACTTAGAAATCAGCTAAGCTGATTTTTGAAGAAAATGTAATGCCTCAATAGACAGTGGATTCTGCGAACTGTTTTTGAGAAGTTACATCGAATATAAAGTAGAATGTCATGATCGGAAGAGAAGCATTTAGCTTCTTCCACAGTTGTGTCGTGACGATAAAGTGAGAAGCATATGAGAGCTTGCCATTGTCTGGACCTTCGTAACGTATGTACATGCCTCGGCTGAGCTCAAGCTGTCGGACTACTCCTGGTTGTGAGGATGTTGACACTTAATTGCGAACATTGTCAATCTCCCATTGCTGTTTTGAATGATCACATGAGATGATCATACGAGTTGTGACTTGGTCTGAAAGAGTGCTGTCCTACCGATGGTATTTTTCAAATGTTTAGAAGGATCCTATACTTCGTACTTACGGTCTTTTGAACACAATGTCGTTTCGAAAGTACCTTTTAAGCTTTGCATGAAAGATGACTCATGACAGTACTATACATGGAATCTCTGAAGGTTTGAAAATGTAGATATTAGCGTCCAGCAGAGTCTGAGATGGATGCTGTCAATATTACTTGGGCATGGCAGACATTCAAGAAAGTGAATTGCTACTGTGCAATCCGGACAAAATTAACACAAAATTGTGCTGCAAGAACTGTTTTGAAGTTGTACGAAGGAATCAAGAAACAGAGTTATCTGGTTACAATTTTAGAAGAACTGCGTAGGTTTAGTGAATGAAGAATCAAACCTCAAGGGGGCCACCTGATGTATCCGCGGACACAAGGGTTGGTCTTTCTACGTCAGGGGGGAAGTAAGGATGTGAGTAGGATCCCATGCACTGGTAATGGGACGGTTTCTGCTATCAAACCGTGTATATACGAGTAACCGAGGGGATGTAATTACCACGTCTGTTAAGATGTATCATACCAGAGTTTCTCCATTCTACCCGCAGCTTGATCTCAGCTTTAGGAGTTGCGTTGTTGTCCTTACTGTTTCGAATTATGTGTCTTCTGTTATGATTGTGTTTAGTCAGCTAATGAAAGTCATTGTGCGCAGATGGGATTGCAAGTATACCACGTACTAGATAGTTACCTTGCTGGGGACATAGTCTCCTCAAACTTGCCCTCATAGGCATACATGACAAATATTATTACTTGTGTCTGTCAGATTAAGGAATGGTATGTCTTGAGCTGGTACACTCCCAGGCATTTATGCTGATGATCTTGCTCGCTGTTGCAGATTATGTCAAGCGTTGGATCTTATGCTCAACGGTGTCCAGCATTTGGTGGTACCCATCACCAAACGCGGGAGGAAGGGAAAACCGTTGAAGATACCGGGTCCTCTGGTTGCCACAGATCTCCCTGCCGAAGACTATTGGTGGATCACCCAAGAGGATGTTTTGCGTTATCTGTTGGGTTGTATAGGGGTCTTCTATCCTCTTCCGATGATGAGTCTGGAGGAGCTCGGCATGATCAATACAAACGTGTTAATGGTGGATGAAAATGCCGAGGCCATAAGTGCATTGCAGCTTATCAAACAAGCTTCTCAAGAGATGACTGCTGTGGCGGTCGTAAGTGGGTACTCGAAAGATCTGCGCGAGAGCAGTCTAGGAGGACCAAGACCTAAACTCGTGGGTGATGTGTCAACACACACTATGAGAGGTTGTAATGAAATGGCGGCTGTAGCTTTGGCCACTCTTTCAATGAAAGACTTTCTTCTCTTTGTACATGATTCCATACCGCCACAGTTCTTGGTTAGCAAGGTGCGTAGTAAGCTAAATTCGAAGGCCCTTACTAAGAGTAATCCCCCAAACAAAAATGGTAGTACTCCCCTCAGAGATCTAACAACTTCAGCATGTCCTACAACAAAGAAGGCCAGTGGAAACACTAGCTTCGACGACCAGTTTGATGCATTGTCCCAGTATTCTTCATTCGACGAGGAGCTGTCGGAGTATTCTTCATCAGACGAGGAGCTGTCTGGAACTCTGAGCGATCCGCCTTTGGAGCTTAGTTCTTTATCCATTGGAAAGTTGAAAAGTAGGACAAAACCATTTCACAAAGGCATAACGTTGATCACTTGCAGACCTCAGAGTTCATTGGTGGCTGTGATGGCACAAGCCCTTGCGCATCGAGTCAACCACGTGTGGATCACAGACGAAGAAGGTGGTCTTGTCGGGATCGTGACCTACACGGACATTATTGATGTACTACTATCCCAGATTCATTCTCTAGATTGATAATTTCCCTGCTATCAGCTCTCTATCTGCAGCCAACATCAGTTATGTCGATTGCCCCAGTGGAAGGAGGGATTCGCGAAGGGTGAGGCTAATACTGAGTCTGTCTCTAGTAGCCTGTGATCCTGTAATGTTATAGCGTGATCAGACCCACTGGGTAATCCCCTGATCTTCCTGTACGAGTCAATAACAGGCGTAATGATAGACTGTTTGACGTAAATACTATTGTAGGCAATTGAGAAAGTATATTATTCGGAGGATCGGTGTAGTTGCCTATGCAGCATTACATTTTGAGGCGTTTTCCTGATACATCAAAACCAGAGTGGACTTTTAACTCTACATGTCGTCCTGGCCATAGATAATATCAAAGCGGAAGCTGTGTTGTCTTGGTGCCTAAGCCGTGTTCTCGACTCTGTCCATGCTCGATTCCTCGTGACATAGTAGTACGAAGTAAAGTAGGTTGTAAGCTTGCTGCATAGTGTGGATGCAGGGGTTGTGTCTCACCATCACAAGCCAGAAGCTTTGCCTAGGCTGTGATCTGTCACAAATTTCGTTCCTCCCAGCAACTGACAGCTTCGCCTGTATCAAGTCACATCAGAGCCAGGCGATGAACCCCGTGTCGGACAGTTACGCTTTCCTCGTGAATTACGTGTCCTGTTTCTAAAGTCTGTTGCGTACAGAGGTGGTGGGGATACGCGGGATAAACTGGACGGGTATGCACGTGTCTTTTCTTCGCAAGGGACATCATTTGTCACCGATGGCTTTGTAATCAGACTTAGCGAGCTCTGGATTGAGTTTCAAATCAAAATCTCTTGGAGTCAAAAACTTGAAATCTTCAAATATCTTTTTCAACCACGTACTCTATTGTAATTTTGTTGTTCAAATATACTAGAAATTACATGGATGATACACGCAGAACAAGAATATAATTGGTTGATTAGTTGACATATTCCACTCAAGATTACGATATTCAACTATGAAATATGTTAAAAAGTATAGAACAGTCTCTGAAGAAGAAATTCATATATTTTCCTTCCAATTAAGTTTTTCTATATCTAATTTTACCAAATGAACATATCATTATTTTTGCTTACGTTCCTTGTGGACAGGTTCCTGCATTACGCGCATCTACCAGCTCATTCGGGGTTTTCCACGGCGGCTCTTACATTGTCTTTTTATCAAAATCATAATGATATGTAAACTTAAAACAATCTCAGTTGGTGTTGAGAGGTAAATATGATATTTTTTTGGAAAAAACTTAAAACGGTTGATAACTTTTTTTAAGAAAAAAGAAAATGAAAGATAATATGTTTCCTTAATCTTAAATAATGATTACAAATCACATTTTTCAGTTCATGCTTACTAGAGTTTAAAACATCAATGATATTACATAGTAAAATTGCATCTACAACTTAGATATTAAATCATTTTAATGATAAAATTGGAATTTAATTTAATTTTCAATTACATTAAAAAATTGTTCTGTGATGATACATACACTTCATACTTTATTTGATCATGAATGCACTTAAATGATACAATTGTGATGTATAGGTGCTATCTGAATATTCGGAAATGATCAATCAATACACATGACAAATAAATGATATTATATTTCTATCAATTATAGACTAAAAATTTATATTTATTACGAGATATCGCAAAAAATTAAAAAATAATAATTTCATGCAACAATTACACTATAATGAAATCAATCATAATTTTTTTAATTTAAAAATACCTAATTAATATCATAACAGGTTTTATACTAACAGGTGTATAACTGTTCACTTATAGGTATATGTGAACATTAATACACGATTTATGTTACATAGTCATGAATTCTGATCTGTAGAATGATTCATCAATATGTTATCACACCATTTTTTTCATAATTTACTTGAATATAAAACAAAATGTAATGCAATAGATTGTGTTTCATCAAACCGTTTAATCTAAGATCAACAAAACCACAATTATATGTGATGTGATTTTCTATAAGAGTAATGAATATATAGCTTGACATATCTTAGTACATAGAGGATTTTAAATTCTATAAAATGAGTTTATTTATAATATTCAGTTTTTGATATATTAAAAAATTATTAAATGAAATAAATAATAATTTTAACTGAAAATGAGTATAAATTAGAACTAATATCTTTTCAAAATATTCTAATATTTAATCTCATCAAATTTTAATATTTCTTTACTATTTTTTTCAAATAATCTGTGAACCAGATTTATTTGATTAATTATATCTTAATAATTTGCAAAAAGATAGAATTATTGAATTAGAAAATTTAAATGAAAGAAATCGACATGAAATGCATTTGTTACACAATACAAACATTACTTTTATTTTATTAGTTTTCTTTGGGTAGTTATATAAAAATGTCATTTTAAATCCCGCAAATAAGTTGTTCAAAAAGGAGCTTCTATTCCCAAATTTTGCAGATATTCATCAACTTAATTCTACTTGCATTGATATGCCGATGAAAGAATTGAATAATATTTTTCAATAATCAAATGATTTGTGTACTTTGTGTACAAATAAAGTGTTTATGTCTTTTGTCATGAATTTTATTTCTTACAAACATCAACAAGAAGATGTTTTGATGATATTTCAACATATGTTCAATTTTAGCACAAAAAATATTATAGTTTGAAAAAAATTCAGTTCCAAAATTATATACCACCTGAAAAAATTTTGACATCCTTGAAGTAAGAATTATACAAGGTAATGCAAATTAGGTAGTAATATAAATTTTAGAACAACTTGCAGATTTGTATATGAATTTCTGTATGTCAGAACATTACACTTTTAATAGATGGAGTATGCAAAAGAAATATTTCATGCAAAATGATCTCAATGACATTTTGTAGAAAAATAAGAAATAAATTTTACATTCTTAAAATGTTTCTTTCATCATAAATATTAAATAGTAAATTGAATAGAAAAATGTGTGGAAATACTTGATAGGGTATATTTACATATATTTTTTCATACAAAATGATCCAAAAAAATAGAGTTTTGATATATTTACATCATGCTATGAACTATGTCACTCTTCATTATGATATACAAACTATCTAAGTCAATTAAAGTACAAACAACAAGAATGTCTACATAAGCATAACTATCATTATTCCTCTAAAAAACCTCATTAATCATTCAAAGAGAGTGAGATTTCTATAAGCTTTCTCACTAATTGCAAGAAATGTTGAATTGTGTGTCCATAGCTCCGCACAAGTGCACAATTACAAGAACGAAAAGTATAATAGTGCAAATTTTTAGACTGAGAGACATATGATGCAACCATTCATAACAAGTAGTAGTTAATTTTTGTGATCATTGTCTCTAGAATCATATATTATGTGGAGTATCTATAATGTTCAAATGTGCAACAAGAACGTTTCATCCCGAACTAAGTATAGAAATGTAAAGTTTGCGACGGATTTTAAAATATATGATGCTCACATGGAGGAAACAGATGATTACTAGATCAACGAAGTTTTGGTATTTCTACTACTTGCAGGATCCATTAGAATTCAATATAGAGTTGGTGACATTTTCATTAGTGCAAGGTAGAAAAGCGAAGTAAAATATGGTTGGAAAGGGGCATATAAAGTTTCGCCTCCTTGTGATAGCATGAAGCAGATGGGCACATGAGCAAATCATGCTGAATCCAGTAATCCACACTACGAGATGCCGTCCACAAATAGCTCTTCATACACTCTCGCTGAAGTGTAATGTGGTGAAAGCAGGTTTCCAATTTGGTAGGGCTACTATTATCCTGCTACAAGATGGAAGTTGATATGTGAAGAAGGATCGGACGGCTAAAGTTGATCCAGATAAAGACATCCGTCTGCTGACAACGTGTGCACCGTCACACTTCAGTCTACTACGGAAAGCAGAGAGAGCAGGTCTTTCCGTCCGTGGGCCCCGTGGCACAGTGCTTACAGTGCCCGGAGTTCGAGGGCTTCGAGCTTTTACGAAGAGATTGCTCTCTCATTTCTCGCTCTCCTCTTTTTCTCGGACTGTGATAACTTTCGTCCCTCCTATTTGTGCTCATCTATCTTTTCTTTCTCGAGCTCCTCCTTCGTCCTAGGGTTTGATGATCCTCTACTCTCTTTCTTGGCAAATGGGAATTTTGTACGTCGTAGGTAGACAGATCGGTTTTTGATATCATTTAAGTTCAGATCATAGCTCTTTAGTTGTAGCGCTCCTTTGACACGGAAGGAACTGGGTCAGTGGATAGGAAGGCAAATTGGAAAGAAGGAAAAGCGGATCAACTATTTTTTTAAAAATATCTTGACGAGGAGCTATGGATTCCGGTAAGGAAGGCGTGAGCATGGTGTGGTTTGTGTTCTAGGATTTCGGTGATGCTCAATTCAGAGGGTTTTCTTAGTGAATGTGTGTTGAGTATTGTGTTTCTAGGTTGTGCTTGTGGCATTTTGTTTTGCCTTCAAGACCGGGCAAGATATGTGAAGGGAATGAGGTACTCTTGTTGGGTTAACGAAAATATGCGACATGGCTGCCCCGGAGATTTCCAACATCGAGCGAGGTTCCGCTGCCGGCGAGCTACTGACAGTTGTGAGGATGATGACATCGAAGTCTCAAGGCGGGGAACTACTGGTTTGATTTTAGTCTGAACGGGACTGGATTACTTGTAGTACTCGCTTAGAACCGCTTCTCGCCGCTGATCGTTGCGAGTGGTCTCTTTTAAATCAACCCCTTGCGCATCGCTGAAGATGGTTTTGAATGCATGATTTAAGTATCTGCTGGAGCATGACCTAAACAGGGGTTGAGTTGTGACCTTCGTAACATTTACCTCTTGATCGTACTTCTTGAGGTCGTCTATTGAGCACCTGTTCTGACTGAGCGAGAACTCCGGGTGTCTACTATGGCAACTGAAGATGCAGACATGGAGGACTATGGGTTCGAGTACTCCGACGAGGAGCCAGAGGAGCAAGATGTAGATATTGAAAATCAATACTACAATTCGAAAGGTCGGATACCTTCCTTTATTGTACTCAGTTGCAATGTCACTAATTAATCGCGGAAAGAGTAACTTAGAGATGCCTTAAAAAATTGGAGTCATACTTTTGTTAGTGATTAATAGGGCAAAGCTGTAACGACGGAAGTAGACAAAAGCAGGGAATGGACGAAAATTGGACTGTGCAGAATGCGAACACCTAAGAAATTTGCTTGTGTGTACATAATATGTTGGAGGGATGTCAGCTTTCAACAGAAAAGACAGCATACTACGTCAATACGCAACAACAAGATGGCATTATCAATAGATTCCACTAGTTTGTAGACGATCAGTTGTCACTTTCTTTTCTTGCGGATGCTTCGGGAGATATTTCGTTTGAAAATCATATCCAGATTATATTTTGGTGTACACTGAAAAATTACCTATGTTGAGAAAGGTAATCCCATTTGCTCATATATGAAGTCCATGTGAACTCTGCAGGGTTAGTTGAAGCTGATCCCGAAGGGGCTCTCAAGGGTTTCGCGGAAGTGGTGAAGATGGAAGGAGAGAAAGGAGAATGGTCTGTGTAACTTCACTGTAACCCCGAATGTATGAATATTATCTGAATACGCGATAGATTTCGAATGTCTCAAATTGCATTCAAATTATATACATGTCATCGGTCATGTAACTTTGTTGATAATTTATCCTGAACATGAAAGTTCTGGTCCATGTAGTTGATGAAATGTAAGGTTGGCGGTAAGGATGCGGAGAGCTTATTATACAACGGATACAAATTTTGACAGGGGTTTCAAAGCTCTAAAGCAGACAGTAAAATTACATTACCGTATCGGGAATTACAAGGAGATGATGGATGCCTACAGAGAAATGCTCACCTACATCAAATCAGCAGTTACTCGTAATTACAGTGAAAAGTGCATCAACAATATCTTGGACTTTGTATCTGGAAGTGCTAGTCAAAATTTGGAGCTGTTACAAGAGTTCTATCAAACCACCCTAAAGGCTCTTGAAGAAGCTAAGAATGAGGTAAGACAGTCACAGTATCTTCTTCTGTGAGTTCTCGTACTCGTTCATATTTCATGTAAAATATTTTGAATAGGTTATTTCGATGAGTGATGAAAGAACAAGACTCAAGATACTTAATGGATTTGAAGCTCAATTTCAACTTTAGACACTTTTTTGTCAATATCATAAGACAAATTGGCCTATCTCAGTAGGTCAGTTTGATTATCTTCTTTCTACGCTTGATGAAAGTTGTTAGAAGCGAGTATCTTACTTTGTTTCTTAGGTAGCCTCGTGGCCTCTGCAAACTTATTCATAGCAATGCAATGTCCTTAGCCATGGATGTGTAGTTGCATTACCCTCTAGCTGGAATAGAGTAAGTCCAGTTTCATTACACACTGACAAGAGATTGCCAGCTCTTGCTAGCATTGATTTGCCTTCTTGATGGCCAGGGTTGCAAACCTGTGAATTCTTTGTGTACAGAGACTATGGTTCAAGACCAACCTGAAGTTGTGTAAACTATGGTTCGACATGGAAGAGTACGGCCGCATGAATAAGGTAATAAGCTTATATTCAGTTGTCCAAACTTCTGTCATATTTTCTAGCATCCTCCAGAGGTATAAGGAGTCACGTTTTGCTTTTCAATTTCATTTTCTATTATGAGAATTATGTACAAGTAACGCAGTGTGTCTGATTTGGGTCTATGCAAGTAGAATCATTGATGCCTGGAAAAATCCTTGACTCGAACATCACCTTTCATCTCTTACATGACTAGGTTGATATTGTTGCTAAAGTTTTGAGGAGAAAGTTCACTATTCTTGATCTCCAAACCCGTGCATCTTTTCGCAAGATGGTGAAGGGTTAATGATTTGAAATATGGATTCTTCCACAGATTCTGAAGGAGCTACATAAATCTTGTCAAAGAGAGGATGGCTCAGACGATCAAAAGAAGGGAACTCAGCTACTTGAGGTTTATGCCATAGAGATTCAGATGTATACTGAAACCAAGAACAACAAGAAACTGAAGGTGAGGTTCAAACTTAGTCGCACTGTGCTGCCACGAGACCAGAAATATATCTAGCTTGTATGAAATCTTGTACCTACGTGTCAATGGGTCAGTTGTTTTCTGCTGTCTATAAAAGAGCATGCTAGAAGCTGTATGCATTACCATGTCCAGCAATCCCTCCTGGGTTGACTATCTTTTTTTTATTTGCACAAGCTTGAGAAAGCCGCGATTAGTAAGGGTTTCCTTGTGGTCTTTGCAGCAACTATACCAGAAGGCATTATCCATAAAGTCTGCCATTCCTCACCCTCGCATTATGGGGATAATACACGAGTGTGGAGGAAAAATGCATATGGCAGAGCGCCAGTGGGCAGAAGCGGCCACTGACTTTTTTGATGCCTTCAAAAACTATGATGAGGCTGGGACTCATCGTCGCATTCAGTGTCTCAAGTATGCAAGATACCTATCATACTCTTCTAGTTTGTTTCAAAGCTAAGACCTCAAGATCAAGTAGGCTTTGCAGCCATATTTTTGTCCTGGAGCCTTAAGCACTCATCAAGCACTGTTCTTACCATGCCTGAGCCTTTACCTCTCACTTGTACCAAGTTCATGGAAGAGAGATTGTTCTCGATCTTTTTTCAAGTTAGACACCACGGCTCTGAGTGTTGTCAACGTTTCTTCTCATTTCCACAATGAAAGTGTTCACCATGCTTTTGAACTTTGGGTGATTCGGGCAGATATCTCGTGCTGGCAAATATGTTGATGGAATCTGAAGTCAATCCTTTTGATGGTCAAGAGGCCAAGCCGTAAGTACAGTTTTTTTTTTATTTGCCCTAGCTTCCGTCTTTATGTTGGATGACTTCCAACTCAAAACACTCGGATTACACCCTTGAGATTTTGGTAGTAGAATCTGTAATATTTGGATAGAGAAATTGAATCAAAGTACTTTGCTTCCTTCAGTATAAAATTGTGTTTCCTAACTTGTGTGCATGTGGGAACACGCAGATACAAGAATGATCCAGAAATTCTAGCCATGACAAACCTTGTTGCAGCTTATCAACGGAATGAGATTCTTGAGTTTGAGAAGATCTTGAAGGTTATTTGGAGTTTATGACCTAAATCATCTTATTCGAATAGGGACACACTTGTCAAGGATGTTCAAGATATGCTGTTTTTCAATATTTATCATTTTCATCTGTGTAGATTGTCCTAAATATGAAGTGTCTTATATGTGGGTCCGATACCATTTCCGTCCATTAATTATGAAGAATATAGGAATTTTGCCAAGCTTCATGCTTGAATTTTTTTTCTTTCAATTGTGAAAAGAAAGATGGTGATTCATACTTTCAAAAGCATTGTTGGTGGGGCTCTTCCATGTCTTTGCTAATTCTGATATCCACTGCAGAGTAACCGGAAGACTATCATGGATGATCCGTTCATCCGGAATTACATTGAAGACCTACTCAAAAATATTCGTACCCAAGTGCTGCTGAAGCTTATCAAACCTTACACTCGAATTCGCATCCCTTTTATTTCCAAGGTTTGTGTTTCTGTCATCTCGGGTACTCGCATTGATGCTTTCATACAGAGGACTGGTCTGAATTCGTTCCGTTCCGTTCGTTCCGTATTCGTTCCGTTCCGGCTTGTCAACTGTTTGGGCAAGAATACCGTGGTTTGAAAGTTCCTCTTTTCTACTTTTGTTTTCCCGGTAGCTCAGATGTTGTTGCTTCTTTGACCAGGAACTTAACATACCAGAGAAGGACGTGGAGCAATTGCTCGTCTCTTTGATACTGGACAACAGAGTGCACGGTCATATTGATCAAGTCAATCAGCTGTTAGAGTTGGGAGATAGGTACGTACGAACCATCATGCCCGCATCGTTGTCATATTTTATTTATTGTAAGTACTCGACGCGTTTAATTTGCACCTGATCTGGGTGAAAATTCTTCTGGAGTGTCTGAAACAAAGTATATTGTTCTCTCCACAGGTCGAAGGGACTGAAGAAATACACCGCTATTGACAAGTGGAACACGCAATTGAAATCTTTGTACCAAACAGTTACTACCAGGATTGGCTAAATGCTGGAGGGTGTTTTTGTGGTTTAACCCTTCAATGGCAAGAGTTGATAGAAGCTAGACACTGTGTTAGATTAAATCTACAGTACACTATTCGGCGAGTTTCGAAATTGGGCGCTGGCCTTGGCCAATCCAGGTATACCTGTGACACTACTTAGTTCACCTTTCCAATCTGTAAATTTGAGACAGCAGTTGAATATGGTATGGCATTGTCTTTATATGGAATTTCCAGGGGCCCGTTTGCCCCGATCAGATATCGAAGAATACAAAAAGAGATTATTTTATCATCATCAGTAGTGTCGCTTCTTTTCAGAGCAAATGCAGAGCTGATCATTTTGTTTTATGGGACCCCCCATTGATTAAAAAACTTGTGAGAAGCATCACGGGAAGCGTGTGTTGAAAAAGGTATAGGCCTTTCTACCAAGTGTTCTGTCTATGAATGAGGCCAGTCACGTGAAGTCATTTCCAGTATTTTGTTCATGGTTTCTTGCAGCAATTTCCAGAAGTTTGCAAGTAAGCAGGAATGGACATCCACATGCTGGCGACGAAGTTATGAAAGATGTCATGGAAATCTGCAGGCATGGGTCTCGAGATCCATTCATTAGTCCATGAGCGTTCGTATCCAGCCGAATAATACTGATCATTGGCTCTAGTTAGAATTCTACGTTAGAACTTGCAACCGCTTTAGACAACATGGGCTCTTAGATTCCTAGCCGTTTTATCGAGGGACTCAAGTTGTTGATAAGTCCCGTACTTGATCATACATCTTTGTACGCAAACCCGCAAAGTTGAAAGTGACATGGAATTTGGAGAACGTTTTTCAAAAATCTCCAGTGCTTATTTCTATGTTCGTGTTACCAGGTTTTTTCAGATTTGTATTTTATCATATGTTTATGGGTGTAATATTCTATTTCACCATGAAACCTCAGAGACCTAGTGTAGATTTTGTGTTTCAAGTTTACTATCGGAAACTGCTTTCCGTATCTGCGTTCAGTATGCACTACATGTATTTCTCTCACGAATTTCTGTTCCAGTAGGTTGTCTCATATCCGACAACACGTGGTTCGACAGTGAGCACGTTGTCTCCTGATACCACGTGGAACAGCCAGTAGTCAGTATTCTTATTCTTCTTCTGGAGACCTGACTCATGCATATTGATTTGCAATGTTCTAACAGAGATGAGTCCTCTTTGTTTGCCTTTTCCATATTTTCAAATAAGTGCAGAAGTTCAAGAGAAACTCCATGTTTCAGGCGGGAGAATGAGAGATATGCAAGTTAGTACTCTCTCTCTCTCTCTCTCTCAAATTGTATCCCGTGAACACTATCTCATCCTATGATGTCATACATGCAGGGATACAAACATGTCTTTCTTACAACAGTCAGGATTGTCATGACAAAATCTTTCACCTTTTACAAAGAGTTGCTCCTCCTTCACGTGTCACGTATAATTAGGCTAGCATTGATGATTCTGATTGAAGGTTACACCATCGGTCTGTTTGTATGTCCAACATCCTAACTGCAACACATCATATCTATCACAACGTCATGGTGGCCATCTATGACATCGAAGAGTATAACGTGGCAGGTAAGCAGATAACATGATTAGTACGATTGGTATGCAAATTTGACCCATCTATCAACCCTACGAGTACGACCTCAAAAAATTAAAACTGATATATTTAAAATAGTTTTAATATGGGGTTTAGGAAACTCAATGACAAAAATAATAATCACAGTACTCCAATTCAAAAAGATTACTCACGCAATCAAACACTTTTAAGTAGATAACATACTGAAGTTGAATTTTTGACCGATCTTGAGGTTGTGCACCAAGAATACTGTAAAAATGAACGAGTTGGATTGACTAAAGGCAACACTTTTGATGTCAAAGAAAATGAAAAAGAATCCATCATACTTCACATTTCTCGATATTTACTCCCCACTTCAGATGAAAAAACAGATAATATAGTGATCAGACCCTGCCAAACATCTTAATCTATCAAAAATAATATTTCCAAACAGAAGTCCAATTAGTTTATATAAAGTAATTACTTCTATTTTTGAATTGTTCATAATACCATTATGCTCAAAGTCATAACATAGAAAAAACTAACTTTGAACTAACTTTGGTTCAAAAATACAGATTCTTGCACTGACTATTATCCACCCTATCCACACTTAATCATATCGAATATTCAATTCAAGAGCTCTAATATAATTTTATCACTTGATTCATGACTATATTTGAAAAGAACAATGTAGCCAATTACACACAGGTCGAGTGGAAGTCTAATGAGACTATGCTAAGATTACTACTAGCTTTAATTGCTATTTGCTTCTTCAAGCACACATCTAACTAAAAATGCATGCCATTACATGAGTCTTGACAATTTTCATCAAGTTGCATTGCTTATATTGATTTCTATAAACTACTAAATTTTTTCTTTTATTATCATGTTGCAAAAGCAGTTCTCCCAAATCAAACTAACTTCAACCAATGAGCTTTCTTTGCTTTTAAATAATGACATTTGTCTATCTTCTCATCATCTCAAGCAAAAAAGTCGTCATGTTCATACCTTCAATGTCATTCTTCATCTAGCTTTGTCAAGACTTTGACATTATTGTTTTATTATCACAGATATTGACAAACCAAGTTTGCAAGTCCTAGGAAAACCTGCATACTAATCACATCCTTAGGTTTGAAAATACAGAAGACTTTTTTCATCATGATATGTTGAACCTTCATATCATGAATATATGATATGATCTAAAGACTTCACCTGCCCTTCAATTGCTTACACTTTCTGTAATGTACTTTTAGGCCTCACGTTTCTGAATTTCAAATCGTCAACCCATCAACTCAAGTCACATGGTGCAATGAAGCATGACTTTTGATCTCATTATGCTCCATCAAAAACTTTACACACATACATTCATGTGTATATGAAAATAAGATCCAATTTCTATTATCTGAGTTGGACAAGCCTTTGCAGGACACAGAATGTCAAGTCGTAGCTGCGGTCTATCCAGCTGCTGTAGATTGGGTGAGCGGATTTGACCTCAAATCACCACCATGAGACTCTTCGGCCATGAGCCAAGGGAAATCGAAGATGATGGTGTTGACATTTCAAGTGCACTGTAAATTCAACTTGCTTCATCGGCGTTTGAAATGCATGGATGGAGGTGGATAATTTGTGTCATTGTTAGTCCTGAAAGATTTCAACCATGAAAGGACGAGATGATCTCTACTGAGTACTGAGTACTTACTGATGACTTTACCTTCCTCACTTCACGCTCATATCTCGAGTTGGACGGCCACCTTCTGTCAAAGATATGCTTTCTCAACAACTTGAACCAATCATGGATATCTCATGTATTATTGTGATGTCCTTTACCGTCCTACATCAGTCACCTTTGAGAGAAATCGACTCCATGTCTTTGGCATCTTGCAACTGACTTTAAGCTCATTTTCATCATGTACAAGTATTATGTCCGACTCAATCTCTATGTTTTCGTCCCTCTTGCTATGAAGTAAGAGGTTATGACAGTCTTTAATTGCATCCCTCTTCTGGACCGTATGGATGTTATGGATGAGATTGTTTGATTTCTAATATTTTTGCAACCATGTTCTTGTTTGCATTATACTTGAGACACCTGGAAGTATCAAAGAGAAATGTCTGCACAAAAGAAGAGTTAGGCATTTAACTTGATGTATGGTTTCAAAGTATATCATGTCATATCCTATGTATCCAGGACATTGAAAATAGAACTATTGCTCAAACCATATGATGATACTGTAAGTATGTGCAAAACTATATCCCCGAAAAAAAAATCCATGATGAAACTATGAATAAAAATTTATCGATGAGATTCACTGTGTTTATTTTAAGATGATTTGATAATGTAGATTTTGTTATGTTCAGTATTAAAATATATATAGAAATTTAGGTGTTAACTTTTAATGAAGTGATTATATTTAATTATTATAATTACTCTCATTACATTATCATTAATTGTTAACGCCCAATGCCATATGTCATAAATGGTAAATATGTCATAAAACAATGTGCAGATATTGATTTTAATCTGAACAATTCTTCGGCGCAATATGAAAATGCGCTACTATGTATCTTAAATTCTCAAGAACTCTAAGATGTACATATTAAAGTTCACATCAAAGTATTTCATGTGCCTCTCCGCAATGGCTGAAAATTCCACAGGCCAGTATTCTTAACTTTTCTACAGCAAGATCGAGACGTTTCTACCAGTTTATTCAGATTGATCCATCTCATTAGTCATACGATTGATAGATGACCTTGTTTCTTGGCATCCAATCTGAGCAGAACACAGTTTACAATCGCGCATGACGCACCGCCAGTTGCACTTCCGCTGTAATTTAAGAGTGTCAAATAATTAATTGTAGGCATGCGACCCGAGAAAGAAACCTTCATATGCAGTACAAAAATGTGGGCAGTCAAGGTAATGGGCCAAGAAATTGCATGTCAGGACAACGTTGGAAGAGGCTTGCAACAAAATGTGTGGGAGATGTCGGTCATATACAGCTGTACTTGTGAACCAATTCAGAAGGACGAGGTCCAGAGGTCAGCATCTCTGGCTCATCAGTGGCAGTGGCACTCGTAATATGCTCTAGAATTTCACGTGCTGAGTCTCGAGACTCTTGGCCCACGAGTTTCACCGCCAGTCCAAATCGACCACACCTAGTCAAAGCCTCCATAACCGAAGCAACCCAAGACAAAACTCGCTCCTTGCCGTCCATAACTCTGTTGTGTGGAGGTGGGTAAAGGACATGATGCTGTTCGTGGACAATCTCCTCTTCAGGATCTGAGACAGATCCATTCTTTCTGAGCTCGGTCGTATGCTTCTTATAATGTGATCTAGTTGCAGTACTGGCGCAGTCGGACATGTGTTCATGAACGTGTGTCGGTCTATCGTCGCTGTCCAAGGAGAGACCTGCACAGCTCTTATCGTCTGTGCTAGTTCCCTTCCTGAGATTCAAAGCAGTGCTCCGAAGGGTCTCTAGGATCTCTGCAAGTAAGAATGGTGGGATCTCCACCCAGAAGATTTTTGGCAAGCTGGATGGCGGGAAGTTGATCAGATAGCTCAGGCGCTCAGAGGGTTGAGAGGAGTTCAGAAGTTTCCATTCCTTGATAAAGAGATCACTGGAGTACGACGACCCTTTGGGCCCAGGTTTTTGGACTGTGGGCATCCTGGAGCCATCGCCTTTCCATCCCAGTCCCGTGGAAGGAACACATGGCAAGGCTGAGACAGCCGATTCTGACACGTGATGAAATGCAAGCCTTTGCTGCTCATGGGCTCGAAAAAGTGGGTTTTCAAAGCAGGACAAATTAGACCCAATGCTTGACGGGAGATCCTGATTGCTGGCAAGTCTATTGAGAACGGTATCAGATTTCGTCTGTCTGCAGGTTGCCAAAATTGGCTTGCCTGGCTGTGAATGCCCAGTGACATCAAAAGACCACGCTGGGATGCTTCCTTCATGTTTTGGGTTTCTGTCGATTTTCCTGTCCAGCTCTTTTCGTGTCATTGGCTTCAGATGAGCGCAGGATACCTGTGCTCGGTGACAACAGCTTTCAATCTTGGGCTTCCCTCATTCTCGTCTCTTATCAGTTTACTGCCCTAACTTATCAGAAAATATAATTCAATTCCTGTGTTCTTGACCAGCTGGATCGGACTTACAACTGCCAGGATAGTTCCCTGACAGTGTTCACAAAAATTTGATAATAATTTGAGGTAAGTAGCAAAGTGAATATTTTGAAGGTTAGACAAGGTCCTAGATTGGGCAAACACGGGGCAGACGTGTGTTTACATACGACGAGCAGTACCTACTTCACCTAGCATGTTCCAGTGTTGACATTGACACAAGTATTCGGAGGGGAGGGTATCAAAACTCAGGGTGGACACGGGATGAAATGTGAACACACCAGATTAGCAAAACAAGGGTAATCCACGTTTTGTGCCGCTGCTCGCTTTTTCGCAGCGTCTACACTCTGCCTCTTCACTTCGTCTTCAATGGAATTTCTTAACTCCTTGCTCTGCTTCAGGTTCCGAACATCAACCATGGTTTTCAACAGCTCACGCATCATGACAATCCTCTTCTCCACCTGCTCATTTCCAATTCGACACGACGTGTTGGGTCATTGACGCCACCAGAGAAAACCCTAAACGGACAAATGTTCCCTCCGATAACCTTTCACCTTCCACCAAAACCGAATTCCAAAGACTCCAACAGCCTCGGACGAATTGAGAGTTTCGTAAGAAAACTACCACGATGCGAATGACGTTCTAGAACCATGTAGATGATCATATTTGCGGCCCACTGAAGTATTCAAACCCAGAAAGGTATGGGATGACACTGAACAACATTTTCGACCGATTTACGATCCATAGCACATAGTGACCTTCGGTAGTCCGTGAGGGTGTATTGGGACTGTTTCTTGGAATGGAACCTGAAAAGTCCTGACAACGCCATATTTAGTAGGAAAATAGCAAACCACACATCGTAGTTAACTCCTCGTTATTGGAAAACTACCTCGTTTTCTGCATTCATCATCTTTGGAGCAGGCATGACTGGCGCAACAATGACAAGCCTGCCTCAATTTGTTCGCAGAGTGCGTAAAAATTTGTCCGCTTCACTTGAAGAGGATGAAAGAATGTCCCAGAAAACGTCAGGCTCTTCAGTCATCATCCAACTGATGAAAGTCTAAACACTCGGTTTAAAGCCGCACTGTTCCTGTCACTTGAATTTTATTCCGATGCCCATATTCCCTCCAAAGCATCGCATCGTGGTCAGCACACATCGACAAAAGGGGTACTTTTCATCACTCGGGAAGTTTACAGCTCGCCTCTGTTACTGCTGGGAAACTGTCGAATCGACAAGCGAAACTGGCAAACTCAAAGAGCAAAGAAAAACTACAAAGATCAACGTCAAACGACGAGGAATTTTTTTATCTTCACACTTTCGGCCAAGAAGTCACAGATCTGCTCCTCCCTCATCGTCTCCGCTAGTAACATCCATAGATATCCGGGGCAACCCAACGTTCAGATACTCGTAAAGTAAGGCAGGCCGGAAATGGATGAATAACCTAACCGCTAGCTCCCTGCCCGTTTTCAGAGTCGAAGAGAACGGGAAGCTTTAGAATTTGACATGAAAGCAACATATCGTGCACTCTAGAGAACCGTCCTCATTCATTTTTGGTTGGTGTAATTTAAAGAATCCCATGAACTCTTGGACATGCAATGGGGCTATTTTCGTTCCCGATTTCTAAAAGAGATCCTAGAGCCTCACTTGAACGTTCTGCATCTGTGCATGTCTTCGTCACATGTGCGGCAGGGAGCAACGATTCATTAATTTGACGAGAATGAAGTGTTATACCGAGAAAATAATTAGAATGCGTACGATGTAAAATTTGGCAGTGACTAGATTCATAGATTTCAAAGTTTACCGGCCCAATTCACCTACTATTTTTTTTCACAATACAACCTATAACATATTATCCATATTATATTTATCAAATCGGTATATATTTTAAAATGAGACATACAAGTAATTTGATGTGTTGATTACATTCTCATGTGATTGATTTCTTATTCACTCTTTTACTTTTTTGGTAGTAAATATATATATATTCTCGGAACCTGCAACTTGTATCAGTCCTATGCAAGTTTTCAAACAATGACATTTTCACATAGTATGTTTCACAATGCTCAATAGATCAATATAGTCCTTGAGTATATCTTGCATGTATGTTAACATCTTAGACCTAAAGTAGCTTCATGAAAGCACCCAAATGTCTACATCTAACATAGTGTTTGATTCTATCATTCCATCAAATTGTGCATCTCATTGTTGTCACTGTCATCATAATATACTCTTATGCTATCACTACAAGAGCCATAAGAAATTTCTCCTGTATAAAATTTAGATATTTCTACTAATATCTTTTATTATATGGAAAATAACTATCAACTATAATCAATCATATGTATATATTAAAAGCAGCTGAGCTACATCAATATTTTGACTCAACATAAATGTCTGCTAGAATCAGTACAACAAGATGCGTTGGAGCACAAGTCTAAATCACTTATCACACTCTCAAAATATGATTGTAACTTGTCTCAACATACTTCTCATTCACAATGTCTACAATTTCATCCGCTAGTATACTTTTGCATGTATACCCTGCCCATGCCCCAACCCACCCATCCTCATGGGTTTTGGGTTGACATGAGAACAATATTATTGTTCATGGGTGGGTATTGTTTCCAGGTGGATATGGATGGGCATAACTTCCAAATGGGTCTGTAACCCATGCCCATCAATACTTTTTGAAACTTGAACCCTAACCTATATGTTTGTCATGTAATAGCTATCTATTGTATGTTCTAACACATTGGTATGAACTCACGGAGTGCAAGAAGAGTGCGCATTGCGCAAATTAGATCGTTCCAGACTTGCATCATAGAATAATTGTGAATCTGCCAGACATCAATTTTGGAGATTTTACATGCAACTTTGTTATTGAGATGATGACATCTAGCTCTAGTTCGCTCAATGCGCAAGTGATGGAGAAGGAACTAAAGAAGACATCGTCGAATGATGCCGATTGTGTATTTTTGCTGCACAAGAATCATGCTAGTCTGAACTCTGCTCTTTGGAAAAAGTTCGACATCGTGCAACAACATGACAAGGATTGCGACTACGCAACGTGCTTCACCTACAAGAAAGTATACACGTTCAAGAAAACCACAGGTACCAGCACCATGAGTAATCATAAGTGTCTTCAGGTAGAAAGATCAGATAGTGGAGCAATGAAATTATTTGCAACAAAGGGCGTTCCCACCACACATGACAAGAAGATGACGCTTGCGTATGCTAACTTCTGCGCCGTTGACCTCCGACCATTTCAATCAATAGCCGGACTGGGTTTGAAAGGGCTTGTTCAAACAACTTTGGACATCAGTGTTGCAAGCAATAAGCGGCTCATGGTTGATGACTTGCTATGTCAACCAGTTACCACCAGACGCAATATAGAGACTTGCGCGATGAAGGGTCACGTTATAGTGGCAAATCGTCTTCAAGAACACATTGATACTGACGTATTCATGGCAATCACGCTTGATCTCTGGACGGACAATATCAAAAAGTTAGCTAACATATCTGTCACGACGCATTACATTGACAAAGAGTTTGCTTTGTTTGCTCAAACATTGCATGTTAAGCGTGTTCGCTATGAGAGCCACACCGCCGTTATGGTTATGAACAAATTCAAGGAAGCTCTGGACATCTTCAGTATCAAGGATTTGATGTTCGATAAAATCACTGTTGTGGCGGATTGTGGATCCAACATCGTCACCGAAAATGACATTTCAAGCGAGTTTGACTGATTAGGATGCATTGATCATAAAATTACGAACTGTCTGACCTACGTACTCAAGAAGACTACGAAACAGGTTGATGGCAAGAAGAGTAAGCTTTTTTTCCGATACCTTGATGAGCCCAACATGACAGCCCTATATGCTCTTGTTGACGCCTGTAAGAGTTTGGTGGTATACTTCAGAAAGTCAAATCTTCAATCAAAGTTGTCAAAGACGCTGAAACAAGAGAATGCAACTAGATGGAACTCACTATACCACTGCTTGCTTAGTGTTTCTGAAATGCTAAATTAGATGAGAAATCTACTGAAACAGAAGTATGCACTGAGGAAAGTTGCATCAATCTCAGAGACCTTTTTGAAACAATTAATTGACTTGTTGGCACCATTTTAGAAGGCAATTCTGGATCTCGAACAATTCAAAGAGCCGACACTGCACAAGATTGTATTTGGACGATTTCAACTGTTGAAGCATCTAATACATGTTATCAACGATGTGATTAATAATGATGGTGTTGTCCAGACGAGCAAAGACTCCCCTACGATCATAGCTTGTAAGTGCTTATTGACACCACTAGTGCAAGAGAAGATGGAGCTCGACGTGCTCCATGTTGTATCAACACTTCTGGATACCGTCATGAAGAACCATATGCGCAAGATGGAGGTCCCCGACGCTTCAATTACTAAGGCGAAAGCAAAACTAAGGGCGCTTATGGGCTCGATTGGCACAGGGGAGGTTTTGGCAAATTTTGATCATGAAAAAGATGATGCACAGGCCCTACCACAAAAGAAGCGCCGTATTGATGACATGACGTCTATGTACGATGAGTTTGAGGAAGAGTTAGAAGAGATTCATGGCAATGGGGCTGAAATCCTAGTTGTAAGCAACCTTGACTCTCGTATTGAGCTTGAGCTCAGCAAGTATGAGACATACAAGGTCACTAATCTCAAAAAAAATGAATTCAACTCAGCATTGCGAGTGAATCGGGACACCATTGCTAAGTTCAGTATTCTTTTGTGGTGGAAGTTGAAAGAAGACTCCACATTCCCCATCATGTCGCGCGTGGCGCGTTTGATTTTGTGCATCCCTGCATCCAGCTCCAAATCGGAATGAAACTTCTCGGATGCAAGGAATATGCTAACCAAGCTTCGGGCTTAAACCATCGACACTGAACGATCTTTTATTTGTCCGATCCAACCAAGACTTGATGTAGGTGCCACCTACACCAAGAGGTATTTTGAGTTTTGTATTAGCACAAGAGGTTTAATTTAAGCCTTATTATGAAGTGATCATGTCACAATTTATGATGAAATTTGATTTAAATGTCATAGCATTGACACGTTTGCCATCAAGGTTTTAGATCTAAAACATGGGTATGGGTCCAGAATAGTAAATAGTAAATAAATCTGTATTATTTGTGAATCGTTGTGATATCTCCATAGTATCTTTGTATGGATGATTCACAATTGTGCATACTCGTTGTGACGTGTGGTATCATGCGTGAAATTTTGACTTTTGAAATCAGTGAGCAAGATGGTGGTCTTCACACGTAAGAAGTTTCCTCGTGTGGTCAAGTATCAAAGGATTTGCTCCCTTTAATGTCAACGTGCAAATTTATCGTGCATACTTGGATATTCTGATGGATGTAGTATGGAGATGATGTTTAGGATTTAATGACTCATATACCATTTACCATAATGTGTATGACTTGCAATTAGTGAAATTCATGACTTGGCGGAAGTAGATTAAACTAAGGTTTGTATGAGCAATGCTCATACCCACCTCCTAGGTGGGTAGTACATGGGCTCAATTTGAATAGAATGGGTGAGCATGGGTGGGCACTATTCATGCTTTGGGTGGGCATGGATGCGCAAAGGTCCCTGCTGATTGTTATGGTCCGGGTATGGGTAGGAATTTGAAGTAAAATGTCGGGCTCTAATATATATGCATTGTGTCTTGATTGCTTGCATTTGAAATACTTGATTTTTGCTTTATTATTTTGATTACTCATTGTTTGACTTTTCCTTTACTGTTTTATCACTTGTATTTTACGACCATCAAGTAGATGATGTTGCAATTCAATGTCATCACAAATGATTTACTTAAAAAAAAATTTGATAATTTGTTGCATAGAACTTGTTTAATTCAAGGTATGTTGCTGAATTGCGTACATCTTTATCACTGTTGATTTTCACAATCCAATGACGATATCTTTTCACAAGAGAAGTAGGTGGATAACAATCCTTATGACTATTCAGATGAAAACTTTTTAAAACCAGAAATGTGAAAGCATACAACATACAAAGAGATTCAATTTTCCAACAATGATGAAAACGTTTGTTAAAATCTTTGTTTACCCTGGCATCCCATGCCATGACGTGTTTGCATGGTCAAATCATTTTTTGCGTTTATGCGCAACTACATGTGGTTTTTAATTACAAAATAACAACGTACTCTTGGCTGTCATTCGTGATGAAAAATTTTGCAATGTACTTTTTATTAGAATCAAATTGCCATTGTCATAGGTTCACAAACTCATATTGTGCCAAAAATTTGAGTAAAAGAGTCACAAATGAAATTTCTTTTGAAAGCTTTTGATCTCTAAGCATTGTGATGAAAACTTTTTCAATGTACTTTTTATTAGAAGCAAATTGCCATTGTCATAGGTTCACAAGCTCATATTGTGTCAAAAATTTGCGAAAAAAAGTCAAAATGGAATTTCTTTTGGTAGCTTTTGATCTTTGAGTATTGAATTTATTCTAGAATATAAATCCTCATGAAACAATCAACTTGAAAGGTGCGTACTCTTATATCTTCAACATATTTGTATTTACCTCTTTTGGCACATTGGAAATCATCTTGCTTAGGGTTGGAAGTCACCTTGTCTAGCCGTGAGAGCAAAAATGCAAAACTAGATCATATTCACGAATCTATTTCACTAATATAATGGGCAACAATTTTTACTTTTTCTTTCTGTGATAAATAATTCAATATTTCTTTAACCTGTATCTTTTTTTTGTCATACATCAAGGTCTACAAAACTACTCACGGTTACATCGTAAGCATGTTTAATGTTGCTATTTAAATAAAAAACACATATGTATGGAACTTAGAAACGCATATTTCACGCTTCTAAAAGCCTCTTCTGCCTATGAGAAATAAAAAAATGTTTATGTTGTATATACCTATTATGGAGATCTAAAGTAAGTTGATAAACCACACCAAATTTTCAATGTTTTCAACATGTGCCAACGCATTACGAAGAATCACTATTTTGTTGTTTCCATCAAGAATAGTGACCATGAAGAGCTAAAAGGAAACTTCTAATTTTGTGTGTGGCATGCTTCCAACGTAACTTGCAGTTGACAATCTTTCATTGCATTGCATGTTGCTGAAGATCATATAGGTGCACTTTAAATAAAATGCAGAGCTGTAATATGTTGATTAGGGGTGGATAAAACCAATAAATCTTTGTGAAATCAATCGGGTGGATGGTTTAATGTAATAAAACCTGATATTTGGTTGGTTTAATTATTGACGCGTGGACATCTCTGAAATGATTTCATCAAGCAAAAGTGACCCGTGGAAATCTCTAATAGAGACTTGCACTTGTCTTAGGACCCACCTCATTATAATAAAATTAAACTCCATCAAACCCCATTTATGTGGCCTCAGTAACATCGGATTAAACACTAAAACTCAATAAAATCCCACCTGATATAACCGTGCTGTGAAAGCCTTGATGTTGCCCAATTGATTCACTACCCATATTTTTTTCTTGAATCTTTGACAACAGAAATGATATTCATGTGAAAAGATTTTTGCTGTTCTACTAAATACATATCCTTCACCATATACTTAGTCGGCCATATTTTCAGGTACTTTGTGTTTCATTTACAACTTGTTTTTAACCCTGTACTCAGTACTTTAACATATACATGGATGTTGTGCGTAATTTTATTTTCTATTGTACCATCAAGCCATTGCAAAACATCTTACATCCTCGTCCATACTCTTCAATTTCAAGTTTCAGCATCACGCAAGTTTCAAGTTTAAATGAAACTCAGATATTATCTATTAAGCATAGTCGATCAACTCTACAAAGACTTAACAAAAACACATCAATAAATTTTTACAAAGAAAAATGAATGTGAAGATTTTTTTCAATTAAAGAATCAAAGAATTTATAGTTCTCCAACTTGGTTGATTTTTTTCAAAGCTTTGCAAAACATAAAAAAAAACATGTGAATGATTGTTGTATTTTTTTAAACTCACAACTGAGTTCGGACACATGATTGAATTTTTTTAGAAATTTGGCAAACTCAAGTTCTCGAATGCATTACATAAAAGTCAAGTCCGAATGCTCAGAAAGTAAGTCAATTTTGCATTGTCAATGAGCTCTATATGCAATAGAGTCTATTTATGTTGAGAAGAGTCATGTTTAGTCAGAAGTTTCGTGGTTTAACTATCTCATTCCGGCGACACTTTATGGGTTAACTATCTCATTCCGAGGACACTTTCTAGCTAAGTTTAGCTAAAACCAAGATTACTCTTTAACATGAATTAACCTCAACACATACATGTAGAAGCATACAAATTGTTTTGGAATTTATGTTTAATATTTATATATTTAATTTATATTTTTCTAGAGTTCACAATTGTGAATGTGTATAATGTGTTTCTTATTATTCGTATGAAATGATCTCAATTTTATGTCAAGTCTTTTTTGTAATATTAATATTGTGAAACATGAAATTTTAATTTAAATCAATATCAATAGATATAAAATGATATGTGTTTACTATTTAAATATTTTTATAAGATAATTAATAAAATTTATTGATAGCACTTTTTAGAGACTTTACAAAGTTAAATGACGTCAATATAATAATCACTTGGAAACTGTTGCATCAAATTCTAATAATTGTTTGTTTTTGAAATTTTTTGGAAAATATTTTTAACTTATGAAAATCTCATAATTTTATCTCCAAACGGAAAGATTAAAGATATAAAACTAGTCTAGAATAGGAACATATAATTTTTATAAATTGAAGAATTTTTTCCCCAAAATAAAAAGTGTTTTGAATTCTAGAATAAAACAAAGTTTTTGAAATATGAATTATAATTGTATAAAGGGATTAATTACAGTTTTCAATCTCAAGGTTACTAAACTAAATTTTTTTGTAAATTAAATATTGTTTACAAAATGAATAATTGTTTTTTGAGTTTTAACCTGAGATTTGAATCATTATTAACATATTGAGTCTTCTCATAGAGACAGAAAATTTAAAAACACCATTTAAGTTTATCGTAGTATATATTTCAAGATTTTTTTGAAAAAATCACAATAATTCTTACTATTGATTATTAAATATTTTAAATATAAACGTTATATTGCAATCTATGATTAAAATTTTTTTGAAAAAAGTTTAATATCTCTAGTAGAGATAGCAATTTGACAAACATGGATTTACTTCACTTACACCTTTATTTAAATATTTGAACTTAGAATTTTTGATTTTTTTGGTAAAATTCTTAATTTCATTCTTTTATGAAACCTATGATATATGAATTTGTAAAGAGTTGGAAACGAAACAATACGTTCTTGATATTAAGATGATAATTTTATCTCAATGTGTTCCATAATATATAAATGATTGGATTTAAGAATATATATCACAAAAAATCACATCAGTAGAATCAGCTTAATAAGAAAGAATAATGAGATGAAATGGGTTCTGCATATCTGTTTCACCACTCAACTTGAATAAAAAATCATATCAGATAGAACTGCTGCACGGGAATGTGACATTATGTGTTACTGAAAGGTTAGTGTGTGGATCAGTTTACATCTATGTTTAGACTAGTTACATGTATTGCTTTGATCATATGAGCCTATTGTATCATACAATTTAAGATGTAGTTAGTGATATAGTAGTTCATATCCCTCGGCTATCGATTTCGACTGGCCTTATTTTCCATAATCCAAGTGTACAAGGGAAATGTACCGTGATAATTGCAAAAAATGAATATATTTTATTAGAATTAATCAGACCTCGTTTATGCGAAAGAGACGACAGCCAAGTCATTTCGTTAGAGTCAGATTGAACGCAGAGTTTGTTCTCAAACAGCTCATTGCGCATTTGTAGATGTTGTGCGGTAAATTGCTTAAACCCTAGTGAGGGTATCGGCTCGAGAAGAATCTTCTGTGCATTGTAGATGTTGGCTTGGAGGTCTGCGCAGCTTTCGGTAAATTTAGCGCAGAACGCTGTGATATGGAGTTTTGAATTTAGATTGCCCTGTTTGCGAGTGGTTGTCAATGTTGCAAGTGAAAAACTGTAATTTTGCCGTAAGGAGGCTTAGAGTCAATCCGAGTTTATGTGTGATCGAATTGCTGCACTTACTGTTTGCTTAAAACGTAATTTGTGACTTTCTCTCAAAGATACTTCCTTTCTGATTTCCTTGTGGTGACGTTTGTTTTCAAACTCTGCAGACAGGATCTAACCGGGCAGTTCGCCATGCCAATAGCTGGAGCAGGTTTGGAGTCCCACAATTGTACGAGGTGGAGAATTTTTAGTATAATCGAGGAATCGTTTATCAGGAGTCCAGCAAGTAGAAGTATGGGAACAGAGTAAGAACTCTTGGAATTTTTATACATTTCGGATAAAGGTGTATGTAGTAAGGTGAACTTGAGATACCTCGATCAGTAGAAAAAGCGCCCAGCGCAAGGATCACAGTAGAGGATTTCAAACTTCGGGCAAACATGCCGGCGGGATCTGAAGTACCTTTGTGTGAAGCGGCAGCGGAAGGAAGGGTATCTGATGTGGAAGAGTTACTGAAAGCAGGTGCAGATGTCTGTGAGCACGATTCAACTGGGATATCTCCTCTCATGCACGCTGCCAAGAATGGGCACGCGTTGGTTGTGAGCAGGCTGCTTGAAGCAGGAGCTCCTTGGAACGCAGTCGATAAGGCAGGAAGATGCGCTGGTGACTATGCCGCGGATAATGCTCATCAAGATGCTTTTGATGTTCTTCTCAATGCAGGTGCAACGCTTGCCCTTTCTTAATCGAAACACGTCTCCCGCTTTCTTTGCATTACGTAAAATCAAGATGGGATGCACGAAAATTTACATCCCTGACGAGACCATCAATTCCGATATGCATTTTCTTTTCGAAATCTCAGGAATTTCCGTTTTGCCTGCTACGAGAGAAAGGAAGATCTCAGTCAAACACGTTGAGAGCATTACGTGGACTAGGAATTCTAATCAAAAGTTAGTGAATTACTTAATATTTTACAATGCTTCTCATTTGTATGTTTATTATGTTACTCTGCGTGCCTTACCTTCTCTTTGTCCTGTTTTCAAAACATAGAGCAGGATTATGATCCTTTGCTGCAACTTAAGCTTCTGACTTCTTTACCAGTTTGATTCGCCATCTTACCAGTTTCATTGTAAACTTTGTTCTAATTTCTTTTGATTATGTGTTCACATGTCTGAAATTGAACGTTCGGCGCAGGTATTACAGCTGAGTTGATTCTTGGTGCCGTGGAGAGACAAAGCAAGAAGAAGGGGGAAGCAACGAATAAGTCTTACTTAGACGAGCGCGTGGAGTACAGTGAAGACAGGCTTATGGATGAAGAAAGCAAGGCTGTTATGATGGCGTGGGAAAGTCCTCTCATGGCAGCTCATGCCAAAGTGGTGTGTTCAGCTGGCGGTGATATTCTGAACGTCGGATTTGGAATGGGTATAGTGGACACAGCTATCCAAGGCTACGAAATTACATCGCACACGATAATTGAAGCTCATCCAGACGTCTACGCTCGCATGCTTGCTACAGGTTGGGCAGAGAAGCCAAACGTACGAATATTATTCGGGCGTTGGCAAGATGTCATTCCTCAGCTGGGCACATATGACGGTAAGCATTGTTATAAAGCTTGAAATTCATCGGCACCTATGGCCCCGACGAGTAGCGGGGTAAATGTCTGAAGCCGTTTTTTGAATGTTTTTGATCGAGATATCTAAGCTGCTTCTGTTCAGTCTACTTGTCTCCACTAACTTTTTCTCTTCATTTCCTTCACTCCTATATTTACTGCAACTTTTGTTTGTTTTGTCAAAACATCTATCTAAAGTATAGGCTGCTTGAGGTCTACCTTGGCCTACCTTTTTTCGATCGATAGAATAAAGACCTTCCTTTCTTCAATTGTTGATTTCATGGTGTCTTCTGTGATTTGTGTTTTAGAAAAAAAGTTAGAGTTCATGCTTCAAACATGATAATCTGAATTTGAGATGGTTGCCTACACTACTTAAGCCTTGAAGTAAATTAGTAGTTATTTATGGTTACAGCTAGCGACTAACTATTTCTATGGAAATTTTTTTATTTTGGTGCTCGAAAGACATAAAGAATTTGACTCCGAGTGATGTAATAAGCAAGTACATCACTCTCGAACTAGTTTCAGTCCCCTTTCTGTTATGCATTTGCTTTGTTTCTATATTTGGAAATGATCTGTAAGCACATCAATAGTAATGTATGTCTTTAGATCCATAGTATATAGTTTTGACTATTTCTTACTGTTCTTTTTGTCTATCAAAAAAATTTCTACTCAGAAATGCTTCAAGTCGTATAGCGATGAGCATGGATTAGGAGTAAGTGCAATAGCTCTAATCTTACTAAAACTTCAAAAAAGGTCGGAGCTTGTTGACTAAATCCAAGTTTGTTCAACATTCTCATGGACCGGATGATCTCATTCAGAGCTATAGAAGAAGATATAATCCAGGTTCTCTTGTAGAGGAAACTAGTGATGTTTGCTCTTTGGTTTTTTAACTGATAGCTGCATCACGAAGAGTAAACAGAGAGCATCTGGTGGATCTATTGTTGCTCTATTCAACTTATATCAGAAAATCTTTCTGAAGTATTTTTACATTCTAACTTCATGTACTTCAAATAAATGGCTTGAGTAACTATGAGGTACGTGATTACCCTAATGATACATCCCGAATGAATTGGAGTGGGATATCTTAATTTTAACGTTATGTAGCCAAAGCTTGCACTGAGTGCGCTATGTCTAGTTTGGTACAAACCATATCAAACATTATCAAACTTACAGCACTCTGGTAATGAAACTGCAGATTCTCTTGTGTTAATTAGTAAGCATTTTTCATGGGTCTCAAATCTACAGTCAAGATTATAAGGTGTTGCAACAGATTTCGCATGTCGAAAGTGCAAATAGAAAAAAACTTTAGTAAATCTGTTCATTGACATTAAGAATCTAACAAAATCAGGTGCATAGATAACTTGCTGTAGCACTAAGGTAATCTGCCGGTCCTTGTTCAACACTCCAACATTATGCAAAGACACTGCTCATATCCCCATGTATGATTAATAACCATTTTCACTCTCTACGTACCTCAACACTTTCCTGATGAACTACGAGAGCCACCTCGCTGGTGGCTCTCGTAGTTCATCAGAGGTGCAGGCCGAATTGCAAATATCCCATTTCCTTCCTTTATTTTCAATTGTCACATAATCTTAGTTCGTGTCATTGTTTGAGGATTACTCAACTAGGACTGCACTCTATTTGTTCTTTTTGTGAGCGACAAACATAGCGGTTTTTTTGTCATCCTTCTCATGTATAACTAAACTTTGAAGTAATCAATATTTATCTGCGGTAAAAGTTTGTTAGTAACATTTAGTTTACAGTTACAATTTTTTTCAAAAAACAAAAGAAACTAACTCCTATGTTACAGCTACTGTTTTATTGTTAATTACAAAGAATTGACTCCGTGATCAATCATTACATGGTAATCATATATGACTCGACCTACCAGGAGATCATAATTAACGTCACGTGTATGTGTCCACATGGTAGATTGATTGCAGAGGTTTCGACCATTTGAGGGTTCAGGTTTCTCATCCTAGAGTTTTCACGGATGCTATCAGCAAATTCCATATTCCAATTTATGTGTAGGTATTCAGGTTTTGTAAATTGTGTCTGTAGTCAACGTCGGTATCTTGTGTGCTCAACCCTGATTGCATCCCATATAGTGAGGTCTGCATACTTTACAACCAAACAAACTCTACACTCTGCCCCAGGATGGTTTATCCTGGAATCATATCAAACTTCTCCCAGTTTTCGACTTGTTAAGCAACTATAGTATCCACCGCTCTCAGGACTCATGTTCGAAGTTGAAACCTTATGCTCTCCGTGTTCACCACGCCACGCTTGAGTGTCTACTGTAAACGAGGATATAGTCGATGCGCTACCGAACTGGATATTGTATTCACCAATGAATTCATTTGTGGGTCATCAACAGCGAAGATTTTGTACTTGTCCATATGGGTAACCCCGAGGACGGTTCATCTTCTTTTTAGTAGTTCAATGACTAAGGAAGCTTGTGAGATAAGCACTACGCAATGAACTTATAATTTGTACTCATGGGGGATCTGACATATTCACTTCACACACCTCTGTGAAGGTACCGATACTGGTTTTCTTCCACTGTTTACTTGAGACCTGCTTCTGCATACAAGTTCTGGGCCAAGAAAGAAGTTCAGTCCTCAAATTTACTAACTCAGTCTAGTCAATTTTCTTCAGTTCCCTCTTAGGTCAAGGAAATGTTGATCCTTAGAATTCTACAGAAATGAAATTCATGGGAAAGGAGGAAATTACACAGCATTCATTCACTCGCCGCTCTTTGTATGTCTTGCCTCTGTCCTTCCTGCCTTGTAAGCTTGTTTGTTTTTGTCTTGCTAGTCTTCACCTGACAGAGGTCGATGCAGTTTCGGTTTCGCTGTCATTCTCTTTCAGTAGCTCTTGATTAAAAGCCCACAGCAGTTGCACTTTTGAGGCTCTTATGACGTCTTTTAGTTCTTGGTTGATTTATCAAGATATTTTCGACGTAATCTCGAGATTGTAATGAAAAACTCCACACTGCAAGAGAGATTTTTCTCAGTTTCAAGCTGTCATCTAATTCCTTTCCACTTTGCTCTTCGTTTCCCCTTTTCTACGACTCAATATCACATTTATGTCAACAGCATTCATCTAGGGCAGGTACTGTGGTCTTCAGGCCAGTTACGTCTGTAATCTTTACAGGGGTATGCTAATCAAACGAGGATATGTGCACATGCATTCGCCTTTGTGTCTGACTTCGATCTGCCGTTCCTACCCGTGTTGCTTGGTAACACTGTACTCTTGTTATACTCAGATGACATACCTTCTCTAATTTTTAGTTAGATATGTGATCTGATTACCTATCACTTGCTCCGAGTTTGACCATTACGTATCAGGATTTCGTGGCCGTATAGAATCAAAGATTATGCGTCCATCGATTCTCGAATTAGATGTTGTAGCTGGTCCTTTGTTTAGAATGCTTATTGGATGGTTTCACATTTCTTGATCTGAAGGACCTGCCTCCTGGATTTCTTGATGCAGGTATCTTTTTTGACACATATGGGGAGTATTATGAGGATTTGAAAGAATTCAATGAATATTTACCCCAGCTACTAAAAAAGGAGGGTAGATATTCATTTTTCAACGGCATGTGTGCAGATAACGGCTTTTTCCATTTAGTCTATTGTGAACTCGTTAGGTTAGAACTAGGAAGTCTTGGTATCACCACTGACTATATTCAGTTACCCGTAAAAGATTGTATGGATGAGGAAACGTGGAAAGGCATCCAACATAAGTATTGGCAATTAGATACATATTCTTTGCCCGTTTGTCAGTTTTCAGAGGATGAATCCGAAGAGGAGAATCAGTAATGCTGCACTGTATTACATATTTTATATCAAAATCTGAATTCAGATTCAGTTTGTTTTGGTGAAAGTATTTCTTTGCTTTTTGTGGATGGGGAGGATAGAAAACAATCGTATTGCCTAATTGTAGACTTCGGATGTACTCGCTTAACGTTAGTGGAGTGAAAAGAAGGAATTCAACTCCACGTAGAAGCTGCTGTCAACTGAAGCGGTTCATTATACGTTTGATAGCACTCTACTCTGCCTGATCTGGAATTGTGATAAGAAAAAATCATCGCCTCAAATCGTATCGCCTCTTTTAGCTAAGTTCTTAGCTAAAAGAGAGAAGCATCTATGCATCCAAAGACTGTATTCTGACCAGTTATGTCTGTAGAAAATCCAGTGGAAACCCAACCATCTGCCCAAGTACTGATTTCCTTGACGAGGCCATGCAGTGAGTACATATTTTCGTGCACACTCCGAAGTGCGAGTTCAGCTCCCCCATATGATGACAGATCATTCGAGCCCCTGCAGAAACGACCGCATGATTACACGAGGCCTTGTGGTTTCCACACTCTCTTTTGAGTGGCCGACAAGTAAGGATCAGATGCATGATGCAGTGAATTTGGAATCCCGCAGACCATTTGGAGTAAAGCTCGGGTAAGAGGCATCCGAGGGTCCAGCCAAGCTCGGCTACTGTAAGGCTTGCATGCAAGGCCAGGCCGGAGGTGGATGGGCTGCATCGCCCGGCTTCTCTTCTGCTGAAATGAAATCATCGGGTGCCATCGATGCCCGGTCAACCCACTGTGCCGCTCGCAATCTCCTCTAATGAGACACGCATTTCACCATCCACAGGAGACAGGACCGAGCGAGCAAGCGCGAGCGAGTCTGTCTCAGTCCACCTCACTCCCGCCCGGTTCCCAGAAGCTCACCACGTCGGGTCATGTATGTTGTCCGTCATGCATTCATATGCATGCCTGGGTCGATGCAGCCGCAACTGTGGTTGCATGTGCCTCCGGTCGGGGTTCCTGTCCCTTGTCCACGTGGACGCAAGACCTCTAACCATGTGAGGTGGGCTCGCTGGACCAGACTGCGCTTCCCATGTCGCGCCCCGCTGAATGGCTAAAGTCTCTACTGTGGTCAATCTTCGGCCCTGAAAGAAAAGGCCCCGTCTCCTGTCGGGGTTGCTGCTGTTCGTTGTCCACGTGGACGCAAGCCCTCTAACCATGTGAGGTGGGCTCTCTCTACTGTGGTCAATGTTCAGTCGGCGACTTCATGCGTTGGTTCACACAGCCGGTCATTATCCACTCGGAGCAGCACAATCATGCGCATAGTGATATTTTTGTGATGTACTAGTGATATATTTTAGGCTTATCTATGTAGTTGTTCTGTTAGGAGTATGTCAGGCGACGTCATTGTATTAAAGTCAGATAGCAGAGCCCATGCAAAATAAGGAGGGGTCCGAGTAATGTAGCAAAGGGGACAGGACGATCCCATCTCGTCGATGCAAATGATCATGAATGATGTGCAGTGAATCCTGTAGTTCCTAGCAATCGTAGTGCACATGAATGCCAAATAAGAAATGGAGGCAAGACCCTTCAGCTTCATTTTCCACTTTGATGAAACTGTAATTGCTTTGGCAACGGTCAGAATCATTGAATAGATATTCTTCGTGGAAGACTCAATAAAAGTGATTCTTCTCACACTTTCAGTTTCTGATGCTTTTAGTGCTTCAGTTCAGAACATACAGCTATTTATAAGTGTGTTCCACTTCTGATCATATGAAGGAAGGGGCTTCGTGAGGTAGCTTTTTGAGCAGGTCCACTTTGGTGTTTCCTTGGGATTTGCGTATTGGTAAGATAGCATTTCATTCTCGTGTCGAATTGTTTTCTTTAATGACGGTTCTCTAGGCGCGCTTTGAGGGGTACAAAGTGGAAGAGAGTGAGACTATATATATATATATATATATATATATATATATATATGATGCCTTATTTGGCGCAAGATGTGTGACATTGCATGTAAATTTACGGTTTTTCCCTCATGTTCATATTATGAAATGATGCGTATAACATTGAAAAAAACAGAAACAACCTTCCATCGTCATGAGACAATGTTTATCAATGTATTTTTTGGAATAAATTTACAATATAACATCAAATAGAATTTTTCGAAGAAGTTAAAAAGATCATCCATATCTCTTCATCTCTTTTACTCCGGCTTAAATTTGTACTAATCAAAACCGAAAATAAACATATTTTTTTCGTTTGCCGAAGCTGTACCGATAACCTCAAATTTTGATTATACATCTTTTGAGAAGTTCAAATATCGGAGATGTTTAGTGAAAATCTTTTTTTTTCATTTTTTTTATATTTTAATACATTTTATTAATACATATAATTTCTTTTTTTATGTTGATAACGAAGTATAGCTAATAAATATCAAATGTGAAACAACAAATGATTTACATGTCCTTAGTTACTAAATATTTTACCACATGAAAATATCATTTTTTCAAAGTAGCATCTGTGAAAACTATATTTTGTTGTCAAAATCTAAAAACACTCATATTATTCATCAAATTTATGTAAATCTTCAAGTGTTTAGATCAAGAGACTTGTTCATACCAATGTTATTTTTTGAATAAATGATTTTAATGATGATATTATATTAATATAAATGATAAATTTATTAAATTGAAAACTCCTACTGGGATAGAGCAACTTATATCTACTTAATTAAAATTTTTATTTTATATAAAATATCGATAAATAATATGTTATTACAGCCGTAAATAGGAAAAACCATATCATAATACTATGGCGTATTATTTTATGAGAATAAAAAAATTATGAATCAAGTAAAAATTTTGATAATGAGAAAAAAAATTTGAATATGCATATTTAAAAAATTTAACATCCTAGTTATTTGCAGAATATTTTTTAAATACCTAAATAATTCAATTTTTATTGGACATTCAGCCCATGATTAATTATTATTTCAGAAAAAAATAAAATGCTAAAGGAAGTAAATAATTTGAGGGTTGATCAACCTGTACAAAAATCTATTAGTATTGTTACCTTGATATCAATTGAAATAATTGAAATAGTACAAGTTGATGAGGTACATTGCTCCATACTTGCAATTTCAGAATTTGAACAAGATATATTGTATTTTAAAATTTTCAATAAAATATAAAAAAAATTTAAGCTTGGTTTTTATTTCATGATTGCATTTGGGATAATTGAAAAATTAATAACGAGATAAATAAAAAAATTTAAAATTTAATCAGATAATTTTTTAATCTCAATAATTATTATTTAAATCTTGATTATAGCGAAAATCTATTGATTTTTCGCTATTCATAGAGCATTGGATTCAAGATATAAATGATATGGATAAAATCTTCAAAACAAAAAACAATTTACAATATTTTACTTCTGAACATTTGTGTAAGTTGAAATCTTATACAGATATAAGTACTGAAGTTTTGATAGTTCAATTATTTATGTAGAGATTAGATACTACAAGGAAACATTGTGTATACATGTGTTATAAATAGACGTAGAAAACTAATCATTTTGAATATTTATGTTCTTGGGTATATACTTGAATTGCACAATGAACTTAAGATTTGAGATAAATGTATTTTTTGTGTACTTTTAAGTGTGATACAATATTTACGTGACACATTAAAAAAAAATTAATAATGTGATTGCAAGCATGCTGTCTGTATGAGATAATTACTTTTACATAATTGAGAAAAATTGAACCATTTATTTTGTGAGATATTTTTTGTCCTTCTTCCTATATAATTAATAATGCCTGTGTAAATTTTAGTAGATTATACTAGTTCTTTTCATGTACATTTATACTACTATCTGGAAACACCTGTGCATCTACACTCATCCACATTCTCGTGTACATGTAAAACTGCACACAAAATTGTCAGATATTTGTGAAGTATTAACTTTCTTTTGGCAGGTTCCATATTTTTCTATGCATGATCACGTACACATGCAAGTACACGCCAACAGGAGGACACGGTTTGAAGGAGTTGGAGCAGATCCCGTGCAATGGCGAAATGAAGCCCACATGCGGTTCGTTCGTGTAGGGACGAACTTAATGTGAAATTACAGATCAGGACTCGGAGACAGATACGACGTTAAAGGGTGAACGTGGAATGATATGTAAGGACTCGTCAGTCCAGGCGTATGATTCTGTCGAGTATCCCGTAGAGGAAGACCCGGTGGACGGCAAGGCGTGCAGCCAGCTAAGCCAGTGCGGGCGGGCGGGCGCGTTAGGGCAGGACCACCGAACTGCAAAGGTCACTCACTCATTCATGCGAATGAGGAGCTCGTTCGGGTCTGTTAGGACCGATGGCTATTAGAGGCGGACAACTCGACAACGGAATCTCGAATCTTTCCACATCCATAAGGGTCAGCCCCCTTTCCTTGACAGCTGCGGTCCCAGCTGGACAAAATAACTTTCAAGAGTGTGCACAGTGGACATCGCCCTTGTCCCGAGCGCAGGGCCGAGAGAAACTATCCGCTCCCAGAGGCGGAAGCGGTCTTATGATAAAAACGTGAAATTTATTCTGGCACCCTTTAAAGTGCTTTAAAGTCTGGCCAGGCCAGCAAGGATGGAATATTTATCTGAAATGTACAATTTTATCCACTTCATCACCAACAGGGGCTGAGTAAATATCCACTTCCTGCAGATTGTGTGCTCACTCGTACCACCATGTGGCGGACACACTCCCGCGAGTCCACTCTTTTAGCCCGAGATTCTGCCCAACATGTTCTTACTATACGAGGCTAACCACCACCAAACATGGCAGAATGTCCACAAACTAGCCAGCCTTGAATCCACCGCTAACAACGCAATTCCTTGGGGCTCGATTCTCTCGCTTGTGTAATGAATGCCGCGAGTATAGTGATGTTGTCGAGAGTCCGGTCCCCTTGCTCTGAGCCCCCTACGGCCGACTGCTTTTACCTGTACCTTTTTTCGCTGTTATATGTTACTTTTATCCTTTGGTTTTGGGCGAAGTTTAGTTGATGGAGGCCCTTGTTTAAGTAATGCTTGATGAACTGGGATGGATTAGGCCAGATTTCTATCTGGTTCCACATTGGTGAATGTTGCTTAGTCATTGATACTTACATGTGATATAGTTCACCAACAATTCTGAGTTCCATGAGCCGAAGCCTCAAGTATAGAGGTATGAAGATGTGCCATATCTTTTAAAAGTTGTATACGGAAATAAAAATCAATGTTTTGTTAATTTGGGAAAAGGCATGTGAGAGGATACTATACCATGCAGCATGTGTAGAGTGATATTTCATGTCTTATCACATAAAAGTTGAGATCAAGACCATTGAGTAATGTAAGAAGAGAAAGAAAAGTAGAGGCCAAATGATATGAAAAATAACATAAATACCTCTACAAGTAGTGCACGGAACAAACAATCAGAAATATCATGAGGTGGATTCAGACAGTATGATGGAAGAAAAATGTATCCAAAGTTTAAAAAAATCAAAACTATCTACATGGTAGGGTATACAATTAAGAAGAGAGCATTTAATGTCGTATCATCTCACCTGGTTGTCCTCATGTGATTTACGCGGCCAGTTTTTGTACATATCATAATAATAAACTATGCTGTCTAAAATATAACAAAAAGATGAAACCTTATCGAGTCAAAGATGGATGAAATCAAACGGTGACATGGAATTAGATCCTAATCTCGTCATATGAATATATCGTATATACTCAATCTAGAAATAAAAAATTTCACAATATGATTTTCAAAAAAACACAAAAGATGAATTGATGAGTCAAAAATATTTTAATCAAATCTTATGAATCATAGCAATAAATTATTTTTTATTCATCTTGTCGGACCGATTAATCTTTGTCAAGTTCAAAATTTATCTAAAATATGACGATATATGCAGTTTCATGTACTTAATTTTTGTCTGTCATTTGTATATAAATTTTCAATTTTCAAAATATATTAAATATTTTCATATGCAAGCTGGAAACTAGATTTAATTTTCCATAGATATATCGAAAAGTTAATGAACTATACATTCCAATGCCATCATAATGGAGTTGTTATCACATAAATTATTCAACTATTCAAAGAATATTTTCTACACAATATTAAAATTAACATAATGTAACGCTATGTTTGTGACATGGTTTGCATCAACTAGCTCTCTATGTAAAACAGTGTATTAGCATGATGTAATATACAGATCTAAATATGTTATGGAAAGTGAACTCGATGTTGTATATGTTTAAGATCATTGTGTCAAAGTTGACATTTATCGCTCCCATGTATCTTTGAATATAAAGTTTAAAGCATGGACACTTAAATACCCGAACAAACCTTAGATGCGTTATCCTTCAAGAGTATTCAAAATCAACCACTCAGAACCATTACAATGAAATGTATGTAAAACACTATGCTTCCAAATCAAGTATATTTTTCTTCCAATTTGAATAATTTGGAAGACATTCTAAAATTCAGTTCCTTTAGTTACCCACCTACCTTTCAATTCACACCACATTTACAATGACATCAAACATTCACAATGAGTTTATCTTATGCAGAACCATATTATAGAAGGATCATCATTCTCGGTAATTATTTACGGGAGTTACTCACCTACTTTTGTAAATAACAATGCACAATTTGACGATGGGTTATTCCTATCCTATGGGCTATCCACTTGGTGAACGAAGCCGAGACACATAAAGTAGCTTGTGGGAAGGTTCCAGTTTTCACAATAATAAATGTATGATGTCGTGCTATTTGCACCATCATCCAGACAGAAGAAAGTCTATCCGCAATAAATGGTAAAAGCAGCAGTTTTGACGACAACTGGGGAAAATATAAAGAGCGGGTGTAAAGGTGCACAAGTAGCTCCTGCGGCCTAGTAGTGCCCAAGAGATCTTATGGAAAAGTTCGCCGGTTAAATCCATACGGATTCGGGAGGCCATACGTTTTTGCCTGCCTGGTAGATTTCCTATATTCCGAGATGTAGATTCATGAGATTAATAAATAGAGCTGGCTGGGAGGCCAGCCATCCAAGGTTTTACTGTAGAGCTATAAATCTGTCACCAAACAACTGTAGGGCTTCCAGTCGTAACACATAGGGAGGTCTCGCGACGTTCAGGTATGAATGTATCCATTTCCCCGACAGGTCTCGCGGGTCAAGACGCGGGGGCATTATCCGCTCCAACTGCACTTGAGGCCCAGCCAAAAGGCGCCAGCTAGCGTCCGGGCAAAGTAAAAATCATTAAGCTACTCACGCCTTCATCATTCCCCTCGTTTCGTCAACAGGGCCGTTCGGGCAACAGTCAGAATTGCAGAACGGCTGAGCTGAAGTCGCCCGGAAGTTTCCGCCGGCCGCTTTCCGTTTCCAGGTCAGGTCGGTGACGACGGACGCAGAGAAAGAAAAGCAAAAGAAAAGCGCTCTCGCCGAAAGAAACCCTTCCGCTGTCCTTGCGTCGTCGCTTGCCAAATCCACGGGGTCTATTGCCCGCTCTCCGCCTCCCTCCAGTGGGCTGGCCTGGCTGCTTGGGTTCCAAGCGAGAGGCGAAGAAAGTCAAGGCCAGGGGTAAAAGCCTCGCGCGCCTCGCTCGTCAATAACGACAGAACGGACCAGTCGGGGGACGACGACGACGACGACTGAGATACTTACTCTCGGGGATGGAGTTCGTCCTGCTGCAGCTGGGCGGAGGGGAGCGAAAGGCGGGTTTGTTCTGCGAAGCTGTGAAGTTGTGGGGCGGGCGAGACATGAGGGGAAGTAGTAACCGAGAGGGCCGAGTGTGAAACTTGCGCTCCTTGTCCTGCTGCGAGTGAATCTTGTTCGTCGCTCGTCCTGGTCATTCCCTCGGAGCCGGTCGCAGGCTCTGTGTGTGTCTCATCAGGTGAAAGGCAAACTCGAGTGCTCGTCTGCGTCTGCGTCTGAACCTGTGCCGGTTTCTGATCACCACGAACACGAACGCCAGTCGCAGCCTCCGGGCTCCGCGTGATCCGATGCTCAGGAAGGCAATGATAGGATGAGACGAATCAAACTCGCAGCCGCACTGGCACCAGCAGCAGACATGGTTATTGAACCGTGGTGCGTGGGCAGCAGCAGCAGCGGCAGCCTTGAAGCCTACAGAGTCAGAACTAAGCAGAAGACGAGCTAGAGAGATTGATTGACTGATTGAGTGATAGAGTGATAGAGTGATAGACGGTCGGTCCTTGTCCGCAGTGGCCCAATCTTGTCGTCGGTGAGCGAAGAAGGAAGGAAGGGAAGGGAAGGGACGGAAGGACTGCTACGGTCGCAAGCAAGCAAGCAAGCAGGCAGCGAAGCAACAACAACATAAACAATTGTCCAGCTGTGCAGGCTGCGGACGAGGCAGCAGGGAGGTGAGGCAAGGCAAGCAGGAGGCAGGAGGGAGGGGCTGGCCTGCTGCTGGTTATATTTCGCAGGGCGAGCCACCAGCTGCGGGCGGGCATGACTGCAGGAGGAGACGAAGAGGGGCAGGGCAGCTCTTGAAACAACTCGTGGTCGGCCGATACCGATACCAAAATCGATTCGTTTGCCGGGTCGGTCTGTCTGTCTGAGACTCAGTGCCAAGCAGCAGAAGTGCGAAGCACCGCAGCCCACGAAGAGAGGGGCAAGAATCTTCCCCCCACCCTCTCGCAAGCAAGCAAGCGAGCACGCACGCACGCAGGAACGAACGAACGAACGAACTTTGGGCGCATGGAGGGGACCAGCAGCAGCTGCTGCTGCTAGTAGTTGCTAGTTGGAAAGTCGCTGCCGAGAATAGCGAGAGATGAGAATCCGAGAGAATCGCGAAGCAGCAGCTGTTGGCAGGAAGAGGCAGACAGGCACCTCGGCGCATGCCCTCGCATCAATCGTGTCCCGAATCGAACACCCTGCGCGCGAATTTGCAGGACCCGGTGGGCGTCCAACTGTTGCCAAGTGAGCCAACGAACGAAGGCAGGAACATCGCAGCCATCTTTGTCGGCAGCAGGCTCAGGACCGGGCCACAGGCCGAGGCCTGCGGGAGAGGCGGAGGAATCCGGCGCTCAGCCTCACCGAGCGAACAAGGCAAGACGCCCGAAGGGGCGGAAGAGGGGAACGTTGTTGCGCCCGACAGAGTGTGCGGAGGGCCACTGTGCCCCCAACCCTAGAGAGCGAGATTGAAAGAGAGAGCGAGGAGGGGGGGGGGGGGGGGGGGGGGGGGGGGGGACTACTGTACAGTGCAGGGCGAGGGGAGGGAGGGGGAGCAGGCAACGGACTGGAGAAATTGGTGAGAGAGCGGGGCTGGGTCATGATTTGAACGCTGCGAGAGCTAAAAACGGGACGGGAGCGCCAACGGTGGCGGGGTACGAGGAACCGCGCGCGCGTGTAGCATTTGACCTTCGTGTCGCCTTTCTCGCAAGAGCAGGGAGGGGCCTTCCAGGCAGCCATCCATCGCCAGCGGTACAGGCATCCATCCCTTCTGAAAGCGCAAGCGCACAGAGCAGCGGAGAGGCAGGGGAGGGCAGGGGAGGGCAGGGCGAGCGAGCGATTAAGGAGCTGGGATTGCAGCCTCAGCAGCAGCTTCGCAGTGTGGGAGCTCAATAAGCACGTGGAAAACAGAAGTGTGATGGGCGGACGAGGCCATCTTCGAAATACGCGACTTTGCGTATAACTGGCAGCAGTCCGAGGCTCGAGAAGCAGAGCAGAGCAGAGGTAGTGCGACGGATGACCGACAGGGCCGCAGGCAATCTAGCATCTCCCGCAGGCGCGCAGCTGTGGAGTTAGAGTCCGGGGGTTCCTCGAGAATTGGGGCCTCGCCCGCGAGCAGTTGGCCTACGGATTCAATCGGTGGCGAAGTCAAGTCAAGCAGCTTCAGCTTCATCAGCAGCAGCAGCGGCAGCGGCAGCGGCGTCCTCGTGAGGCTCGGTGGGTGGAGCGGGAGAATTCTCGTGATGAGAGTGATGCGCGGTTCGTGGAAGGCAGTCTCCTGTCATTGCGTCGTTATCCGATTCGAGCTCTTCGTTTGCCCTCGCTTTTTAACCTCCCTCGCCGACGACTGCCGACCGGCATAATTTCCAATCAGTCAGTCGGTCAATCAGGCAATCAGGCAATCAGCATCATCATCATTCGTGCGACGCGAGCAGAGAATGCGATCAAGTATGTTGGCCTCACTGCCCGAAGACGTGCTGCACGGAGTTTTCCAGAAACTCCCCTTCGCGAGCCTCGTCCGGTTCCGGCTGGTGTGCAAAGCATGGAACGAATTGATAATCTCGCCCGAGTTCGCTCGCTCCAACCACCCCATGAAGTCCGTCTTGACGCACTTTCTGAATTGGAAGCTCACTCTCTTCAATTCCGTCGCCTGCGTGTGGGAGGACTATTCTTTATCGTTTTTCCGAGATCAGATCGAGGCCAAATTTTTAGACGTGGTGGCCACCGACGGGGGACTCCTGTGTTTTGAAACAGAAGTATTCGGGCAGCTCGTGGTGTGTAATCCGATTACCAAGCGATGGCGAGTCGTGCAAGTGCCCTGCCGACCGGGAGAAGAGTTTTACATGCCAGCCCCCCAAGTGCACATGTCCATGAGGAGCCAACGACCGCTCGGAGACAGGAGGATGATGGTGGGGCTGATTGTCGATCAGGTTACAGGCCACTACAAGGTCATCGTGGCTGCCCTGCATGAAGGTGCCAACCGAGCCACTCTCGTGTACGACTCGCTCACCCGTTCGTGGAAGAAAGGGGCTCAGGTGCCGGAGGGGAAGAAGTTTTCTGACGACGACGTGATTTCTTGCAATGGGCGAGTGTACTGCCTGATCAAAAATCCCAAGGGCGCGCAACAGGAAGCAGTGTGGAGGCTGCTGAATTACAACGTAGAGATGGACATGTGGAGCGAACTGTGCCTTCCCGCGGAGACGCTGGTCTCCTTTATCAAGCTTGTAGAGCACTGCGGTTCAGTTCATTTGCTAGTGGAGGAGCGGGATTCCTCGTGGCGCAACCCGAGGCTCCTGCTCTACGATATCGAAAATGCATCGACCAGTTCTTCCATGAGGTTGACACGAAAAGACATTCCGAGAAAGTTCACCACCAAGTTCAGCGATCAAGCCCTGAGACCTACATTTTTTGAATCCAATGCCTTGGGCCAGGGAAACTTGATCTACGTCATGGAGTCTGATACCGATGCTGGTTCCGTAGTTACCGTTCTCACCGTCCTCAACTTCTCAGCCAACACTTTCTGCGATCTCCCCGAATTGATCATTAAGCGGGTCATGGCCGCCACCGAGCTGAGACACCAATTCCATCTATTCACTGCCTCATTAACAGCGCGAGTTTGACACAGTCTCACAACCATACCAATTTTTGCTAAGACGGCCAAGAGCTGCATCACACATGGGCACTTGTATCGAGTAAGTTCATCACTATCTCAGGCTTCTGAAGGCACAACTAGAGCGACTGAACAGAAAGATTGTTACAGAATCGGTGCCTTATAGCATACCAACTCAGGTGACATCTAGAACAGATTGGCTGAGTTTACTGGATCTCTGGTGCATGTAAAGTTCATGACAGTTACACACTTATTACTTGTAAAAACGTATATTTATAAGGATCAATTTGTGTCTTGACTACTCTTTCTGATGTTCTCTTGGGAATTCACCCCAACCACCTGTGTCTGTCTGTTTTACCGATCTTGAGTATGTCTCCAAATTTATGCCACCTGCTCGAAACTGAACTCTCACTATTTTATTTGTGAAAAGCAAACATCTGCTCATAAGCTACGAGATGATTCCTTCTCTTCTCGGACAGTGGGAACTCAGTCTGAACCGAAATCTCGCTATTCGATTTGTCGTGAATAGGGGACCGCGTTTGTGTTTGGGAATTATGGATCTCCGTGATTATTCAGACGCGAAAGAATCACTTAGCTGGACAGATTCCTAACGGTTGGATTGCTCTTAAGTCACCTTTCCGTTTCGGTGATTGAAAGCCACGAAGGTCAAACATTTGTGCAATAGGTCTTGCCGAGGAAAACAAATTGCTTCTAGATTGAATGTATCTTTCGGTGAGACAAAATTCGACTTTTCTCACTGGGTTGTTACATGCACTTAAGCTTTGTCGAGGATCGAAGATATATGTCACAATTACAGAACCTCGAGGCTACAGTGTTACTGCAGGAGGTCGTTACAAAAGCGGCTGATGATGAGTTCTCTTCAACTTAGCAGCATGAACTGTTTCTGGGCTAAGGTTTTTGAGTAAAGTGCACTACTTTCTCACCCATCTAAACGGTTTAGATGGTGCTACTCGCAGTCTGATCTCGCCTCGACTCATTGTTCCGCCTTCCACCAAATTTGTCTACGTCATCTTATTCTCCAAAAACATTTCATGCTTGAGGATTGATAAGGTAATTGATGCGTACTCGGCCCGTCAAGATTGCAAGCGCCGTTGGAGGTAATGATTCCAATCTACAGAAACTGCAACCATATACAGACTCTATGCATCTGGGTATTATTAATCTGATCTCTTCGCAAAGGTTGTTGATACCAATGTTGGTCGATGGTGGAGGATGCATCCTGATGGAAAGAATCGACAAGTTCACAGAGATGGTATCATTTTTGCAGACACCTGAAATGAGGAATGTCCCTTGGAAGTTTCCATGAATGAGCTGTTTTGCACGCAGCCCGTAGTTGCGCGGTTTTAAAATGTACACCGTGTTTTTGATAATACAGTAATATTAACCCAAATCACTATGCCCACATTAGGTGCTGCACTTCCTGAGTCATGACTCACGAAGCGTGAATGAGTTTGACGAAGGTTGTACTGCAGAGCAGGTCGTGAACCGGTCACGATCTGATTCCCGTAAGAGAAAGCAGTAACTCAAGGTAAGCATGATCAACCACCACGAAGAAAACGTAATTTTATCGACATGATGCATTAGCAGGGTGCTTCAAGCTAACGTGGTGGTCAGGTTAAGGCTCAGCTGATCAGCTAGACGCAAGCCAACAGGACAATTTTCATGAGCGCTACGTCTGCCAGTTAGTTTTGTTTTCTTCATGTTCTGGCTGCTTAAGTAAAATACTCCAATGTTCAATTTTTTGAAGATGGCAGACTTGTTCCAGGGAGGTGCGTTTCCAGTTCTCGTCACTCACCACCTGTTGCGCAATACAAACGCGAAGACTGCAGTCGATTACTAGATCAGACAGCAAAACCAGGTCATCACTAAGCATTATTCCAACTGAGGTTCAGGGCGAGTAAGTGTTCACGTCTTAAACTGTACTAAACTTTCCAGATATTGTTGGGTTACATTGACTCTGGAAAAATCGAAAAGCGGATCAATCTTTGTCATTTCACCGGCCAGATAGGGCTTCTGGCAGATGATGTCTTTCTAGGATTTCCTCTGGTTAGCTTTGGACATGTTTGAAGAGATGGATGACCTCGACAGATTCCAAAGTCAAGTTGCCGTTCTACGAGCTGAAGTCCTCGACTCCTGTTCGTTTCTGATCTCTACACCGAGCTTGGCTCTATGTAAAAGCGCGGAGACCATTGTCTGAACCTACTCAAGATGTGACCTTTCACTGCTAAAGCTACCTATGACCGTTCGTTCATCACCTTGTTAACTGGTCGCACAATGTGGTACTTAAAACGTCGTGAGTTACAGCTGTACATGGTCATCGCTTTATCGTGTTGGTGTCCACGGCTGCAATGGCTTCATCTGCAGTTCAAGAGGTGTCTCCTTTCTGCTCGGTCTGGACATGGTTACCATCCTCTGATCGACATGTCGCCATAGCCAACTTTGGCTCGTTCAACTCTCACATTTTATTTTAGTTTCAGTTCATCATGGCTGCTTCGGAAATACTCTAATCTGCAGTACTTGCGGCCGAATTAATCTCGTCGTGGATTTCGTTCCCAGCTGATGGTCACCAAGGCCAAGTCAGGTGACTTCAAGGTCGTGATGTGTAGCTGTGATGACCTCCTGTGTGGCTTAGCATCCTGCAGAAAAGCCGTCTCTCTCCATGTCCTTCAATCTCACATTGTAGTGCCCAGGCCACTGATGACTTCGTTGACAGGAACAACGACCGGATGTTGTAAATAGGTTGATTCTTCATTAAGGCAGCTTAGGGCAGGCGCCTATTACGCAAATAGACACAGCTACTTGCCTAATAGGCGCCTGCCCTAAACAAGTAAAATTATGCCATAAATTCTACAAGTAGAAATATAAGCGTGTGTTGAAAACACCAAAAATTTTGTTCAGTTCGTTCGATAACAAATTTCTTAGCATGTGCGTTAATAAAAGTATGTCATGTATAACATACACACAAGTGCATGATTGAAAGTTCCAAACTCATGACTGTGTAAGTGTACAGCACTGCGTGAGATTATGGGAGAGATGTCTTTTGTAATACATGGCTAACGCATTGATAACAATTACATCTAAGAGCACGAGGAGATCATTCATATAGAAACTGAATGTAATTCTGTATCCTTTGTAATAAGCATATATGTTAAAAAACTATGCGAAGATTCATGTGAATATAATATAAAATCTTGACTATGTTGAGAATACATATCAACATCTAGTCTTTTCAAATCTTAATTGTTGAATTGGAGATATCCTTGACATACTACTTTCATCGTGATGATTTCAAAGTACGATATTGTAACCATAATTTCTTTCTACCAAATATACATATCTCGTGATTTGTGCATGCGTCATATGTAGTACATCATCAATTTATACAGCATATCTTGATTGAATGATACAATCGATGAAGAGTATACAAAATTGTTAACATCCAAAGTCAATTCACATCATGGTAGTTATTCAGCATCTGCGGAATCCGAATATTATAGGTGATTTCACAGGAAGACAAATAGGTGAGAAATTGTTGAACATAATGATATGCATACCTCTGGAATAAGTACACTTTACTCAAGAAATTCCAATCATATATGACATATCGTATTTATACGTATCATATGTGCATCATTCCGACGATAATCCTGACACACCATGCAAGTGCTCTAACTACTTTCAAAATGTTATCAAGTGTTTGAAGAGGACTATTATGAAATCTAACATTCTCCACCTCTGCAACCAGGTGCTCAGTTTTCATCATATTACGATAGAATTATCGATGGTCGTCCTCCATATTTTCCGGAATCAGTGGATAAATCGCTCAACCTTCGGACTGAAGCAAAAATCACCTGATTCTTCATATCCCTGGTTCACATAAGTGTGAGGGGAATTGAAGGATTTGCAGGTAAATCATGAACCAGAAGACTACATATCCTTCTGACGAATACTAACGATTCAGTATCGCATATGGATGGTTCATACGTTATTTCCTACTCAAAAACTAAATTCTTTACAACGCCCACAAATTCAAAGTATGTAATCAACGCTCTCCTGTAATATTGAAATTGTAGCACCGAGAATTAGAATAATGCTTGGAACTTCCTGTCTCCACTGTCATAAGTGCCCGAGCATGTGATAAGACAATAAGAAGGGTAAGAGGATATAGGGGTTGAAGATAAGATAGTAAATATTTTTACACTAGACCATTTGTATACTGCCATCTCCAGTATTACCACAACTGAAGATTGTCCTTGCGGAAAAAATGAATAGTTTTTATGGTTCAAATGCTTCTCTTTCAATTTTCAGTCCAACTTCTGCACAGTCCTATCGTATTGTTGGAAACGGACACATGGAGTTAGAAACGCGATGAAAGAATTCGTAAATTTTAGTACAGTACTCTGAAAAAGGAAACCTGCGCAAATGTGAAGATCTCCCCGGCAGGCAGGAAAAACGGGGAGAGCTAATAATCTCGCGGGACAAATCACGATGGCACCAACTAATGCGTACGAATCGTACTTACAAATCATGGATGCCAACGGTAGTGGACTGACCTTGTAGTAATTGCTATAGTATGTAATTCCTGTTCTCCTTTAAAGATTCACTGCATTAGGTTAGATTTATCAACTGTTCATTTTTCAAATCATCTTTAAACTTTCCTAGCGCAACTACTGCAGTAATTGCCAGAATCTTTGAATTCCACATCATTCGTAGGAATGTGGAAGCATGATAATCACACTCCAAAGGTACTCCAATCTCATACATTAAAATCTTTATGCTTCTTCGTAAACTTCCCTTCATTGTGTAGTCCCTTAATCAACCCTCAACCTCGACAACTTAGCCATCAAACCCTGTGAAAACGCATAAGGTATGTAAAAACCATGTGCAAATAACAAAACATTCGACTCCCGACATTCGACTTCATGTGCATCCAGAGCATTCCCGTAACCGACTTCATTAACGATTGCTATCTTTAATGATCATGTGATCGTGAAGGTCATGACATCCTCACGGAGTAGACGGTGTTATCCGAGCAAGTTGGAAAATATTTAACTATACCAACCGTTGCATCTGTACGTGAATACACTAGTAATTTTAGGTTATGATTCTTGCACATGCATACACTTCACCGTAGTGCACTGACCACCGCCCTCAACTCACCGAAGAACGTTTACCTTCTCTTCTCGACTCAATTACGAGCTTGTAATCTTTTCGTCACCAGATAACTTTCGCACCAAGGCCCATAGATATTGTCTCAACCTGATTGCAAAGCTAGATACAGAATTGTATTTCAAAACAGTCCTACGCAGTCGTGGGCAAACACAGACAGACGTAGAGTGGAGCTCGGTACGGATGGTTCAGAAGATACCAACAAAATAGTACGGGAGAAAAAATCATAGTGACATGATTCAGATTGAAACCCATGGACTTTCTAAAAGGAAGGAGTGCAGCCATGCATGTAGACAGAACAGATTCCGATAGAATACATCAAATGTTCATCACCTGCAAATGTGTAAAGGTCAACATAAGCCAACATCTAGTCAGCACACATGGTTTACGTGTTCGAGCCTCCTCGTTAGAGAACGGAGTTGTGTCAAAGCGTTCAGCCTTGGACGAATTTATAAAATCTTAAACAATGAGTAGTCTTACATTTTTCGTCAAAGGTCACAACATGAACCTCCCTTTCAGCACTGTGATGCCCTTCACTTAAGCCCAATCATAGTTCCTACGGTTTGTGCTTTAAATCGAAGGAGAGTGTCACTTCCATTACATAATTTACAATTTATGTAGCATAAAAATACAGGACAGCCAATCATTTGCCCTCATTTTGAATGAATAATCTAAGCAGCGAAGGATTTCCCACACCCACAAGTCGAAGTTGCGTTTGGGTTGCTGAATGCAAAACCACCTCCAATTAAAGCATCACTGTAGTCCAGCTGCATCCCGAATAAGAACAGCAAACTCTTTGGATCACAAACTGGTACACACGCGAAACAAAGGCAACGATTAGAAACAAGATCATGGAGACCGAACGAGGAGGAAGAACCGCAACAAATAAACCAATTGATGCTACAGTTTATTGGGACATTAAAAAACCTTTCACTGAATTCTTTTCTAAGCTTAATCAGCAACATATATGTTCGTGATCAAGTGTAACCAGGTAGTCAGATCGAGATGAGCATCTTCAGAATGATGGAACTGAGCCCTGCAATTCCTAAAGTCTATCGTAAAACTTGTGTTCATTCATTAGTGCGGACAGCAGTCGCTTATGGCTGTCAAGACGGAAAACTCTACATTGAATCTGAGCAGACACAAACGATTCTGACAGTTAAATGCTCCATAGACTCAGTTTTCTCTCTGCGTCATAGTGCCGTCGACTCTATGCTGACGGCGCAGTCTAATGGCAAAATCAGAACCTTTTCTCAGCAGACCATAAGCACGCAACGAAGTGATAGATCTTAATAATTGTATATTATACAGAATCAATACGAACGACCAAAGAGTAAAGTTGACTTACTCAGAGTAATTCCGTCAGCTTCAATTTTGGAGTCATCTGCTCGAACTTTGGATTCATCCTCAAAATCCATAACATAAGACATGCCAGAGCAACCCCCTTGTCGAACTCCTACTCGCAAGTACAAGGCATCTTTGTCACCCTTCAACCTCTTAAGATGAGAGACGGCCTTATCGGTCAAAATGATGGCGGGTGCCATCTTCTCCATGGGGGCCGTGGCTGCATGAAGAAAGAAAGAAGATCAGGAGAAATCCCATAAGAAGGCCAAAAGACATTAGCTAATCTGTAACTCAACGTCTCAAGCCGCAGAAAGTCAGGTCGTTACGTATTGACTTCTAAGCTTCCATGGGTGACCTTCAATAATTGGTTCACGTTAGTTAATGATCAAGTAGTGATCACAAGGTGACATTCGGCTCATTGCTTCGTTCTATCTTCACGACGGTTGACAAATTATGTAAAATCAACTATGTAGAACTCTAACTCGAGAACCTTGTCCACTGGATTTAAAATCCCACGCTCTGGATTCTTTGCTCTCGTTGGATGAAAACATGTAAACTGGAGCTTCTAGGCCAAAAGTAGAAGCTCAGTATGTCAAGAAGGCATTTTTCTACAAAGTACATGAGCAGTAGATAAAAAAGAGAATCTCAAGTTGGCTGTAGAGAGAAACTCCTTCGCGAAGTGCTCAGATCCTAGAATGAGTACTCTTCCTCCTTGATGATGTCTGCTCCCCTGCTGTTAGGTTTCTCGTCCAGTGTGTTGTATCGAGGTAAGGTCTCTCGTGCATTTAGGCAAAGCCACCTTCTTTCAGGAAAGCTGGTTCACAAGCATCCTCGGCAACTAAATGCTTGGGCTGATCACTCAGACAGGTGGTGATCATTTTAGGAAGGTGAAATAGAGCCTAATTTGAGCACCATGCGGCTTAGGATCAGACTGCAAATCTCGAACATTGTGCCTGTTTGGAATTTGGGACTAAAAACTTAACGCTGGTACTCACAAACCAACAAACAAACAATTTCTGAACGTAATTCCTACCAGTACAGATTCTTCGTGTGAATCCCAGATGTTGTAAACTGTGAAGAGTTCCAATTGGAACAGGAGGTGACACAAATTTGAATGCTCTCATCTTTGTGTAGGAAAACATATATAGGTCTTAGTATAACTACCATGACACTGAAACCTCAGTCAAAAGTTTGTATAGACACCACGCGCAAAATTAGGACAAATATGTGAACGGAATTACCAAGTTCCTGCGGAAACTTACTCGACACCCAACGCTCAGTTGTCCTCCATACTACCCGACCAACACTATATTATGGAGCCACATTTTTTGGCACCAATATTATCCACAAAGCCATGTTTTAGGTAGTACATTTGAAATCGTTTTGTACCATGATATCGGGCAGCAGACCAACGATCCATGTGAATAGTTGATCAGATTCAGAGTGGCCACTCTTGAATTCAAACAGGAATTTGCCCAACTGAAGTGGAAAAGGGACCTACGGCATGTGCACATACACTGCATCCTCAAACTCTCCTGGACACTGTTTGGATGCGGAAGAGGAAAAGTAGCTTAGGGGAATCAGGTGCAGAAATTTGGGAATTTGACAACATTGACCTTGTGAGTAAATTCGGAAAAGATGGAAAACGGAGGCAGGGTCCTTTCAACAGCTCGGAGAAATTAGGATTAATTCTAGGGTATCAATATCCGTACTTGCATCTAGGAATTGTCCAACGAAGAACTTCAACCCTAGAGAAAGAATTTCTGAAACCTGCACTTACGAAACGTTCCTGGAGTAAGAAAACTGTGGAAAAGACTATACACAACAAATATAGTATATATCTCATGATAGCGATCTGCACAAAGATGTTGACCCTTGATGTATATTCTCAAAGATGATCCGAAATAACTACCTCTGCACTCAGCTTATAATTGTCTTCAACAGCAACCTTACGATATGTTTAAGTTTCCAGAAATACTTCCTCGAGATTTTACATGTACAAGATTTCCTTCAATCAGACGAATTCACAGGGTGAAAAAAACGCGTGAAGTCGGAGAATTCAGGGTAACGCGGTTACTGGGTGCAGGGCAATTGACATCACCTGTGTCGACTGACGCTCTGGTGAAAACACCTGCGCATCTCTTCGAAATTTTTACACGGTGCGCCACCCGTCCGCGCTGTTGCATGAGGGAGGGTCCATTGAATCCAACAACCTTCGCTGGCGAACATCTGAAGCTTGAGACGGCGGTACTCGCGACAACAGAGGTTGTCAAATTTCCGACGCTTACAGCACAACAAGCCATCGAGTGAATTGGACAGGCACGAACCGCAATTCAGTATCGTCCCGCTGAGAGTCGATGAGGTCGCAACTCGTTGCTGAGCGATGTGGGCAGATGATCGTCTTCGCAGGATATTCTGGAGCAGAGATGGCGTCGCTGATGCCTTCTCACACTGACAAATATCCTGAGCAGAAGATATTCGCCCTGGTCACCGGCTGCTCCATTCTACCGGCTGCACGCAGTCAGCAAGCTTTCTTTAAGACTCACGGATTTTCGATTTCCCACACCTGGAGTAAAGACGTTGTATACTCCACGAGAGTTTCCTCCGTACCTTCGGAGGAAACTCTCGGACAATTTATTGTTATGGTTTTGCATAAGTTGAGTATCAAACAGAGGACAAAGTTTGAAATCCATTCTCTTCTTTCCAGTATTTTTTATAAATGTTATCGATTCAGCTCCTGTTAAAAAAAAATTTTGATTATAGATTCTCACTGTGGAAGAATTTCAAAGACCTTGCTAGAGAATGAAATTTCTGGAGATCTGGTATAGCTAAAATGATAAAATTAAAGGATACACCTTCTAAGATTTATTCTGAAGTCAACATTCTTTTAACAAGACTGCTATTGTCAATTTATTTGTGTAAGCTTCGGGTTCTGCACGCAGCCATACTGAATACGACGCGAATGGATCATTCGCTTGAAAGTTGTATTGGATGAATACATTTGGAGATATTTTTAAAATGTTAAAAAATGAGGGAGCTTTGGGTAAAAATAAGTTAGAAGTGTATATACCATGGTACGTACCAGTTTTGAAGAAACTCATACTTCTGTTCATATTGAATATTATATGCTAAATATAATTTTAAAGATTTTAATGCTTTCACAACATTTCATAACTTTGATCTTTGCGTTGAACTTGAGTAGTCACGTCGTTGAATACGGAGACTGAAGTACGAGAGTAATGGGGGAGGCCTCAACGGCACCTGCACCCGGTAGACACAGCCGCGGAGAGAGATGTTTGGATATAGTTATCATACGCGTTAATTCTAAATTTGATTTGTAAAATTATATTTATAAATTATTCAAAACATTCAAGTTTTTATTAAAAAAATAAATATTCTAAAAACTCAATTAATTATTTAAAATATAAATTACGTTAAAAATAAAAATAAAAATTAAGAATTTTCATTTTTTCAAAAAAACTGAAATTTAAAATTTTATTTTAAAAAAATTACTATAAATTTTATATTTTTTAAAAAAAAATTCCATTAATGAAAATCTCAGAATATAAAAAATTATGTATTTATTTTTTTAATAGATATTATAAGAAATATATAATAAAATACATATTACTAAAAAATACATATAACAAACAAAAAATTAAACGTGTGTAATATAATATTCAAAAATAATTATGAAAAGAGGTAAAAAAATAATACAGTAAATTACATGTTCAAAACTAACAAATTATAATCATTTTTAAAAATAATATAATCTGTACTTTTTATTATTCATAATAAATATTAGATTTTTCAGCAATTTACGCAATTAAAGTGAGAGCACGACAAATTTGAGTTCGCTCGGGCTTGGCCTTGAGGTTACCTCCCTATACGACTCGAGCATCAGATGGTATAGGATTCATGAGGCAATAAACATTGGTAGGCCTATGCATATACGAGTGCGGCAAAGTTTGAATGAAACACCAAGCTGGAATAATGGAGTAGTTCTCGTGTACTACAACCACAAAAAGCAATTTATGCAGTATAGTCATTTCAAAACTTATAGATTTAAATTTTTCAATATTTAATTGATTTTTTTCAATTAATTTTTTCATTCAACATGATGAGAAGAAAAAATTTATTATGTTTATTAAGGTGAAAATTTGATTTTAAGATTTATTATAAATATCAAATGTCATGATATATATCAAATTTGTTTAATACAATTTGGAGTTTGATTTGTCTATTTTCAAGCGTGATTGTAATAACAGTTAAAATTCATTAGTCTATATCTATTACAGTCATTGAATTCAATCTAAAATTTATGTGTTTGTGGGTATCTTGATAAACTTATAGAATCTGAAAAGTTTCAAATACTTCATAAAAAAACCGTATAAAAATATAAATTCAAAAAATAAGGTTGTTATATATTAAATTCTAACTGTAATATATTTGAAAACACTTTCCTTGTATATTTAAAATTGAATGTATAGAACATTATTATATGTATTTTTTTGAAAGCAATATAACACGCATACAAATTTATGTCTAAAAAAACTCTAAGAAAAAAGTACATATAGTCATAAGTCTTTGAAATTTACGTAACGTAAGTCATGAGATTCAAAAAGACAAATTTTGCGTGTCATTTGCAAGCACTGCAATAGTGATAAAATAATAACAACAATCACAATTTGTACTTAAGTTTATACTCTAACCATTTTCTTCGAGTTTTTAGTTGAAACAATTTGTTGAATGCTCAATTTTTTATGCAGTACAATAAATTTTTTGTCAATTAGTGAACAAACATATGTGATCTCCATTTCATAAAAGATTAAATAAATTTTCACTAACAATATATAGTTTATGAACAAAAATGATTTTATAAATAAAAATAAAATTTATTTCATAAATTCTTTATCAATTTTTGATAATCTATACTATAAAAATTTTAAGAAAATATTTATATTTCAATTTTAAAACTAATAAAAATATTTATAATTTTGATCTTTAAATTGCAATTCATATAGTTTATAATATTTTATCTACATCTGAATTCAAATGCAAATCTTAATATTTAAATTAATCAGATTACATGAAAGCATTGTCATTGACTACTCTACATTGCATATAGTTTGTAGATCTTGTAGGGTGTCTTTATGGCCAAACACAAATCAATATTTATCAATCTTAAATGTTTTTTACTTCATTTAAAAAAAAAGGCGCTTTTAATAGATATCTAGAATTGTAAAACATGTAGCAGCCTTGAGAACTTTTTTCTGTCATGATTCAAACCACAAATCTGAGCTCTAGATTAATAACTTATGTACATGAAATGATACCTTTCTACTCATGTATCCCATCAGTGACTCATGGTTCTTACAATGTACTCTGAGAGCATGTGGTTGAACAAATCAGCAGCAGTTTTAAAATTGATATATTTTTGGACACTTGTGGTTACATCTTACTGGAGGGATTGATCCAAATGCTGGGTATTTGTAACGTTTGTGAAGTTGTCTTATAATTTAATGGAAAAAACAAAATTTACTGAAAGCAAACAAATATGCCAAAAAATACTATAATTAGATTTTGGAAAAATACTATAATTAAAAAATCAAAAATACTATGATTAGATTTTTCATTTATTTTGGAAATTGCAAAAAATATATACATATTTTTTATTTATATTTTATTATATTTATAATTTACTTTTGGAAATTCTTATGATAAAAAAATGTGATAATTTTTTTAATAAAAAATCAAATAAAAATTTATTTTGACTTCATTGATCAAAGTGATATCTCAAAATAGTGAAATCATATTAAGTCTTCATAATATCAAACATTATTATATACATTTTTATAAAAATGCTTGTTAAAGTTTATTTTAATTTTTAATTTTTATGTTTTTTGAATCAAATATTTTATAAAAAATTCAAACTTTGTTTTATGTAATTTTCAAGATATATCATTTTTTAAGTAATAATATTTTATTACTTACATAATTATAATACTTATTACTTATTAATAATTATATTATTGATTATTTTTATTAAAAATTTATTTAATTTTACTTCAATCTATATTAATCTATGAGCTATGACATAGTTGCAGAATGATTTAGATTTTCTAATTTTTCATTGAAAATAAAATATTGATAATAAAATTTTTATTTTATTTTTTAAGTTTAAATGATTAACATTCAATACATTTCTTTCACTATTTATTACATTTCAAATTTATCAATAAAACTTTCAATAATCAAAGTAATGTTGATAACATGACGAATGTTAATTATTATAAATTAATGACTCTATTATAGAAAAATAATTTATAAGTAATAAAATAAATGTTGGTTATTAACTTTTCCCATAAATATATATGTAGTAAAATAATTTAATCATGTTTTTAACTTTTTTATAAACATAAAAATTTCATATGAAGATTCTTCAGATTTATTTGAAATTTTTACTTGATATGAAAGAAATTTTTATATTTCTTTCACACAAAAAAATATTAAAAAATATAGGTATTAGATTTTTTATTAAATTAATTTTAAAAATCAGATAAATTTAAATAAATATCAATTAAACGAAACTTGCAGTTTTTATATTGATAGATTTGCAATACTTTGTTGTAATTTAATTCTGAAAAATTCACAAATTTATATTTATTGTGGTATTTTTGTCTCAAATTTTTTACTATATTTTTCATATATAGTGAAAATATGATTTATGAATAACCTAGACTTGCATGCAGAATGTTAAAACACATATATTGATATGCGTAATTCTTTGTTATCTATATTTTCAAGTCTGATTTCAACAAAAAATTTGGTAATAAAATAAGATGACAAGACTGTTTTGCTAACTTTATTTTCGATATATTACTTTATATGTAATTATGTTTTTTATCAAAGCTTTTGATTATAATTTATAATGTTGTATTGATTTTAGTTAAAAATAATTTTGGAAAATTGAGTTTATGGATGATAGCATAATTTATTTTTTATTTTTCATTTGAATTATTTAGATAGTATAATTGTGTCATAAGTATTCATTTTGAATGTTGAAGAATTAAAAGCAACTCATTTTTTGAGATTTTAAATTTTAATAGATTATCATATATGAACTTTATAATTAAATTTAAAATCACAAAATATATAATTGGTTGTTTTTCAAAGATTTTAAAAAATTATTAAAACTCCTTAGCTGCTCATGACTCAGATCAAAACATATACATTTTAAGACATATTGGTCAAAATATTTAGCACTTATTTCGGCATAACATGTTTTGTTTTTTACTAGTCTATGACGATATGAAAAAATATATTCATGTAATTTTCTAAACCTAGATGTGTAACAATAAGACAAAAACCGTTTGTATCCAAGAAAATCTCAGTCTAAATCATATATATATATATATACAAATTGTAATATACATTTGCACTAGTAAAGGTGTTCAAGGTAATTAAACCATACAAGTGCTTAAATAAAATTGGTCAGCCAAACTATCTTTAGTTAATATTTTTTTTAGTTACAAGCTTATAACTAATAATAATAATAATATAATAATACATGTTAAGTTTTAAAACTAGATTTTAATTAATTAATCATAAACCTTGAAAGTTTATAAAAACTTGAATTTTGTTGCACAAATAAACTTGTATTGTATGATGATGATTTTTGATAGGATTTTGATATAAATTTTTGTTGGTATATTAATCAGGCTTCACAACAAATAATTTGATAGATTAATAAAATATATTTATGAAAATAAATAAATTATATTTAAATATTTTTCATGTATAATTTAAAAAAATTACGACAACAATTTTATCTTTGGGACTAACTAAATTTTGATTTTAAATTGTGAAAAAAATATTCATACAAAAATATTTTATTTTTTTAATAGCTTGTTGGAAAAAAAAACTTTAATTTAAAAATTAAAAATAAGTATACATAAATTTAAGTTTAAAAAATATTTAAATAAAGAATAAAATTCAAATTTAATTACTTATAAAGTATGTAATACAAAATTAATATTCTTGATATCTAAATAAATTTTTTTCCATGAAATTGATAACCTTAGACTTAAATTATTATTTCTTTTAAAAACCTATTTTTATCTTTATTTTTCATTATACTATATGCATGAACATTTATCATCTTGATAATCAAAATATTATTCATAAAATTAAACATATGTGTGTTTTATATATAAAAAATTTCCAACAAAATATATGATGTTTTTTAATATCATTTTTTAAATTGTCTATGATGTTGAATATGATTTATGTACAAAAAAATTTCATAAGATGATAAAATAAGATTTAAAATTTTATTTTTAGTTAAAAAATAATTCTCACAATGAAAAAACAATGATTACATACAAAATTGCAAAAAATGAGCAGTTAAAAAATGTCTATGTGCAAATCAATGTTAATGTTATTTTTTTGTTTTAGTGATTTCGTATCATGACAACGATCAGAATAGGTTTTTTTATGATTAATATGTGTTGTGCGATTCATCTAATCATATTTGTTTATAACTTTCATACAGCTTACAAATTCATTGTTTTTATTACATTTGATTAATAATTTGTAAGTATTAAAATTTTCTATCAATATGCAATTAATAAATTTTCTAGATGTAGTATATTTAATGATTCAAATTTTGTTATATAATGGAATGAATCATGATTTACGTCAAATTAATATTTGACATGAATCAATTTTTGACACAAATTTTTTTAATGATTCATAGATGTTGTATAGCTTATAATTAAAAAATTTGATAATTTAAAGATACTTTGATTTAAAAAAATGTTTTAATCTTTCATTATGATAATTTGAATACAATACATGCCATAGTAAGTCAAGTGATGAATATTAGTATGAAAAATATGTATATCGGGTATATTTTAGTAACATATGAAGTTTTTTCATAAAGAAATTGAGCTAGTAAAGATTAACAAACACCTTGTAAAAATTCTTTTGTACTTCTCAAAAGAAAATCATTTTTTTTGGGTATTTTAAAAAAAACTGTTCTGTTATACAAATATTGTCACACAAATATTGTCTGAATATCACAAGGTAGTGGACAAAGATTGTGTAATGTTTATTTATAATTTTATTCTATTCGATTTTGACTTTGATATAGCAATACTTCACTTTGTTATTGGAAAATAATCTATATAAGATTTCTCTTTGAGACTTTTTGTAAGATTATCATATTGATGATAGAGACTAAAAATTTCAAAACATGAGTCAAAGGAAGGTAAGATTGTTAGAACTTAACTCACGTTTTGATCAACTCTACTTGATCTAACTATGATTAGTTAAACTAGTACCGAAACTGTTATATAGCAGTGTTGATAATAACTCTATGACTCAATTAGAGTTATTGGTGATTGAATATTGTAATTTTTGTACAAATTCATTAGGTCATTAGTTTCTTGTGTTGAATATGTTGGAATTATATTTTTGTGTATTTGGATATCACTCACTTATTCTTCATGCTATTCTTGATATTATACAATACTAGCCATGATATTAATTTTTATCTCATATTTCTTTATCAGTTCCATTAAGATGACTTCGACTTATAGTCGTCAGAAATCTGTTGGAAGAGTTTGAAGTTATTTGCTCATCTTCATACTGGAAATTTTTGGGGATGAAAATAACTCCTGTGTGAACTTCTTTGAATTATAGTTTTGAAAGTTAATAATAATCTAATCTTCTCTTTTCAATTGATCATTTCTCCAACATGGTTGTATACGAACAGAAACTTTCGGAAGATTGCGGAGATCAAAAGATGTGCCGTTGTCATGTCACGAACTTCTACCTTCCAAGTTTAGAAGCAACAAACCCTATTCGTGCCAACATGCTTTAATATTCCATACTTGTACTTTCCACTCTTGTACCTGTCTACTTCTTCATGAACTTGTTTTGGATCCTACTTTTCACCCAGCCCCATGTCGTCTTCTGGGGTTCTTCTGCTCGATGGCTTTCCTATCCTTCTTTCGATTCCAATTTTTCTTGTTTTATCACTTGATGTGGTCTTCTTATCCCTTTAGCAATACAACTCGCTTTCCTTTCTGAATGTTTTTCTCACTAAAGTAGAAGTTTTTCGAATTTGGATGATGGACTCTTCTTATCCTTGACGCTGTACAACTCGGTCTACTTTCTGAAAGTTTTTGTTTGCTAAAGTATATGTTACTCAAATTTGGGTGATGTGTATGTCACGTGCAGACATGTGAATTCACTTTTCACTCCCGGTCCCATTCAATTATTTCGAGCGGGCTTATTAACATACAAAACATAGACAAACCATATTCTTTTGCTTGGTATTCAATCGATATTTCAGTATGCGGTGAGTGAAGCAAAATAGGAGGCCGTTGAGTTAAACTCTTTTTGCATAGTCTTATCACTTCGCATGTAACGTTGTATCTTGAGAAGTTGATGGTTTATGACGGTAGCAAACATCGACAATAATCGCTGGAGAATCATCTCTTACGACAAGAGGGAAAACTCCCGCGAATTCTTGAAAAGGTGCATAATAATGAGCGAATGTAGTAGCTACCCTCTACAATATTCGGTGGAGAGTATCTCCTACGAGATGTGGAAATCACCCGCGAGTTCTTTACAGTCACATGATGAACGAGCGAATGAGCTACGACGCGAAAGATGTTCACTCAACTCCACGGCAATAATGGGCGAAGGTAATGCACAACTTTACCAACGATCACCAACATGCAAGCACGATCGGGATGGGCAAGAGCAATCTAAACGTAGCTAACTACAGTCGACATGCTCGATCTGCTGACATACTGCAGGACTACATTCTCCTCATTTCCTCATCTACTCAGTATGTCTGGATCTCAGAAGAACTAGCCGAAGAAGAACTTCTCCGCGACCAAGAAACAACATCCTATGCCCACACCGCTAGAATCTACGCTGAGCCAAGAGATATTTCCAAGCGCTCCGCTGCATTTCGAGGAGATGACTTTCCCGACGGTGTGGAGCACGCACGCGAAGGAAGAAGAGGACATTTGAGGAAGCAGACCAGGGGCTCGATTCTTGATTCTTGGTTCTTGGAGCGCGAAGGGCAGATTGCTCGAGGGGCCGCTTCGGGAAACGCAGTAAGCTGAGCCCACCAGGAGCTTGACTCCGTCAGAAAGAATAAACAAATTCCCAGCGCGCGCCCTTTGGCGGAACATGCCGCCGAGGCCCATCCATCATCATTTATAGCGGATCCAAAAGTTTAGTGCGAGAATTCGGTCATTATTGGAATTACGTCCGTTTCCGCGCGCTGCCCCAACGTTCCTGGCACCTCAACGTTTGCTTCCACGGCTCTTCGGCCACATCGGCCACATCGGCCCGATAGGCTGCCTCAACGGGCTGCGGACCGTGTTTCCCGGTATCGACCCCGCCGTTGAAGCTTCGTCACTGGCCCATCCGGACGCGCACCCCCGCCCTCACACCAGGCCCGCCTTTCCATGTCATCGCGCCCGGATTACCGTTGCAACAGTCCGTGCATCTACCGATCGCCGGAGCGTCTATTTGCTCCGGCGTGGAAAGCGGGCAAGGAGATCTGGGTCCACGTCGGACGGAAGCCCCATGGCAAGATAGAGTGGGGCCGGGCAAGGCAAGCCGGATCAGTCGCGCCTGAGTCGAGCGCGGGGCCCGGGCGAGCAGGCGGAGAAAGAATGATACAAAAAGGCGAAGGAAGGAAGACCCGTCCGTACTCTGCGTACCTGCGCCGGTCTGCCCTGAGGAGAAAGAAAGTTCCGGATACGACAAGCGAGCCCGGATAAAGAAAGGTGCGTTCGCGATCCGCTGGGCCGGGGCGGGCAGCGGCGCAGATTCTCGGCGGGGAAGGCCCCATAAAGAATTCCGATTGGGGGAGGGAGCATTAAAGGACCGAATTAAGCGGCGAATGGATGGGGAATTGTATTTGGGACGGGGTGGGGTGGAGTTAGTGGCCGGGCCGGGGGAGAAGCTTTTATGTCGGCGACTCGGCGGCGGCAGGAGGAGGAAGGACAAAGAGATTTTTTCTTGTCCTTACCCGCAAGTCGTGCAAGAAGGATTGTGGGCTGCGAGTCGACGGGCTTTTGCCGCGCGCCGCGGAAGTCCACCGGCGAGCGAGAGTCTAGAAGGAGGAGCGCGGCACTGTTTTGTTCGAGTCAAGAAAAGGGCCGCGGCGGAGAGACCGCCGTTCGCCAGTGGTGCTGACTGGGATGACTGACTGACTGACTGACGGACCGACCGACCGTCCGTCTGCCTGCCTGCCGGTATTTTCGGGGCTCCGATCGATCGGCCGGGTAGCGATTTGAAATTTTACCCCCCCCCCCCCCCCCCAGGCATTCGTTCCGCCCCGGCCCGGCCCGGCCCGCCGCTGCTGGCTCGAGACGTGAGTCTACGAACGGTGCGAGACATTTGGAGGTCACGGCTCTCAGTCACACACACTCTCCCTCTCTCGCTGCCTCCCCCGTCTGCAGCAGTCTCGCAACGTCGCCCGCAGGCCCCCCCGCCCGCCCGCCCGCCCGCCCGCTAGCATTTCGACCGCCGGCTCCTCGTGTTCTGCATTTCCGCCCTCGCAGGGCTCGAGCGCGATCTTTTTACCTTGACCATCAAACGGTGGCGGTGATAACGTCGTCATTTACCCGCCGCGAGTCTCTTGGGTTCTTGGTGTACGTCTTGTCCTGCGTTCTTGAAGGTGCTCTCAGCAGAGAGAGAGAGAGAGAGAGAGAGAGAGAGGGATGCGTTGAGTCGTTAAGCTGCTGCTGCTGCTGCGCGTTGCTGGCTTATCACTCCACTTCGCCATCGATTTGTGAGAGCGCTTCGTGTCCTCGTCTTCTTCTTCCGTCGAGAGGTCCGCCTGCCGGCAGCGAGTGTGCCGTTCGATCGATTGATTGCGCGCGGTCGGGTGTCCCTCATCATCTTCTTCTTCTTCCCGTTCGCTATCATTTGTCCATTTGTGCGAGAGCCACTTCGGATGCCGCACTCGGCGCTTTAGTTGTTGTATTTATATCCGCAGTGGTCGGAGGGTGTTTTGGAGGTCGAGCTTTCGAGCTGAGAGAGAGAGATTTGTTGTGGGAAGCGGTGTGCGAGTGGTGATGACCCCGAGGAAAGTCCGTGGAGGAGAAGCTGTAGGAAGTTCAGACGCAACCGATTCCTTCGCAGGAAAGCTGCTGTGAGCAAAATCTTGAACGGGTAGGGGGGCTTTTTTTGTGCTCGTATCGGTGGTTGTTCGTTCTAACGCATTTTTGAAGCAGATACAATTCGTGGGTTCGGCACGAATTTTACGCCATGGGTTATATCGTCTCGTTGCGGGGTTTGATGATTTTCTTCTCCGCTTCGTTCCTTCTGTTCCTCGTGCCTTCGCTGGAAGCCTCCGAGTTCAGTAGGACGTTTTGCGATGAGTGGCATCGGTTTGAGCAGTTCGAAGATTTCTACTTCCTGGAAATGCTCGACAATCTTTTGATACAGTCCAAGACAAGTACCTCCGGAGTGATTGTGAGGGCCAGAGATAGCGAAGGAAAGTTTGAGGGCAGAGCCGGTTGCGTGTGGCACGATTGTCAGATTTACGATGGGGAGTGCTACACTTGCACGAGCACCAAAGATGTTGAGATGTGTATCGAGACGGTGATCACGGATATGAAACGCAGCGTTCAACAGAGCTACAGATACGATGACCGATACTGCCATCGATCTGTAGAGTTCTCCAGTGGTGAGAAGTCAATCCCAGTGGATGAAGCATCTACCACTTTCCATATGTGTGGTGTAGATTATAAGTATTTGGGAGGCGTTTCTGGTCGTGGGGCAAATGCATAAATCACAGAACATTTTAGAGTACATAGTCACGGATCAGGGGTACCATTTCTCAAGTAATAGTTGCAGGTTTCCAGCGCCTGAGAGTTGACTACAGTTTCACTCCGGCCCTGTGAACTTTTTCCTGAACGGAAGGTCTCGATCTTTGGAGTCAGGATTTGACTCGGAAGATTATTGTAGAAATTGTGCAGATCAAGATTAGGTAGATCCCCAGTAAAGTACTACAATAAGGCAGGAAAACAGCGTAGATATTAGCTAAATAACTAGAACGGTGCAAAGCACTATGTAGAGTGGTCTCTGTGGCCTATCCAGGAGAATCAGTCCTTCATTTTGAGAACAATTTTGATTATTGAGTGGGTATGGCAAAGCTGTACTCTTGTTACAGAGAACTTCATTGTTACTGGTCCCTTACCACCCTCCACCGGTCGGGAAAGCGACGCTGAACCTTCTTCTGCATGTTCTTTTTGGTCTTTTGGTAGCGACCATTGTGAACGTGTATGTAGCTGACACCGAGGAGATGTAAAGAGGGTTTATCTGGTTTCTCTCTCGATTTAGGAACTTGTGTTGTTTTAGCATTGCAACGGCAACCAAATTCGGGTCGTATGATACATGTGACGGTGAGTTCTACCATCTGCCATTGAACGTTTTTAGGTAGAGGAACTGCAGGATATTAGGCCTGTCGCCATGATGGAAGAACGAATTATCTCATCGGCAATTTACAATCACGAAATAAATGTACAGTTACTGAATTTCGTCTACATCTGTTGCATATGCTGACTTGTCTTCAGATATGGACCTTCATCATAGAAAAATCTGGCAAAAATAATAATCTAGCTACAAAATTGAGCATGCACCAAGTGCTGCCAAGACAAGTTGCATAGCAAAGCTCTATTTCCACTTGTACCTCATCGGATAGATGTGATCCGCTAGTCAGTAGGTGTGTCGAAATCATAAAGTTTCCATGTAAGTTGAAGTAATTCTGAATCAGAGGTGATGACTCGTTAGAATTCTCCATGAAGACTGGTCAGCAAGTTTCTCCTGAAGATGATCTTCATCTCCTTACACGTCCATGATCTGTCTGAGTATTTTGTTGTTTCGGTTGAGATTAAGGTTGGCTCATTTCCGAGAAGTGCGGCCTTGATCAATAACTGTTGCGGATGGAAGCTTCTGGGTTTCTCTGTTTCAAAATATGGCCTTTGCTCGATGTGAAGATTCTTTGTGGCGTATATCAGGTTTCTTTCGTGTCCGAGAATCTTGGGATATATTTGGCGCTGATGATCAAGCTTTTTTGTTTGCCTCATATCCTTCCTTTGAATTTTCTTCGTGGTCTTTATCCTTCTTTCGTTTCCGATATTTTGGGGATATCCTGGGCTCTATTCAGCTTGTTGTCTTTCATCAGATCCTTCCTCTGAAGATTCTCTGGATGCTTTCCCTTCTTTTGCTTCCGATTGCGCTCACAGAAACTGTGATTTCCCTCCTCTGGTACTTCCGACAACTGTGGCGGTGGACGGAATAAATCCTCTGTAGAAGGTGCAGCTGGAGTAGCTTGTTCCAGTTCACCTGGTGGCAAGAAGGGAGGTCGTTTCCAAACTTGTCTTGCCTCTCAGAGAAGGTTTGAATAATTTCCTCCCTGAATCCTGGTGAGAAGATGGAAGGCCGAGAAGATGAAACTTAACACTGCCCTGGGTCTACGATAAGGAAAATCTCCTGGACAGATTGAGTTCTTTAGACTTGTCGGTGCGTTGCATGTCTTGCCTGATCTCCGATTCTTGAGATCCATCTGCCGTTGGTGAAGGGACCTATTCAAAGCCACCTTACACTCCTTGCAAGGGATCCCACAGTTGTTCTTGAAGTGCTGGTTCAGCTTGGCCAGATTTCTCCTGAATGCTTTGTATAAGATCCACGTACAGCTGAATGACGTTCGCTATCTCCAAACCCTACGAACAAGAGTCCAGCCATGAAACCTTACACATTGCTCGTAGTGTTCCCCTTTCTACAAAATTTCCATCAATCTGGAGCTCCCCAGTGCACAAAGTATGATCCGGACATTTCTGAAGCATCCTTGGATAAACGAAAGCAGGCACAATGTTTAGGGGTTAGTCTGCGAAAGCAATCATCAAAAGTCGCGTACTCCTTGCACTTCGTACCTGAGTGGTCTCAAATTGATTGTCTGTACTGATAGACCTGATGACACAGCAATACAGTCAAGTCACATTTCAAGTCTATTTCGAGTATCAAGTAAGAGCTCGTATGAAAGTAGCTGTAGGAGATACGCGTGTACGAAAGATTCATGCTGGCTTCATCTGTAATCGAGACATTATCGGTCGGTCGAATTCAAAAGACGAGGATGTGAGCAGAAATTTCAAGTGGTGGGTGTTCCTAAGATATACATTGTGATTTTATGTCTAGTCTTTATTTCATGCGCAAGCTATGAAATGCTTACAATCATCAAAACAAAGTCATTACGGATAGTACTTGAGTCCTACTTCCTACTACAACAGTGCTGTTAACTCTGGCTCTTGTATCCGACATTTCACAAGGAAGGGTGAAATCTGAAATCATTAGATTCTGGAGATAGAATTCTGTACATGCTTCCGACGATGATGGAGAAAACTGTTGGCGTGTAGCCCCAGCTAGCAATTTCCGCGTACTCTAAGAAATTAATTGATTCCTATTACACGGAGAAATCATTGTCATTGTCCTTCCGTAAAGATTGCTTCTGCATGAATTGTTCTCTTACGTAGCGGTAATTTCAAAGATAGCAAATGAATCTGAAGAGCAAACCACATCATTACCCTTGATTTCGCATCGACAAAGGAAACCCCGGTTGAAGCCACAGCCAAATACATTTCCCGCGGCATTGCAGGATTCGAAAGTGGCTGCCAGGTTTGATCATCCAAAGAAAGGAAATCAGATTACGCAAATCAGAATATAGTGGAGTCTGCCGTAGAGACATTAGACACTTCAGTGCAAGAAAGAATATACTAACCCTCACAAAAAAACGGCAAGCCTCGTATAGAGGGCATCGACTTTTCACATAGTCAATGTAATCTTGCTTCCAACTCATTACATTATCCGAGGGAGGCAAAGCATAAAGTGTTGTTGCAATCGCATCCTTCCAAGCACCTTCATTCCCTTGCACACAGTACTGAGGCCCATACTTCGAACCATCTATACCTCTATCCAAGGACAAGTTTGTAAGCAGCAAACGTCAGCGAAGCAGATCGAAGGAAAGAGGAAATCAAGTTCCCTACGTATACGTTTACCACAGATGGAGGTCAATAGTGGCGAGAACATATCAAGCAAGCCTCAAATAGTCTCGTGAGCTGAGCTTCTGGATAAAAATGCCAAGCTCAATTGAATAAGGAGGATACGACGCTGAAAGTAAAGTTCAATTAAATGATCTATTAATGTTTGGAAGAAAATATGTGGCTAGAAGTAGGTCAAGGACATGCGCTACAACATGCTCTAACGCATCATCTTCTGCAGCGGAAGGCACATAAAATGCATGTGCAATTGCAATTAAAAACACTGCTGGGTTTGAAGACATACGCAAGAATTTCTGGCTCAACACGTGAGGTTCCCAAATCTGCTCTGAGCTGCATGGCTCCAAGCATCATGGCATCCCCCTCGGAAACAATATGTACACCCTGGACTATGTCATGAACTGCCTGCTGGTCACGAACATATTCTTCAGTCGAAATGCTTCTACAAATATAAGCGGTTTTGTTATTATTCTCTTTCCACCGCTTCTTAAATATTTCGTCCTTAAGGTTTTTACTCCTCAGTATCGCATGTCCGGAAACATTACAAACCGATTACTAAGTAACAGATCGACAACTTCAGTCTCTCCAGATAAGGAATTGCTTTGCTATAGATACGAAACAACTAAACCGCAGCAAACGTTCTTCTCTTTGAGATACTTGCCTGTGCATACTCAAAGGACAAAACTGCCTGTCTTGAGGCTGGAGGTAACGTTTCCAGGTCAACTAAATATAGCTTGCGCTTCAGCAGCATATGCAGGTTGCCTTCAGAGAACTGGGATTGCCCTCCAGATCCAGATCCCAGGACTACAGTGCTCAAACTATCTTCCACATGATCATCTTCTGAACCGCAAAAAAACCTCGACAATTTCAATATAGTCTTGGCCCCAAATCGAATATCCTGGATATTCTGAGGGGTAGAAACTAGAGTGTTACAACTAGCTTCAACCTCCAGAATGTATGAGTTGGATCCTATCAGCTTCTCCACTGACCAAGCGACAAGGAAACAAGCCAACATGTGAAAGGTAAGTGCAACTGCTATAATGGCGTTGAATGTGTCCATCTAGGAAGCTTCAAAACCGAATAACATTTGATGTTTGATTAACCACCACTAATTAAAAAACAAGAAAGTCTTGCTGATCAGTTTCGAAGTGGCTGAGGTGATGAACTTCGTTCACCTCCGTTGGAATCCAGCTGGTACAAGCCATAAGAGCGCGCCTCAAAAAGTCCAAGAATATTGACTAAATGTGTCACTACCTCTTCCGAGGTATCCATTGGCCGTAGAATAAATGCCTGAAAATTAGTAAATATTATGTGAAAGTTCTGAGCGACCGGAAGGGCTTTGGCTTACCTGATTAAAACCGTATGTAGCAAGCTCTCGAGGACAAAGATATTTCTTAAACCTATGTCTTAAGCAGTCTATTGCTCAGCATCATGCAGTTAACTACGCCATGCTCCAGTGGACTGATTGTGTTTAAGCAACATAGCTCATGAATTGATGTCTAGATATTATCAGCATGAAGCTCTAGAAAACAATCTATTCTGAAAAGATTGAACCTATAAACATTCGGATGGGTCGAAATTGTGCACTTTGAGCATTGATGTATGTGCTGCAGAGTTCAATTTTCTCGATCTTGCTCACAATTCTACTATTTCAAATGCAAGTAAGGATCCATGAAATTATCCACAAGTAAAATTCATAGCCTTCTCTATTCCCTTGAAACCACCGAGCAATCTTTACGTTACAATCAGAGGAGCTAACCAAGTACTGAAGTACTTATAATAAATCAGTTTACCTGCCAAGTGCCATCAGGTAGACTAACTTCGCGAGGGAGAGTGTCCATATTCTGTTAACCATAAGGGACATGCGTATTGACGGAACTTGTTGTCAGATACAAATCAAGCACAGTCATAAGCGTTGACTTGTGGCCTAATATAGAGTATTGAAAACTGGAGATTATCAGGGCAATCTAGTGATTTATCAGCTACAAGGAACGCCAGTCAGAAGTGGGTTTTACTTTTGAATTCGAACATTATAGTTCGGGCTCAAAGAACCAAGTACTTTTTGTCTTTTTACTTGAATATTAGCTCTGATCTGAGAAAAATACTTGTCTATAAGAAGGCCTCGGAAGAATCAGCACAGTCCAGTGATTCGAGAGAAAAATCTGTCGTGAGATTCTTGTATTACATTCATTTCTGAGTCTCAGAATGACTTCTGTGCACGAGATGTCATCGATCTCATGAAATCTACAGACTTTTAAGTGCACAAGACATCACAATATATATACTCATTATATATTAGTTACACAAATGCAGGTGAGTGTCCTGTGCCAAATCCTTTACGCTAATTTCAAAGTCTATGGTTGATATGAAATGCACACTCTTTTGGATTTGCAGAATCGTACAGTCTGTCAGTTCCTGCCCGTAAAATTCAACTCATATTTCCATTCAATTGAGCAAGCGTACTATTGACTGCAATTGATGAATGTAAGGGAGATATTCATCGAATCAATTTAGCTGAGACACACCTCAACAGCCTCAATCTCCTTCGACAGAGGAAGCAGATGTCGGGGGCCTATATTTTTAACCTTCCGCAATCTTTCAAGACAGTATGCTGCTGCCTCTGCAGGGTTGACCATACCTTGTTCCAACATGCCCAAAGTATCCGCCGTCCCTTTCCTGGAAATATTTCCACCAGCCACCTGTCACACCCTCTCCAAATTATCATACCATAATAACATCCACCTGCTACTCGATTACGTAATGTTGCTAGAAGAACTTCAAAGATTGGCCGAGATCATACTCCGTGCTTCTACGAAAATGAGTCCAGGTTCATTTTATATTCTACGTTCTTACATTGAACTGATCTGACAGAATGAAGTCTTTGCAGTTGATGCCAGGTGATGATGATACTAGATTTTGGCCATAATCAGTTTGAGGGGGTGGTCGCGGGGGTGGTGCGGGCTTGGATGCATGTTTATTGTCATAAATTTCTAAATAGGGTTTAGGGTTTAAGGTTTAAGTAACCTGTTCAAGATAAGCATCCAAGTAGGGATAGAAAACTTCAGAAGGTCGGAAAGTGCCACAGCAAAGGGCCATGGCTTGCCAACCCTTCACATTGCTAAGCCTGTAAAAGCATTTACCACAAAGCAAAACTTAAGTCTCACGAAAGTGGTACACCTCATAGTCATTGGTTCTCCAAACGAGTTGCTACAAATGATAGGTATTGACCCTTCTTAAATAAAACTAACCACAAGCTCAAAGGGCTCGTGTAAGTATGCCGTCTTTCCTAAAAACGTCGACTAGTCCGAGAACTGGCAATTGTTGGCACAGATCTCAAATCCGGAATGCTCACCACACCTGTAATACGGCCACATAACGAAGAGAAGATGTCTGCTCATATCGGCTGGGCACTGTACCTGCTCGGATTGGAAGTTGTTTGCTTAATGATCTGGGTAAAAACTTCATCTCGCAAGCCAGCATATTTAATTCCAGCGGATAATATTTGATGTATGTGGAAGATACGTCCTCGTTTAGTGGGAACATCGCCCATGTAAGCCATCAGATCTGGAAAGACAGCAAACGCAGTTAGCGTTTGAATCCACAAGCCAATATTTAGATAATCAATTTTCCTACAAATTTTTTAAAAATTTAGTAGAAGAGACCAGTTCAAAGACCTCCAAATCTCGATAAGTATTTCTTCTGTACTGATACTTTCTCATTTGAAACTTAAATGACCTGTATTGACAACTGTTACTGTGCAGCCTCATTGTTCAAACAAAAATTTACGGCAATTTTGAGCTGCAATGACGGCCTATATGTCATGTCGACATAATCTACAGAGTTATGCAGCCAAAATAAGTTTAGGTTTTGCCTTTAGTAGGCACATCCTTGAATTTCACTTGAAATTGACGCTAAGTCTCGTTGTTTACCACATGCCAATGAAGTCTCAGAAGAACATTTAAATGGAGAAAGTATCAAGATAGACAAACATAGTCTCAGTTCCATGCATCTATGAACTGTAAACAAATATGTGGGCAGGGCGGATGGTTACAGGCTGAAATTACGTGCAAACACAGCCAAAGCTTTTCTCCTCAATTTGGATGGCACAGTCCGGAGCAGTGGTTCTCCTAGAGGTTCCTAGTGAACAATCAAGGGTAGAACGCAACCAGATATTTATGTCAAAAACAAATAGAGGACTTGAGGCCGGTGGTCTTAGTTTCATCAACCAATTTCAAATACAAAAACTCCATATGACCTGTTTCTCTATTTTAGACATCTCATTATTCCGACTTATTCAAAGATTGTTATAAATTCTTTAAACTTACAACGGATATGAACTATACATTGTTTTGCTAGTAATTAGATCGTAAAATTTAATGATCTTGAAATGCGAAAATTCTTATTTGTTGAGGTAGGGCAAGTAACAAGAAATTCCTTTAATTTATTTATTTGACACACATTGCTACCATTAGATTGGGATGCAAACATGACAACGTTATAACAGATAGAGACCAAATACAATACTGCAGCAATACAAACCTGCCAGGAGCTTAAAGGGGCACAAGGATGCTGGCTTGCCTTTGTGTACATGAGTAGTACATCAATTTTCAACCTTTTCCATATGCTCAACGGCCATATTCCAGCTGGTTGCGCCGAGAAGTTCATTCTTGCGTAGCTATCGAATGTGAAGCCGTGAGATCCACTCATCAAAGTTCCAATATTATCCTCCAGAAGAGGATTGAGAACTTCCGGACTGTTGAACCCCGAATCTTGCATACTGTCCCCGTATTGCTCTCCAAAACTTTTCTTCACATGTACAAAGGTAAAACGAGAATCCCTTTTAGATAATTTTCGAATTTAATGAGCAGTGGAGTCTTGTACGTACTATTATCCAATTAAAATGGTATAATTTTACAGCCATGCTCCTATCGTCCTCTCGTTTGTATGCTATGCGCTTAGACCTAGATTATGGCTGACTGAGTTTCTGCACCCACAAGATAGAGAAACTCACTTCGTCATACTGCCCGTACCATCCCCAAACTGCTGGTCAGCTTGAAACTCCATCGGTTGGTCCTGTTGGAGATGGAAATGTTTTCAGTGTGGATTGTAGGACCATATTGAATTGCTAGGTGCAAAGTAGCCACCTCTATAGATGTTGATGATTGAGTAGAACGTACATATTCGACTATATTGTTGGGAAGTTAGAACAAACATTAGAACAGAACGCTCTAAATATGGTCTAAGGTGAGGCCTTACTGGCAGATTTGCACCCAAAAGCATCCATTTTTCAGAACAATGTGAGTTTCCATCCAGCAGATTTCAATGCGGATAAGAGAAGAATATATGGAGGAACATAGGCAACGAGGTAGCTTATCACAAGAGCAAACTTTATTCTGTTCAGAAGTTTCACGAAAACACCTAATATTTCCTGTATTTATATACTGTTAGAGTAAAAGTAGGCGACCATCAAGTAGACTGCCTAATTACAGTTCAGTACTCAAGAAGATGACACAATTCAGATGATTCGTACCTGAGGAGGACTGCCCTCAAGTGGAATACTGGCGGATTGCTGCTGCCACGCTGTAGCAGGATCAAATTCGAAGCCTTGTGACCAGAGGTCAGGTATTCCCATGTTGTTTGGGTCATCGATCACTACGGGTTGTGACATGATGCTGCCAGACATCCCACGGTTTGTGGCGGAAGCTCCATTCAAATCGGATTCCATCGGAGCAGAGTTCATGAAAGTTGCTGTGTCTTGACCCATCTCTGCGTCAGAGTTGCCTGGGAAAGAACCTTCTCTCGCTACTGCTTCATGCGAACCACTACCCATTGCTCTTTGGTATTTATCAAACCTCTCGAGTGTAGACATTCTGCCTGTCTCTTCCAGTGGGTCATTCGGATGGGACTTTACCCAGCCAGCTTGGGCAAGAGCCTCTCTCGGATCAGAAACCACACCAGAAGGCGGAATTGGAAGGGCAACAAAAACTGATCCAGACTTTTTGGAAGCGTCATGCGCTTTATTTTCAAAGAGGTCATTGTTGAAAAAAACGCTCAAAGATTGATCAAAGACAGGGTCACCGGTAACACCAGAAACCTTCGTATTCAAAGCACGCAATTGTGAGGGCCGGACAATCCTTGAATCTTCTAGCACACTTGATCCTTTTTGAACACTCTGTTTTTGCATCAAGGTTGCAATCATAGATGCCCTTCTGGGAGTTGCAGTTGTATTTGTGGACGGGTTCTTCTCGAAGAGTTCGTTACTGATAGGTTTTGCAAAAACGTCTCCTTCTAGGAGACCTTCGACGCTTCCAGCATCTGTCGTAGCATCGGAGCTAGTGTGTCCTTTCCGATGCTTTCTGCGACGTTTCTTCTCTCGCTTGATAGGCTCCTGGCCGACGATCAGGTTCGCTTTTGCAGGGTTTTGTGCTAGCAAGCTCTGTCTTCTTTGTATTTTCATCAGGTGGTCCAGGTTGCCAAACTCATTCTTCGTGGACTCAGCTTGATCGGTAGATGAAGTAGTAGGGTTCTGAGAATCGACTGGAGATTTTTCTGCACGACCGAGCTTCCGTTCATCTTTGTCTGACTCCGTGGACTCCACTCTGACAGGCAATTTTTTAGAATCTTTGCCATCCTGAACTGCATCGCTTTCCGAAACATGTTTCTTATCTCTATGTTTTCGTCTGCGCCTTCTAGACCTGCTTCTATGCTCCTTAGCTTCTCCCTTCCGCGCTGTTTCCTGTCGCGGGAGGTGCTTATCCCTACTGGAAGATGCAGAACTTTGTGAAGACTGCACGGACGGAGGTGTCTGGTGTCCCAGTTGTGGTCTTTTTGTTCTTTTTGGTACTGCTTGTTGTCGATTGCTGGAGGACACAGGAACTTCTGAAGCCTGAATCGGAGGAGCTGTCTTCTGTTGCACATGTGGTTGTTTTTGTTGTTGTGTTGTAGTACTCGAGGAAGTAGAAACTTCTGAAGCCTGGATTGGAGTAGTTGTCTGCTTTTGTAGATGTGGTTGTTTTGATTGTTGTCGTCGTTGTTGCTCCAGCTGTTTTTGATTACTCGAGGAAGTAGAAACTTCTGAAGCCTGGATTGGCGGAGCTGTCTGCTTTTGTAGATGTGGTTGTTTTGATTGTTGTCGTCGTTGTTGCTTCAGCTGTTTTTGATAACTCGAGGAAGTAGAAGCTTCTGAAGCCTGGATTGGAGGAGTTGTCTGCTTTTGTTGATGTGGTTGTTTTGATTGTTGTCGTCGTTGTTGCTTCAGCTGTTTTTGATTACTCGAGGAAGTAGAAGCTTCTGAAGCCTGGATTGGAGGAGTTGTCTGCTTTTGTTGATGTGGTTGTTTTGATTGTTGTCGTCGTTGTTGCTTCAGCTGTTTTTGATTACTCGAGGACGTAGAAACTTCTGAATTTTGGATTGGAGGAGCTGTCTGCTTTTGTACATGCGGTTGGTTTGATTGTTGTTGTTGTTGTTGCTGCTGCTGCTTATTCGAAGAAGCAGAAACATCTGAAGCCCCGCCAGAAATACCCACGCTAGTTTCCGACGTTGCGCCTGACCGGCCTGGGCTCCCGGGAGTAGGCGGGCTACTTTTCTCACTTCCATGTCCATCTTTCCTTCTCTGGCGGTGTTTCCTTTTGTGCCGTCTTCGGCTTGACACACTTGATGTCGATGCATCATCACCCACACTAGCTGTTTTGCCAGAGGTTCCAGAAGAAGATTGACCGAGCGATCGAGGCTTGCTTTTACCAGAAGAAGACTCACTAGCTGTTTTGCCAGAGGTTCCAGAAGAAGATTGACCGAGCGATCGAGGCTTGCTTTTACCAGAAGAAGACTGACTAGCTGTTTTGCCAGAGGTTCCAGAAGAAGATTGACCGAGCGGTCGAGGCGTGCTTTTACCAGAAGAAGACTCACTAGCTGTTTTGCCAGAGATTCCAGAAGAAGATTGACCGTGCGGTCGAGGCTTGCTTTTACCAGAAGAAGACTCACTAGCTGTTTTGCCAGAGGTTCCAGAAGAAGATTGAACGAGCGATCGAGGCTTGCTTTTACCAGAAGAAGACTCACTAGCTGTTTTGCCAGAGGTTCCAGTAGAAGATTGACCGTGCGATCGAGGCTTGGTTGTACCAGAAGAAGACTCACCTGCGGACGTACTACTAGCGTGTTGGTGTGACCTTGATCTCGAAGAGGCTTGATCGTTGGAGCTCTCAGCAGAAGATCCACCCTGTGGATGTGTACTGGATGGTTCAGAGCTCCCCGCAGGAGACCTGGTTCTTGCTGGCGATTGAGAACTCGCTGATTGCAGCGAAATTTCGGTTGATTTGGAGCCTGCGCCTCCTGAACTTCTTGATTGCGTCGATCGCGGAGTTGATGCGGAATTCCCACCGGGGCTCCTCGAACTTCCTACTTGCGGTGATCGCGGGCTTGCAGCCGATTGTCCACTAGAAGACGCCGGACTCTGAGCACGCGGGGTTTCTGGTTTCTCATGTCGCAATTTCGCCGCTTCTTTATTTCCTCTAGATTTCGGTGTGTGTGCTTTTCTAGGTCGTTGGGCAGAAGTCCCAGATCTCTGGTTGCCATCGACGTTTGAAATCGGCGGTGGCGATGGTGGTGGAGGCGGAGGCGGAGGTGTAGGCCTAGGCGGAGGCGGCTGTAGAGCATTCTGCCTTGGACGAGCATTATCAGACATTCTTAAAATGTCCACTCCAGACTTCGCATTCTTTCCAAAGCCAGCATTTGCAGGTATTCCACTGCATTCTGCACACCACTGCCGTAACTGAAAGACATGCTCAATGTGGCTGCCTTCTCCTCTGTCTTAAAAAACTCGCTTCCGAAGCACGACCCTCTCGCACCTTCCTCATCCTCTCGCTGTTTGAGACACTCCGAAGAAGCACAGAACGACCACCGAATAGCTGTCCCATAACGAATCAATTTGCGACGGAATTGCAGTCGTCGTAGCCTGGAAATGTCGCAACTCCAACTGTACAAGCCCTTCACGAAGATGATGACGACGACGCATTTCCCGCGTCTTAACCGTTGAAGCGTTCTCTGCAACGTATTCGCTCCAGCCGTAGAAGCACCTCAGCTCCAGGCCGTTTACGCGCCGCGATGGTACTTGACACAGGGCGGAATTGTGCCCCAGCCGCCAAAATCCTCAAAAGTCTTACTCAAAAGTTCGGGCCTGCTCCTCTTTTCTTTTTTCTATCGAGTGAACGGAGACAACTCCCCTTGAAAGAATGGACAAAACAGTCAAAATCACATCAGATACAAATTTGAAATCCTTCTAGAAATCGCGTCGAACTATATGTAAAATCTCTACGTTGATGATTGTATGCAGTTTGCAAAAGAAAAAAACTAAATACAAACTTTACTTAAATACTAGAATAAAATACTTCTCATCTTAGTATCGGTGATTATCTAGTGTAGATACAAGCTAAATATTTCCAAGTAAAATTTCAAACTAGTTACAGTTTGATTCTTATTTTGAATAGTTTATAGTGATTTTGTCGACAATCAAAGAATTATGTAGCAAAAAAAATATATTTTAAACAAGAACATGATCTCCTTTTGATCGATTTTCATGTTATGTACTTTTGACGAAATGTCATCGGAAGAAAAAATCGTTAATGTAAGTTTATGTAATTTTAGTGAAAGAAATGCAAGATTGCAAGATAAGATATGAATTGTTTTGATTATTATGAAGAAAAATACATCATATTCAATGTTATAATTCAATCAATCTGTGGTTGTACTATATTGAATAAGTACAAACTTTTAAAGATAGAGATGATTGAAGTAATTTGTAAACTCTTAAACTAAGTAGTGATAGCTTTATGGAAATTAATCCAAAGGAATTTATGCATGTAATATAATATAATATTTGAAATCTAGTTGAACAACGATTAATTTTCAAATTATTTGACTGAAGACTATATATATGCTAATACATTTTTCAAAAATTTCAATTATGATAAGATACAAGAATGCAACTTTATACTAAGAACATGCATAGTAAGAGCTTATAGTATAAAAAATATGAGATCACATTTACATATTAATCTATTTAAATGATAATGCATGTATATTGGATATAAATACAAAAAAATTTGAAATTGACTTGATCACTATAGATATTGATTCTGACATGGTAATATGCATCCATAGTCATTTGCAATCTATGTAAAATCTGTCAAATCAAAGCATAACATTTCAAATATTATTATTTATTTATATTATAATATTTTTTGTAATGTCATTAGTTAAATTTTTTCTTTGAAATTTTTTCTGACATTCTTTTCTCACATTTTTATTTTAAATTTTATAAAATAATATTTTTTTGACTTTAAAATACATAAACATAAGAAAATTTTTGTGATATACACAAACTAATTCAATCTTAGCTGCATAAAGATATAATAATTCTATATCAAAATACTATAAAATCTATTGTTTTCAAGATGCAATTAAACATCATAAGCTATTAATTTCTAGATTTTTTTGTGCAAATTTTTTTATGCTTTGTTTTCTTAGCATCATATACAACATCATTATTAAGAACTTTTGAAATACAATTTTATTAAGATAGCTTATAAATTTTCTTATCTTCAGATATATCATGTGCATTTTTTGAAAAAAAATCTTTTTTTTTCACAAGCATATAACACATCATTATGATGCAAATCAGTTTTTCAAAAAATTATCTTCACAGTATTCTCATGTAACATTTTTTTGATATTCTTATAGAATAATTCTATCACAAATATTTGATATTATTCATCCAATCTCATAAATTTTTTAACAAACTTTTTGTTTCGAATATTTTTGATTTCATAGTTGAATAAGTATGAAAAAAATCTGGATGAATCTCAGTTTTTTGATAAATATGAGGATTTTTTGTAAATTTTTTACTTTAAAATATTTTTAATATTTCCATTTTGTACAACAGTATCAATATTACTTATGCAATTTTTAATTCTGATATATGTTATGACATTATGTCACAACATTATTTTCTATTCCTGATAAATAAGCTTAGTATGAACTTGTATCCATGTATCACAAGTTTTTTCAAAAAATCTTCTTGTGCAAAAAATAATAAAATACATTATAACACTACTGACATTAATCTTTGTATTTATTTTTCATACCTCATCTTTTCTATCAAGCTAGGAATTATGTTGTGACGAGAAAGTCTAAATGCATGGAACACAAACAATGAATACAAAATCATACTAACACATATACTCATCATACATGTGGAATTCAACCCTACCGGCTAAGTTCGCGTATCAGATTAAGTTTTACTGGAAAGACACCTTTAAAGGTGACACCAAACTCTCTTATATAATGAAAATATAAATAACTTCACTAATTGTGGTTTAGCTGATATAAGTTAATTCAAGATCTTAGTTAAATCCTAAAAAATGCTACTCAAATTAATCTATAGATAATGATATAGAAGAAAAAAAGACCTTAAGATTATTCTTTTCACTCTTAGAAAAATGTGGTTTGAAATATGTAATCTCTATTTATTTATTCATATAACATTTAGAAACACATCAGAATTATAAACTTTGGATCATGATCTCAAAGATAATTTTAAAACTTAAAGGAATGAATATTCAATACTAAATCATAAACATACTCCTATTGCGTTGAGTAAATGATTAGATATTGAACTTGATTGAATAGCTCTTGAAACATAACTTCATATATGTTGTCATTTTTAAATAAATCATAACCATAACTAAATAAAATAATATTTATATATATATAAAGAAATGCTTTGAAAAGATATAATATCAATTTGAAAGTAACAAAAAGTGATAATTCTTTGATGATGAAACCAATATAAAATGATAACTTCTTGTTGGTCTAATCATCTTACAGGATATAAAACTTTAATTTACATACTTAATGCTCACATTATGACATTTCCAAACAGCTCGGGATGAGATTTTGACCATTCTTTGGAGAACGAAAAACTTAGCTGTATAAATATTACGGCTGTAAACTGCACATCGCCGGGCTAGGATTCCAAGATGAATCAACCAGCAGGACATTATGTCAAGTCGTTGCAATGAAAGTTAAATAAATCAATCATAGTTTCTGAGTGCAAAAGCGTGAATTTCGAAGGTACAGTACTGAAGCCAGAAGGCAGTGTCGGAGGGAGTGAATTTTGAGTGCTCGGGATGAAAGGCTGGGAAATGCCGAACATTTGACTTATCCGAATCTCGAGAAGACGGAAAAGCACCGTTAGAACATTGAGCTGAAGCTCTGTCATCAGATTCTGTCCGAATGTTGGCGACAGAGTAGCGGGTACGGTTGGTTTGTCGATTAGTGAATCGGGGTGGTGCGAAATGCGAGTGACTGAAGATTGACAGAGTTCAGAGGAGGACACAAGTCGCGCATTGCACAGGAAGGAGCAATGGCGCAAGCTCTACTTCTGCCACTACAGAGGGCCGTGGCGATGGCGTCCGTCGTCGCGCCATTCTCGCTCTCGCATCAGCAGCGAGTTGCATCTGCCTCGCGCCTTGCCGTGGCATCATCCTCTCGTGCCGTGCGCCTTTCGAAATTTCAGCTCAATGCGGCGCCAGGTTCTGTGCTGGGTGTGGAACCGGACCTCGTTGAGGAAGCTTATGACTTCAATTTGACCGCTGGAGAAGACAGGGTGAGTTTGCTCATGTTTACACATATCGATATAATTTTGGACGACAATTGTCTTGTCACTATCACTTCATGCTGATACCTTCACTTGAGATCGTTTCAAATCTTCAGAAGATCCACGTGCATGGGACCAGTGTTGTGGAGAATGATGTTCATCCTTGGACTGTGAGTCTAGCTAGCTTCATTGTTAACCATTCATCAATTCTGAAGAAAATTCACGAGCCGTGGGGGAAACTCGAGTGCATTCGAGACTTATCTTCGCTTTGGTTATTTCAAGCCAATGCTGACACGATCATCTACGAGTCTTGAAACAGTCTGGACTTGATAATCAAAATTCAGTGCGCTACATTTTCAACGAACATTTGAACTTTCTGACTCATCTGTTTATTTATGACTGGAATCTTGCTACCTTTGTTCAAGAATCAAATGGCAGTATCGTTGCGGTAGAGGGATTCAAGCTTGTTGTCTTGTTGTAGAATGAGATTGTGCTTTTCCTGGAACAGTTGGTTAATTTGGCATTTTTTAACGTCATAGGAAGACGATTTTCCATTTGGGAAAGCAGACGGGCATCACACTTGGCACAAAGAAGATAACGACGGTTAGATTTCTGTAACCTTCGCTTATATTGCATCAATGTTTAAGTATATCTCACAGCATTCGCATACACGTTGTTGAGAATCAGAAAAATGAAATCATTGCTTAACTTCTCTGGAGTATATTTGCCTCATTTTAACTGATTATCCCTTCTTCGACAGTTGGTTTCATCGAAGGTCTTCAACAGCAGATTGAAGAATCTGGAGGACCCGCAACAAATCCTGCACAAAGTATGTAGGGTTGAAACTTTTCCAGTTCCAACAGTAACTTACACGTCATTTGTCATAGCACTGTGCAAGAGATCAACTCTTTTTTGACTCAATCCAAGCTGAACTTCTTGTTATGATAAAACTTGATAGAGTAGTTGTTCAGTCCAGGATTTCTTTATCATTTAGACAACGAACATTCGACTGATGAGGAAAAAAATATGAGATTTTTTTAAGAGAAGATGTTAAAGGCTTCAGATCCGTGACGTCTGGATCACGTCACTTCTAGTTAGTGTTGGCAGTTTCTGCCTCAGAGTATTCCAGCTACAGTGACATAATTTTACAGAAATTGCACAAATACTTATGCACAGATGTCATTTTGTATCATCAGATCATTGGAGCTTCCAACTTGTTGATGATATCAACTGGTTTTATTCGTTGTCATTAAAATTTTGTGTGGCCCAGCACTCAAACAGAATAAGTAGGTATCTGACTATGTAATTCAATTTTTCTATTTATGCAGATGCTATATCGTGGCTGTTTCTCCCAGGCGTTTTCGCTGCTCTAGCTTTTGGGGCTGAGGTAAGTTCCTCAATCGGAAAGAAGAGTTGGAAGATGGTGATTATGTATCTTTCAGTTTCTTTTTGAAATGCCAATTTGAGATCTTTCGTGATTACCTTGAATACTTTCTTTTGCTGCAACCTCATGTTTTGAAACAAGCCATCACCGGAACAGAAAACCAGGAGGTGTTGTTGACATTGTTTCCCTGCATGATGACGCAGATGGAGTATATATGTGCTGCATGCGTGCTTTTCATCTTTGCGTTTATAGGCATTGAAATGGCCAAGCCAGACAAACCAAGTAATTTCGAACCAGAGATTTCGCGCCAGGATCGTGGTATGAATGTCTCACGACCATCATAAATGAAAATGAAGCAGTAATCAACCATAGTTACCTTTGTCAGGCAACCAGATCAGCTGATGAGAATCTAACAAATCTTTTGAGCGGAGCAGGTTACCCAATAGTCTTTGATTATGTAGCTCTACAACATGTATCAAGTATGCAGGTGTGTTCAATATAACCAAATTATACCCTGCAAGCTGCTCAAAGATTGACACTATGCTCCTGTGGCATCGATGTACTGTACTTCTGTCTACTATGTAAAATATGATCTTTTGTCGGACATTCAACGAGCTTAACATATGTTGTCATTCCCTTTGAAAGGAAGGGAAGATTTCTTTCATACTCACCCGTACACACGCATGGAGGGAAGGCTATTGTTTCTATTCAAGGTTTTTCATGTTCACAATATTTTCAGTAAATCTTGGCCAGAAAATAATCTTTATTACGGTGATGCTAGCGTGAGATAGTACCACGATATTGAGAAAAGATACATAGTAGAATAACTCAAGCTATGTCTGTATCCCATCAATTATGCAAAGAATAAATCAAATGGTTAACGTGTAGCTAGTCTTTCATAACATCCATATAAGAAAAATGTCTTATATAAGATATTTAAATTTTTCGAGAAATAATACAAGCTTCATATGAACTATCTTTTGGCTTACCCCATCTTCTAATTTTTCAACTCAATGTAAACGAGTTGTGAAGCATAAATCATTTACAGTCGAAAGTAATGATAACTAGAAAGAAAATGTGTCTAAGGTTGAACACTGTGATTCGAAATAAATGTATATATCTTCACAAGATATCACAATTTAAGAAACAGAAAGATTACATCTGTGCATATCACTCTACTTTGAAACAGTGCCTGCTACAAATTAGTCATACTCCAAGGGAACACTTGCTGTCAAAAACTGCAAGACATGTTTGTATATTTCCATATAATGATTGATAATTTTGTTCGTCTTTCATTCATTTTTACGTATATTTCCTATATTCACCATGTGAGTTGAATTGAATGGGGTGTTCTCCCTCGGACCATCCTCAATACAACTCATCCATACTGTAGATGATGGAGCTGCGCCTCTCGAGTCAACGTTTGTCAACCTGCGAATAGTCAACGTTTCATGTCAACCGTCCAAGGATTACAGAAGAGACAAGGTTTACAAACCAACTCCCTGAAGGTCAGATCAGTAAGTATCTCCTCGGTAAGTTGCTGAGAGAAAATCAGAAATGCACAATACAGCGTGCAAATCTACAGACTAAGGATTCTCACTTCAAGAAATATAAGAAGTACAGTGACTTATACGAAATTATCATTGTTCAATATAATGTTCTAAACTAACCAACATAATAATTCGGTCATGGCTAGTTTCATTGCACAAGGATTTATCCAGTCGTCGGATTTTATGAAACAGTGCTCCTAGCAGATATTAAAATATCTACTGATCCTCATGCTACGTACATGCTTGTGGTGGTGCGTCTCAAAACTTTGATTGAAGTATTTAAATTGATGGCGGTGATGCTTACCAAGCACGCGATACACAAGCATGCAATATAAGGCAAACTTTTATTTCCGGCTTATAGTCTTGAGCAAAGACTGAACAAAATTCGCTTCAACGCGAGGCGAAATCTTGTACCAATTATGTCCAATTCGGCCTATAGATACGTGGTCAAACATTGACACCAACGGTCCTCGATGGCGAGGTCAGTACAAGACCGTGCAAAACTTGTGCTCACAATGCACTTCCATCATCCAGGGCTGAAGCGGAGAGGGAGACGACATTGCCCGGTTGAAATATTTTACTGAGAGTCCCAGCATTTTCGTGAACAAACTACTAGATCAATATATAAGCCGAAATTCCACCGGAACACAATCGTCTTGGGACTCAGTAGAACGATAAACGGTAGGTCGTGGAATGGAGGATTCGCAAGAGATTTTTCAAGATATGGAGAATGCATAAGAGTACACAGCAATCGAGCTTTTGGATCGTCCATCGCCTAAAGGCTTTGAGTGCTTGGGAACAGGTGAGCCTCGGTCCCCTTCTGCTTTGTACAATTAATAAACAGCTCTGAGATAAAAGAATTACAAATGCCTTGAACCGTGTGTAGACCTGATGTCACTAACGATAAGGGAATTTGGTCTCAAACGTGCGAAACGTTTAGACATCCAGAATACATGATGTGAGTGATTTAAGGAATAAGCGGCCCAAGACTGCACAAGTGGTATGACTTTTGGAACGTGTAGATAATTTTCTGGGTGTTGGAAGTTCCTTCGATCAGAGAGGTTGAGCATGAACTTCCCGCAGATTCCATCGCTTCCGCCTATCTTGAACTCTTAATTTTTCCTATGTTCCAGTTCAATATTGTGGTCACCATGTATATCCTGTGTCAGTGGCGCTCCTAATCCCAGAGAACTTCAACACCAGATTAGTCTTCTTCGCCTTCCCCCACATGTTGGAAACCCAATTTCACCTCCACTTTCAATCTGGAACCATCTGTGAAAGAAACATGATAGTATACACTTACAGGGACGCATATTAAGGCGTTTGGAGTCAATAACAATCCTCGTCAATAAGACGTGTACAGCATGACATCACAAAAAGTAGATCTGCCTCTCAACGGGCGTTAATCCCGAGCGTTTCTTTGTTTTCTTGTATGCCGTCAAGCCCCACAACCTGCAAGGTCCGCATCCCGTCTTAATGAGCAACCATGTTCGCAACGTGAATAAAATGAGGACAATGAGGTAAGCAAGGTAATTATACTGAATCATTGACTCATATATAAACCAATGAAGTTGTCATGCAAAGTCACAAGAGAGGATAAGCATGAAGGCCACTCCCGAAAGCAACAAACAACTTTGTGATTTTCTAGGAGTAGCTTGACATTATGATTACCTATCTTTAAGTGCTGCACGCATGCATGGCCTTGTCAATTTCATACTTGAAGCTCTCCCCTTCGCACCCTTTACCCTGTCCCTTCATCCAGAAAAACTCGAACATCCCCATTCTGTGTTCTGTTCGCACCAATATTTCCTGACCAATCCCCTAAATCCATCACTCTGCCTCTCGCCTCCTAGTGGCTTCACACCTTGTCATCTCTATTTCCTACGACCTATCGCACCACCCACGTCCATATTTCTCTCTGCATCACTCTCAACTACTGATGACAATATAGTAAATATGATACCAAATGATGAAGCTAAACAACATCTAGCTACTCTGCTATACAAATCCAGATATTTGGCACATATCGTTGAGTGTGATAATTGAAACCTTGAAAACAAAGCTTTCAAGAAACAATTAGACATCGAAGAAGATTGGATGGGATCCAAAGCCATGGTCAAGAGCCATCATAGCTTTGGTCCTTAATAGAAAGACACCGTCCTATTCTCCAGATCAACAGATAGAAGCGGCATCAGGTAAAAAAATACAAAAATCCATTTGTATATGCCTTTCAATGCCTATTTGTAAAGATCGCATCTTATTGTCAGGAAGACCATACATTCATACTCAGCTGTAAACGCGTGGAGAAATATACATCAGGAGCCAGATGATATTCAGTTTGCTCAATGTGATGCTCTCTCGAATAGGTAGAGCTTGTAATTACCATTCACTGTAGGAAGACAAAGCCGAACGCTCAAAATCAATAAGATCCTAACAACTTAATCTACACTGCTGAACAGATAAATTTGTTTACTAGATAGTTCGCCCATGAACAAGAGATGCACTACGTCTTCCTCTTCCTTCCCAAGAGAGCGTGGAGGTGAGGAGATTTACTTGGATTCTCAAGGCTCTCCTTTAGGAACCACAGCCGCAAATAGTTGCGGGCCCAGATTCTTCAAGCATGTGTGAAGTTCTCTTAACGTTAACGTCTCCCTGTATACCCATGTAAATCTGGGAGGAAATAAGTCACTGACCCGCACTAGAGCTCTGTAAACGTACAAGATACTTAACGTTCCTGATTAGCATGCTGATTCAATTTACTAAACCTTGTCCTTATTCTGAACTTAAGCAGGAGGTCTGATAAGAAACAATGGACAATTGCCTAAAGCTTTGTCCAACTCTCTCCTCCAATCTCTACGGTCTCCAATGATTTCTATGAAACCTGGACGTTAAATTATGTTTCCTGTGGTATTTTTATGAGAGGCAAAGCGCCACTATAACCTTGAACCACTTTCGTTTACGGACATGTTTATCGGTAGTATCCTCAAGACCTGTTCATGCGCAATGTGTCATAATTCACACCACTGGCATCAAACAGTCTCTCATGACTAGTAACTGAGCATCTTCATACCTGATTGCGGTCCATATGCTCGGCCGGTAACTGGATTGAGATAAAGCTAGACCATCCCGCTGATAAAATGTTGCAGAACAAAATTGTCCACCTTGATCCGGATTGCATTCACAAGCCCAAGTTACGGGATAGTGTGGATACAGAATGATCCACCGTAATCCCACTATCATCTCCCCTCTAGCGAACGAACTGAGTATCCACTTCAGAGGTATGCTCACTGTCGTCAGAAGACTAAGAACTGCGTATATTCAACCTTTACTGACAAGTTAGCAGCAAGCAGCCTTCAGGAAGTTGTCATAAGGACTAGCTGGAGGGAGTCGGAAGACTTGCCAAGGTTCAGGGGGAGCTGGTGTAAGCCAAGACGGGCTAAATGACACGGAGTTCAGCGAATCCTGCTTTATCAAAGGAGCACTTTGAGTGTCAAAAACATCGGGATTGTGATCCACACTCTGCGCACAACAAAAAGTAGCAATGAAGAAGGTCAGGAATACTTTGGTCGTCAATATCAAGAAGCTCGCAATCAAAGCATACGTGATAGCGTAGATACACAAGGAATCTCGACAAATAAATGTCAAGAACGTATAAATAAATAAATATGAAATCACAGTTGACACAGAATGTTGTATACCTCTGTGTCAAGCTGACAAGAAACATGGATGATTCATTGAAACGAACGAAATCTTTTAAAAAATGAGTGTGGGCAACTTCGACCTTCAAAGACGAGACTCGAATACGTAAGCATCACTTAAACAGTGACACAAATAAACGTCATTTGAGAAATTATCAAAAGGATGCTCACCGTATCTTCCGGACCGTGAGCTTGTGGTTGATCGTCATTGAAAGAAATCAATGCTGGCCAATCCTTGTCAGGAAGTGTTAAGCGCATAGAGCTACACTCGGGATCCAATCTCAGCACAGAGGACATCTTTCTTCGGCTTCCAACACCGAATGCTTCGCACTGACTAGCCATGGCACTGTATGACAAAGGAGAATCTGGTATTTGAACACAAGCCACTTGCCCTGCTGTTTGAAGAGCCTGCACACGCAAAAATCTTGTCACTTTGCTGTTTGCGATTGCATCGACGAAGAGGAACGTCCTACAATGGGGGTACATAGCGATATTAACATTACCGCTTCTAAAAGGGCAGTCACGCCGATAGCGTGTTGAACATGAGCAGGAGTAGGAGCCCAAGCAGGTAGTCGGAGTAAGTCGCCACCACCCTCATTTAGAAGTTCATCTTCATATGAAGCGCTTGTTCGAGCTAATATCTGCATGACGAGAGAGACAGAGAGATATATAACAGTTTAAGACCTCGTCGAGCATGCTATAGAGAGCATACTTAAATTTCGAGATATATAGCAGTTTAAGACCTCGTCAAGCATGCTATAGAGAGCATACTTAAATTTCGAGTACTTCATCCAGCAGAAAAAATCCGAAGGCAAGATGTACCTCCTCGAACGACGTGGACTCTCCAGAACCGAATCCACTCTTATGAGGCGCCTCTAGGTACAGGTGAGGTACTAATCCTTGAACGTCATCAGCACAGAAAGGCTGAAGCATTTGGTCTGCGGATGATCCTTCAGACTGCCAAAAAAATATATCAGTTTCAATGTTGAGAATTGAGAATTGAGAATTGAGAATTAGTAACAAATTCAGACTGCAGTTATAGATGTGAACGACAAGCACAATTATGAATTCAGTTGGCGAGGGATAACTTACATCGGAAATAGGAGCACCACTGTGGACGATGAGAGCAACGAGAGCTTCAGATGTCTGGTTGTGAGCGAAGGATATGCAGGATAAAGACCTGAGTGCTTCATGATCATCCGTAGCTGATCCATAATCTTTCAAATTTACAGAGGAAGCTGCGACGACTTTCAATCTGTTATCGTCTACCAGGTCCAAAAATGGATCTTTCTGCGGATTGACACATTCCACATTTCGTTTCAGAATTCCACCGTGACACGCTTTAAAGCCTTTCGATGCTCCAAACCTTTACTCATTTAAAAGCACCAAATAATAAAGAAAAACGCAACAGTTTGCACCGAACTTACCACGGTACTTGTAAGTGTTGCCTTAGCAGAAACCATAACTTGAGGAATGTTGTAAGCACGTCCAGCAAATACAAGCATTGCAGTTGCCAGCATAAAGAGCGACCTGCGCCTTGACGGTGGTAGCTGATTGTCTGCAATTCTCAAAAATCACTTAAGTTCAGAAAAAGAGAGAACGAATTCATTCTCTGATTTAAATCAGCAAGTAAAAAGACGCAAGAATATACTTTGCAATCGTTCGACACAAAAAATAAAGTTCAGGATCGTACTTTCCGAATCGTGGGCCAAATTCCTGATGGAGAAGGCCAACTGAAAGGCACGTAAAATAGTGCTATGGCTGGAAGTCTGCATGAATAAGATAAGGAAAAAATAACTATCTCCGTTATAAAAGTTAAGAGAGAGAATAAGAAATGTACAACTGAGTATCGCTAAGACAACCGTGTAATTGGCAGCAGGAAGCTTCCATCCGTACCGACAAATGACAACACATCTGCCCCTGTTGCTGGTATAAGCAATAATAAAAACATATTTGTTCCTGATCAGAAGTATAAATCACCTTAGCACGGGAGAAAAGAAGAACGAGCATGTAGGTGTGAGCGATGGCTTCAAAGTTTGAAGGAAGATTATCGGGTAAAGTAGCTTGAAGCCAAAGGGTAGACAAGAGAAGTGCAGCTTGATGTCCACTAAGCCTTACGACTGTCATTTCCTGTACATATCCCACCAAAACAGGGGTCAGCAATAGATTATACAAAGTAGCAACTGAAACCTCAAATGGTCCGTAGTAGGAAAAAGAAGTTACAGTCAGACGGAGTGATGAACTTACGACATCTTTGAAGCTCTTAGTGGACCGCCGTGGTTGTCTTGAAGGAGACCGATCCATGGGCGTTTCTGTCGTACGATCCAAGCTCATTCTAAACCCAAACAAACGATTTGGGCTAGCAAAAGGATTATTACTCGTATCCTCACCATTTCTAATGGAGCTCATCTTCTTCAGTTCTGCACCTTCTCTGCTCACATCGTCATAACCTGACTCTGGCTGAATCTCTCTATCCCTAAAGCTAGTGGAAAATCCATATTTATCACTCCTCAATTTTTCAAACAAAGCGGCAGCAGAAGAGAAGACGGATGACGTCCTTGCTAGCATAGTGGTAACCTCAGGCACAGTTTGCAAAGCGTCTTGGTCATCAGCTCTAGTTGTCGCTATATTATGACTGGGTACTGCTAAGAGAACAGCTAGGATATGATGAGCCCGAAGACGAGTTTCTACGTCTGAATGAATCATCGCCTGTAGAAGTTGTTGGAAGAGCGCTTCTGGGAACAACTGCAGATTCAAAGGTTCACGTCAGAACAGGTGGAAAGGGCTAAAGATGAGCTGAAATAAACAATTCACTTGTCTGCAAATTAGACAACCTCCAGATTCAAAAAATGTGTGATCTTTAGAAAGTACTTCACTATCACATACTAAAACTGTGCATCTTTACTGAGAGTAAAGTACCAACACAAAGTGCGAAACGGCTACTGAATGTGATGATCCTAGTCATATACCTGCTCTGTATACGACTGGTCTGGAATGAATGAAACACAGCGTGCCAACACGGACACAGCTTCGATTGCTGATCTTGCCACTGAAGGGCTGTTCGAAAGCTTTTCCAAGTTGGCAGCCATCATGTCAAGGACTGGACCAGCATCACCAACCTGATTGACCGACAAGGAGTAGGTTAGAGAGCAATGTCGGCGAGATGCGTTAACATATGAATCCAAGTCAAGAACCTGATGGGGAAACCATTTCGTACCCTCTTTGCAAATTCTGTGAGGCTGTCCTCAAGTGCCATTTGAAGGGCTTTGTGCTCCTCCATCATGTGACGATGTGTAAAATGAGTGGCATCTCGAGTAAACAGGATGCTTTTGCGCAGATGCTTCAGTAGGTCACTCATAGAGCCGACATCTGAAACCGTAGCTTTAGCCTTGGACTGGCGTGCCAATGTTCCAATGACCTCGACAATATTTGTTTTCAAAGCAGGTTGATCAACCACAGACTTATGATCAAGATGTCTTACCAGCACGGGAAGGAACAGCTTCTCATTTCCTGAATATTTTGAGTCAAATTAAAAGAAAAAATCAAGTTTAATTCTTGCGTGAAAAACATATTGTTTTCAGCGCAAATTATCTAGTCAAAAGACACCACAGAATGATCAAAACTGTAAAAGTATTGCAGAAAGTTGGTTGACGTGGGGCCTTGGAAAAGACCTAATTACTGTCCATATACTCATCCAGTTCTTCTACGATCGAAGTTTATGCAAGGCTACTGCAAAGTCTGGAAACGTGATAGTTTAAGTAATCAGGTTACAGACAACCACACGTGAAATGTACCTGACTTAATCATGTTGAACTGCATTTCGCGAAGAACGGGTAGAGCAAGCCCTTGTTCCGGTGACCAGTGACTTCCTCCATCAAAGTACTGGAACATGGGTTCCATAATTCGCCTCACTGTGGTAGCTTCCTTTGCTAATTTAGCCAGGTTTTGCACACATATTTGAGACCAAACCTTTGGTTGCTCCGACTCCGTGCTGCCATTGAGCAAGGATTTATGTTACCTTCTCAGAATCAAAATTCTCAAACTTAAGGTGACAATTTAGTCGTTCAAAAATCGACATTTCAATTTTATTGCGAAACGTTAGACCGCAGAATACGAGTAAACTCAAAGCGAACCTACTGTCATTGACTGAAAGTCGAGAAATTTTGAAACCACCGTCATGCGTTGAAATGTCGACTATTAAAGCCACCGTTTCATGAGACCTAGATATAATTATTATACCATCTTTTCAAGCCAACGATCATTTTAGCTCCATATCAAAAGGTCGATCACAATCAAGAAGCAAACCTGGTTAGAGTTGTAGGGTCCTTTGCACGAGCATTATCTTTATGCGAGTACAACTTAGATATTGCTCGAGTCATGGCAGAGACAGCACCTCGGCCTTCACCCTTTAATACCTTCACCCAATTGCTGTCATCGTGTGGTTCAGCCCTTTCCTGCAACTCTTGTTCTAAATCCGCGATATCTGCGTCGTAGTTGTCCAGGACAACAGCCACAATCTGCACGTCCCAGTTTCCGATTAGTTATCTTAAAGTACCAAAACTTCACGAAATCAGTGAAATAGTATATAAGGCAGTAACACATCAAGAAAAATATGGTTTACACTGGACAGATCGCACAAAAAGGAGTTGAGTTGACATACATCTTCAAACTCAGCAGATATGTGTGAGTATTTGCCCATGAAGCTGATCTGCGACATTTAGTAAAGTGAAGAGGGTGAGAACTATCAATGGTATCAGCTTCGAGAAATGACACTCGCTTTTGGCGCAACCAGACCTTCATAAGATTTTCATGTTACTGAGTTCAGCAGATGCCACAGATCTACAAACATCCATGAGAGTATTCTGTAGTTGGAATTTTGGACTAAAGACAAACATACTATACCATAGCGGAAAGTGCATGCAAACCCGCGGCCCGAAGATGATCCCGTTTGCTCTCATCTCCAGTCTCACGACTCATTGCACACAATTTCGGGAGAAATGCGTCCAAGTTGCGCAAGTACGTGGAATCCATCTGTTTCCGAGAAGTAAATTCCTTCTAATCAGAACTTCGTATAGTTAAAATGTAAAAATCAAGCAAATCGCCCTAGCCTTATTTGCACAATTGCTTCGATCGGGTCGGAATTTGTTCTCTCCGTAGAGAGATTCACGGCCTGTATTACCTGATTTTGCAAGAAGTCCACGAGAGTCTGGCAACCCAAAACTCGCATTTGATCATGTCTTACTTGATCTAAAAGCGCCTTGATCATGCTCAAACAACTCGTTGCGAATAGCGGCCTGCATAAGTTTCGTGTTAGCCTCAGCAATCCTGGGGAAAGACATATGATGACAACACCTTCTGGCTCGCGTGATGAGTGCTATCTGTAGCGTGCGAAGGAAACGTCCTGGGAGCTACATAATTGCAATTGCATACATTCAAAGCCCAAGGATCCAGCCTGTAATAAGAGCAGAAAGCTAGAGCGATTGGCTTACATTTGATCCCGGCAAGCGGAAAGGAGTTTGCTGTAGGTTCGCATCACTACTCTAACAGTTCCATAGTGTTCACCTCGCAACTCCTTATAACCTCGTTGTTCCAATCCATCAGCAATCTGCAAAAGGTCTGATTGTCGTCAGGACGATAGGCGATCTCAACTGCAGTGTCCAAGGAAACTCGCCGTATTACATGGCAAACTAGAGCTCCGATTTCATGGACATTGGAAGCGATACATAATAAACAGCCCTTAAATGCTAGAGTGGCCGTCACATGGTACTCAAGTACAAAATTGGAGCAGATCAAGGACCGACGCATATCCTCGTCATGTCAGAAGTGTTGAGATTGTGATAAGAAGGAAGACAAAATTAGCAGCTGTAGCCCCCCGTGCCATATGCTGAGAGATCACGACTGACATTCATCTGGCTGGAACTATCACGAGTCACAAGATAAATTACTGAACTCGATACTCAACGCAACATATACTTGAGGAGAATGCCTATGGGGATTATCATGATTATCGAAAGTACACGTAGACGAAGCTCCGTTAAACTAGGACTTGAGTCTGCAGTCAGCGAGGAGCGTGAGAATAGAGAAGCCATGTTGTTTTGAGTCCAGTAGGAAAGCTGATCGCCTTACTGCCAGACCCAGACACGACTTAATCAAGAAAACCCTGTGACTCTTACTACGACCATAATCTCGTATCCAAGCTTCTGTTCCATAGACTCGCAGACGCGATTAATTTTGAACGCTTTTCTGCGCCTCCATCATTTATACGACAAACCAATCAACCATACGCAGAGTACAGGCAGTGATACTAGGGGCGACGAGGAGCATTCCAAACACGTTCATCGCAAGGTTTTCTGACTGCATGAATGCGAAGACAGCGAAATCCCAGCCTTAGAAAAGTTTCCCTGTTAGGCTAATACGCAGATGATTTGAGAGTTCATGATCTGCAGAGACAACCCAAGAATAACATCGCCTCGAAGAATATGGGGAGAAATAACACCTTCGGAATGCGCAACGGATTCTTCGACGCGTACTCGGTCAACTTTCCAATCTTACGATCATTAGGCAGTTCATCCTGCAGGCAGAGGCACCAACGATGAGCATAGATAGAATCCTCCTCTGCTTCGTGTGCAAATCTACCTGTTACCACTGGGTACAATTCGCTACCACAGGCAGCACGTTCAACATGAACTGAAAGACGGTAACCTCGGATCCATTGAAGGAAGATAGCGGACCTGAGACTTTGGGAAAATATCTGCCATGAGCTTCTTGTAACGCTTCACCGGCTGGCGAGATCTCGCTCGCAGCTCAGGACAGCATATGCAGACCATGCCGCATGCTGGCAGGATTCTTCTTGATATAATCCCCATTGCTACGAATTTCAAACCGCTGAAGGGAAATCTGGAGTCAAACCTGAAAATTAACTAAACTAACCAGAAACGTGAGAGGAGAAATGTAGAGAAGGCGGGGAGATTGTGTCTGGAAGAGGGAGGTCGGGAAGAAAAGAAAAACTACGAGAAAGTCTAATTGGGTGAAACGGAGAAAGAGCAGGATGAGGTGAGGGGAAGCAAAGTGGGAAGAAGAGTGAAGCGAGTTGAGGAAGAAGACGTTCCAGTGGAAAAAATTCCTGATTGAGCTGCTACTGCTCCTAAATTAGACTACAAAGGCTCCTCGCTTTCCTCCTCTGCCGTCCGCTTCGATCCGCTTCCGCCGATCTACGCAGACCTGTCCTTCTAATCCAGCCTTTGGGGTCTAAGAACCGAGGTATTTGTCGACTGGTTGCTCGCCGCCTCGTTTAGACCGCAGGTTCCTGAGAGGGAGAGACAATCCAGCAATTGCCACATCCCAAACATTGCCTACTGCCTCCGCGCGGCGTACTTCTCCTCCGGCCTACCTGATCCCCATATGTTCTACATTCTCTCGCCCCTCTGCAGACTCCTCATAAATGGCAGGGCGCAGGAGGAGGCACAGACGGATGAGAGGAATGAAGGAAACACTACCAGCGTCCGTGACTGCGGACATCAAATAGTAAAGCACAATTCAAAGCGCATCAAAGCCGGAGCCAGTGAATTGAGCTGCGATCCAGAAATTAGGGAAGTCAATACGCAGCATTCTCTCTCTCGGCACCCTCACTCCGACGCGCACTACCATGCACAGTGGTCAAATGTACACTCACCAAGCTCTTGAGGCCTCGGGCTCGAGCACCACCTCGCCGGTCCGTCTCTTCCTGTCTCTCATGGCTGACGGTTCCAGCCCCGCCTCACCGGGCGACCTCTCCGGCGCCCGCGGCATCCATCCTCCCATCCATCCCATGTATTAGTCCTCCTTTCCCGATCGCGCCCCCCGCGCCAACCTGTCCTGCACGTCCTCCCCCACGTCCTTCCCCGACTCCGTCCGGCCGAAGCACCTGCGGTCGGGCACGAAAGCTCCTCCGCCACGGAGGCGCTGCCGGTCAGTCTCCGCGTCCTGCTCCCTCCCGAGAGAAAAGCGGCACCCCGCGAGCGGATGGAAGTACTCCGTTGTCGTATCTGCCACAGCCTCCTCTCTTCCGAACTGGACTGCAAGAGAACAAAAGGCTCTGCCTGTCTGCTCCGGCCGGGACTGCTACTCTGGTCAGAAGTCGTAAACTCCTGCCACCTGTTGTCGTTATGGGACGCGCGGGATGTTCGGCCGTCTCCGGCTTGTGTCGGTCCCTGCGATCGACATCCCTCGCCCGATCTTCATCGGAGCAGTGCGGCCTTTCCATTGGCCCATTTGACTCCTTCCCACCGGCTAGTAATGGCACTGTGGGCTCTTGAGAGAAAACGGGGAAACTCGAGGTCAAGGCTCCGGCGGTAGATTACAATATCCTGCGTGTCACGTCGGACTCGCCTGTCTGACTGTAAACTCGACACCAATGCGTCGGTCTGTCCCAGCCTGACCGTCACTATTGGGAATCTAACCATAGTCACAATCATTAGTTCCCTGAGCATCTGTCAGTCCCAAACTGCCATCATTCGCATACTTCCAGTATTAGTGCTGTACGTCCTTCCGACTCCTCTGGAATACAGATCCGGTATACCAGACCTCGTATCTTCGCTTCCAAATCGGTCAATATTCAGTCCTATGTGATGAGAGGGAGTTTCTCAATTTCACTTTATCGACCCTCTAAATTGTCACCCCTTCAGTTTCAGAGTTTCCGTGACGCCCTCATCGCCGTCACAGGCGTGGACTGTCTTCTAGATGCTCCGCGAACCGGGCATGAGTCATGACACGGGGGGATGTCGTTCGATAGAAGAGTTCGTTTAAGAACATAACCGCCGCGGTGTGAAATCTGTGACGTGTTGATCTCAGTTAACCTTGACTGTGAATGGCGAAGGCGGTGCTGGCTGGAATTCAATGCTAAAAGTGCTCATATGCATCTGCAACCCAAGAGGGCATGTGATCAGGAGCTCATGCTGCGCCAAATCCACCTGTCGTCTCACGAATAGACATCGACAAAGCAAGTCAGGCATCTGATGATCGATTACGCTACAGTGGTTGTGCACTGTCTGAGTGCTGTCGCAGATCTAATTGCATTGTCAACATGAAACCACCAGCTCGTGCACGGTTTTTTCCTCTAAAGCTTGGAATTCCGGGCTCTCGCCAATTTCTTCGCCATTTCGGTTTCACTGTCGCTCTGAACTCCCTCGCAAAAGCCTGCGCAGACGCGACACACTGCGTTTGTGTTGCATCCCAGTGAGATTGACAGTGCATCTGCAACCATTGGAACTTGACCGACAACCCAGCGGTTACCATATTTCCAAGCGGTCCAGTTCCATGCCCTCGGGATGCGTCAGGTAAGTTGGACACGAAAGGGAGTCAAGTAGACGGTACATTCGAAAGTGATGATCAAGTAAGTTCCTGAGGGAATTGACGGCGATATTGATAGGGAAGAAATCTATAGTAACTCGACTGGGCATTCTTCTGACTCTCAACGTGCATCGCTATAAATCTCCATCATACCTGCCTTGCGGTTTCAATTCTGGCAATCTATATCGAACGATGGATGTGCTTTTTACGGAAAGGGACAAGGCTCAACTACAGAATGTAAGGCTTACGAATTAGCTTAAACTGCTGGATACGCCTTAATGTTTGTTAGAATTGTGTTATTAATCATGGATTTTAACCATTCAGCATTTTTCTGCCATAATTAGGTGTAAATTATCCTGTTTACTGATAGAACTTGCTGATTGGCTGTTCTGGGTAGGATAAATTTTGAAAACGTATTCACGCAACAGCAGATTTGCGAAACAACGTACGTTCACACTCCTGTATGTAAGTACTATGAAGATCCCGGGATAATCGAACTGACCTAGCCACTTTACATATCACGTGCGAGATTCGCAGATGGAGAAATTCGCCTCTTTGAAGTTGAGCCGTCCAATTTGACATATCAGCTCAACCTTTAGAGATCCCGCGCAATTTGGATATTTCTGCGGGAATCGCAAAACCTTTCAAGTTTGCGATGCTGCTTTTTATTAAAATTGAAATTCCCGATGCTGCTATAAAAGCTTCAGTAAACACGTTCTCTTCCCTCTTGTGAGATAAAAAGTTATTCAAAAAGTCAAATATACCTCATGCGATACACCATACCCTCGTACCCCATTCTCACCACCAGTTTTCACCCATGCAAATCGCAGATGTCGAGATCATGATTATGCGTTCTCACCGCAATAAATTCCACAAAAGCAAAATCGAGATACTGTCCACTTTATTATTGTTTATTTAACCTCATAAAAAAATTCCTTTGCGAAAACTTTCTTTTAGGTCTGAAAAGATGTCTATGATATTTCAAATATAAGTTTACATGTCCAAGAAATTTGAAAAAAATGTTATTATCCAGCAGGCGTTAGAGAGATTACTTCCATATAATTCTAGACTGAATGTTAAAATATAAGTAACAATTTGTATCAACTATTTAGGAAAAGTATTGCACCTATAGTTCCATATATAAAATATTATATATATGTCTTTCTTAATACTATGACATACTAGGTTCAAATCTATCTTGGTTTTATCTATGTTTCAAACGACACCAATTAGTTACAAAGTATAAATTTGTTACAATGCAAGGATTGTAAAGAGACTATATAATTGAAAAGTTATAAAAAATATATTTTTTATTTGAATTTTATATGAATAGATTGACAAGAATAAATAATATTTTATTAGAAAATGTGCAAAAAATTACCTTTCAGTATATAAATTTGTGATTTATAGTCATATATATATATATATATATTCATTTCATGGTACATATGTTACCTCATACGAACTTGTGAGTGTTATAAAGAATTTTTGGATTTTTTGATATTTTTAAATAAAGATAGATTAATTCAATCACATATTTGAATAGAATTCATCTTTCAGATATTATAATGATTAAAATTTTCTTCTTGTTTGAAGAATTTATTCTCTAATAGTTGTATAATCAGGTCATAAGCAAAAAACATAAACACAAGCTGTGAGAGTTTTGTGATAATTGGATTACATTGCCTAAATCGATTTCCTGTTAAATTTCATTAAAAAATATAGCTAATATTAAACCTACAAAATAGTTTAAGAACTTTTTCATATCACATATACACTATACACTCTTATAGATAAACTTAAAACACATGCAAAGTACTTTTGACCGTTCTATGTATTGCACTATACAACTATCGGTTATGCTACACCTATTTGGAAAAAAATAATAGAAACTTGATACTTGAATTGTGATATATTTTAAGGTTTTCTTTAGGACTTGGTGTTTTTTTATTCATTTTAGACGTTTATACATTATGTAACGTTATCATATAAGAAGGTGAAGAATAGATTTTGATAACGTCCTTTTTATTCAGTCAAAAGATTGCATTGTTTAAAACAATACATGACTTAATGTGCGATTGAACCACTTATGAACTAATAAATAGTTAAAATCGTATTTGAGTCAAATGAGGATGTAATATACATAGCTAATATCTCAATAGATATTCAGTCAGTATATAGATGCATGGAACAGGTACAGAGTTGTTATATTAGGAAACGTGAAACAAGATTATCACTATATATTACCAATACATGTGCAAAATATCGAATTTCGGTTCACTCATTCTTCTAAATCATTTTAAAAGAATAAAGTTCCAAATCTAACTGTTACAAATTTAGTACTTTAGTCTAATTGTAATATGAGCAACTGTATCAAAAATGTTTTCATCTTTCTTGTGCATTTGGATTGGAATTATTAGTATTGTTATAACAGGACATTGTGAAGAAGGGAGTGATACAGCAAAGAAAGATCATATATCTATATCCTCATAAACAAATAAACAACGCTAATTAGTATGAAGGATGAGGAGCTGTGACATGATTTGCAAATTCTCTCATCTGTTGGACTCTTGCCTCTGCAAGTATGGGAATCCATATAGCGGAGATAATAATATGCTTAAACCATTTTGATTGGAAGAAGTATCATTGGCCCTTGTAGATCGCTCAGTTTCAGGTGTTGTAGTAATGTGACAACAACCTTATAGAAAGTGATCTAGTAAAAATGTGGAAATGTCAAGCATGTGTCAGGATGGCCGAGTGGTCTAAGGCGCCCGACTCAAGTTCGGGTCTCGTGAGAGGCGTGGGTTCAAATCCCACTTCTGACAGCGCTGATTATGTTGTCAATTTCATCTGATTGTCATTATTTTTCCCCAGCGAGGATAATTGCTATGTTCAACCTGAAGTAAGAAAGTGTGATTTGATTTTTCTCATTTACGTTTGCGGATATCTGATAGCAAAGTCTCTTGTAATTTAGGTCTTGCTTGTTAGTTGATCTTCTTCAGCGTTGATAATTGCTCACTTCATCCTGAAATTAGAAAGTGTGATTTGCTTTTTCTCATTTACAGTTGCGGATAGCAGATAGCAACTGTAGATAGCGGATAGCACAGTCTCGTGTACTGAAGGTCTTGCCTATTTCATGGTACTTTGTGCACGTTCTTTGCACAAGCCAGAATTCATTCGAATTTTTCCATCCCGAGTACGCCCGTATCTGATTGTAGTTTTTTGTACTTGAAGTCTTTCAGCCAACGTTGCCAATTATTTCTTATCTTTCAGCCATGAAATATGATAGACTATCATCAGACAGAATGACACCTAAGTCCCATTCATTTATCATACATTACAAATTCAGAAAACTATGTGATGTTATTTCTTCATGCTAGCTTGGGATGGACGACAATCATTACACACCAAATTAGAATTTAGTGCACGTTTAGACCTCTCACATATAATGTCATTGCTTTTGTAAACGATAAGTTTTCTTCATTTACTGTTCCATTTTATTGATATAAATTGATAAGTCACTCAATTCTAAAATTTCATCAAATCCAGGAGTTTGAACTACACAATATACTGCTCATGATCTCCACTTCTTGTTTCCAAGAAGATAGTTGTATCACTTTTGTAACAATTGTATCATCAGCCATGCTCTCTTTTACCGCTGAAACATATTGTATGAACTGACCTTTAAAGTAATTCTTCATTTTCTATGTGACTTATCATTGTCAAAGTTCGTGTCTTTCTCAAGATGTTCATGATGCATGCTGACGAAGTGGTATTAATGTTGCATTCATTGTGATATATATGTCATTATCTTGCTATGGAAAAAATTAAGTTTGACGTATAAATAAACATTGTAGCTGGTTGCAAACTAGATGTTACCAAGAGTGCATATATCATTCTCTTGCTTCTCAACATCAAATAAATACTTTATATCTTATCTCGCCTTGGGAAATGTACGGATAGTGGGTATGTAGAGAGTTTGTACATTATTTTCGAAGTTTATCAAGAGCCCAGAAAGCATAAATTTCAATCCCAAGAATTCCTTATAAGAAGATCCGCGAGTCTTGTAAGTGATCATATGTTCTTCATATCAAGAATTATCTTAATGGTATCCTCGGTCTTAATGGTATCCTCAGTTCCCGTAACCGTTTTTATGGAATCCTAAGAGTGCTATGTGTATTTATACTCTTACAAAGGATAACCATGAGTCTAGAAGGCAATAAACGAGTCCCAGAAACGCTTTTTAAAGAGAACTGTAAGTCCATATAACAATATATAGTACAGGAAAATAAAATGACCTTCCGATTTCTTAAGGCATCAGAAAATGTTAATAAACTTGAAGAGGATCATTTGAATCCATTATGCAGTATACAATTCAAACAATGTTACAGACAATTTGCAATCTTGTCAGGTATAAATAGACTACCCTTTGAGTCCATAAGAATATATTTCAGTTTCAATAACTATCAAGAAGAGATTTTTTGGAAATTCTCTAGATGATACTGAGCAAAGAAGTCCAGAAGATCTTGACGTAAATCTAACCAACCAACTTTTCTAAGTAAAAAAGCTTCTTCTCAAAGTAATTATTATTACAAATTAACTACCAGTACTGTTGATTCCTTAGGAGCCCGTGGTATGAATCTTAACATAACATTTGAAGCTCACTAAATAGCATATAAGACTTCAAAGTGAAAGTCAACACTTGACGTTTGATCATGTGTGAAAAGTCTGAGCATTGCTCAGAGGTGTTAAAACTCTGAGCTTTACACACTGTTCAGAAATACTTCGTCTACTCTTGTTATTCCTGGTATGAAATCAGATTGGATGTGTTTGACACATGCATTGTAATTCATTGTAAGTACTGTACTTTCTGACTGTCCAGCCTTATGTATGACGTGATGATTATTTTGTCACTACCGATACCTCTAATTGCCATAGTCATGTTCTCACAAGCCCAAGTTCACATTCCGACATCTCTTTCTGTGCTATGGCGTGATACAGGATAATGATCTTCATAGTTCCGCTTGAGACCAAGGCCCAAAAAAAACCGATATAAATCTCCTTGCTGTGACAAGCTTTTAACCAATTTATCCGCTTGCAATACGTCAGAACAGAATGAGAAGCTGAAGGTCATACAAATTTAGAAAACGATGACATTCCGAAGGTTGGTGGGAAATTTCCCCATCAATCTCCACTGAGCGACCTGGGCAATGTTCAAATTAACGTGATCGAAGTCTTGTTGATTGAACAACTTGCGCATCTGTGAGATCATTACAAGTCACACTGTTCGAAAACTCTGGTAACCTTGCCAGGGAGGAGATAGGAAGTCATAGAAGTGGAGGTTCGATTCTTCTATTATTCGGTGGTGCATGAGATCATTCAAGATTGATCACCGAGGTCTGCTTTCTAGTAATTAGGACCTGCAAGTGTGGGTTCTATTTTTCTATAATTACTCTGTTTCACGTGATGCAGTCTAAACTTCCTTGCAAGTATTACGGCCCCGTCGTCCGCCACGGCGATGGTGTGATCACCTCCCGAAAGTGCCAACTTTATCTGGCCATATTTTTTTTTCTCCTACACAAATTACCAAGTAATCCTACCTATGACAACGAGCAGCAAGGCATAGGGTGGGACAGTTCAGCGCGGAATGCAATTGCATATGATTCTATCGCTTGGTTGATCCAATTACATTGGCTGTGCAATATTGAACTATAAACAACTTCAGGCTTATATAAGTTCAAGCCCCTCCTCTTAATTTATTGGTAATGCGGCTCACGGCTCTGGTAATGCACGGTCAGGCGTAGAGACATAAGATCTAGAACATTTCTTGGATAGCGATTACTCTCAACGAAGAGGGTTGTCAGTTTAGAATCCTGTTGCAGAATTACTTGGTTCGGGAGTTACACTGACTAGATAGCTGTTTCAGACGTTGAATTGTTCCACATTTCATACCCATAGGGCACATCCTTTACGGCTGGGCTCTTTAAGTATTTGGGCTCTTTTCGATGCAGAATGATGCTACTCACAGATCTCTTGGCTGATGAGGTGACATCATGACAAAATTTTGAACCTGAGGATAATTCTTCCGGCCCTGGATCAAACCCGGAACTGATAATACGTGTGGTCTCCTAGGGGAGACCATCTATCATGAACCAAAACAAAACTCGAATGATTAACGAATCCGCTTAGCCAAGTTCGATGCTCTTGTCTTACCTTGCTATCCTCCTTTGGAAACATTGCAACTGTTTACCCATAGAGCATGTGCCAACAACCTCGTGATGGTCATAGATCTAAGAACTTCAACTTAAACAGCAATAAAATCCAGTTTCCATCACCAATAGGAAGGGCGACTCTATGGTAATGGTAATAGACCAAGCCCGGAGGACCCAAAGGGTCAAAAGGCTGAAAAACACAATACAAGAGAAAACCACAAACAAGGGAAAATACCCCAAAGGTCAACCCCTTGCTAGTGCCAAGAGCACTAGAACGGTAACTAATAATGATAACTACGAACTCCACCTGCAGTTCATATATGTATGATGGAGTAGACCACAGCCTTACTGCACGTACCAGATTTCACAGAGGTATACACAAGTCCACTACAACTCGCCTCTGACGACGTTCGGGATTCAGAACGAGAGACGATCAAACACATCTCAGTGATCCTAGAACATTGTAACACCGACAGATAGTAAAAATGGAAGTGGGGAAAAGAGCCAAAAGTTATGATCAAAACTCGATATTACTCGAAGTACATTTTAACGCCGGATACTTTAGGATTGGAGATAGTCGACAGCAGGGAAGCTCATCAAGCAGGAGTCTGGTCTCCAACTAAGCTTTTAGTCGATTTCCTCAAGGTCTACAACCGCTATGCGAAATTCATTCTCACGCCTTCGTCAAGAATGTGGGCAGATTTTGTACTGCCAGTACAAGGGCAAAAAACGAGAGACAATTGTACAAAATAGTAATTAAGGGCTTTCTTCCTCTCTGAATATTACGGAAAACTGTGGAGAATGGTTCTGCACGTATGATTCTAAGACTGCACTTTTAAGCTACTTGCACCACCCAGTTCAATCTATCCTCCGCTTTCCCCGTCTGGATGTCTGTCAGTGCTGTATAAAGTTCTTGCGCAACACCACCAAGTCCTGCATTTTTGTACTTAACGCTGCTCACACACAATCAAGCACTCGGTTATTTAATCTTATAGCCTTAACAACAATCACGGCAACTTCTTACGAAAGTCATTGTTGGGATATATTCCAGACCAACTCTCGGTGGGCTTTCATTATGCATGGCAGCTTACCGTTTATCGTTGTATGTTACGCTACCGACGGGGTTCACCACGACGGCTGTGCCAGTACAAAATACCTCATCGGCCTCCAAAAGTTCATCCACAGAAACTGGACGTTCCTCAACCTATACACATGAGAGATATTAATAGAACATGTTCAAAGCGACATATTCATCGGATCGAATGGTAAATGGTAAATGGTAAATGGTAAATAGATCAAGCCCGTGGGACCCAAAGGGTCAAAAGGCTAAAAAACACAATACAAAGAATCCAACACCAAACAAGGAGAGAACCAAAAGAACCCCCTAGCTAGTGTCCAAAGCACTAGAACGGTAACAAATAACACAATAAAGTTCACAGAGCCACTAAACCTCAAGACAGCACACTGCTAAATTCTCACAATCCCATCATGTTGATAGCTACAGTTGACAAAATCCAGATAGCAAGGACAGTCCTAGAAGAGCAAAAAAAAATTAATCGTACCTCGTACTTCAGATTACGGGCAAGCTCAATTATGCTCTTTCTGGTAATTCCCGGCAAAATAGTTCCTCGGAGCTCAGGAGTGTGTATCCTGCCATCCTGGAAAACGAATGAACTTCTGCAGCTCAGAGGCCATATACAAGGGTTTGGCGCAGACCGATAGGGCTAATAGGCATCAAGAATATTCTCCAAAGTAAGGTGTAGCGTTGCAGACAACCCCTCACTATGGGACACTGTTTATCCCAACAGACCTGAATCTACTGTGGAGGAAAACCATGACACATGTATATGAATGACATCTCATTCACTCCACACTAAAACCTTCTACCGATTTGCAGTTAAATGAACGAATCCAAGTAAAATTTAACGGACAAATATAAGTGGAAATACTCACCTTGATGATGAAGATATTGCAAGATGACACTTCCTCAACATATTTGTTTTCTACCGCGTCCAAGTATAAAACATCTGAGTAGCCCTTGCCTTTAGCAAGAAGCTGTGTCTTCAGCACCTGGAAAATGTGAACCAAAATTATATTAGGGACCTGATAAACTGAACTCAACAGATGGCCCAAAAAATAAATTCATGTGGAGACCACATCCACAGAACGATGTCCGATAGGATTCGAATCCTACCGGAGCGTAGTTACCAATCGTCTTCACTCCTCCAGTACCTCCCGGCGCTGCTCGATGGTAATAGTTATCAACTTTCAAATCAATTGGTGCCAATCCTCCCTATTATCACGAGCGATGCAAAAGTGAGTTCATGCTCATCACTAGCGAGAACGAGTAACCTAGACAAATCACGTCGTAAATCGGGCATAAAAGACACGTAGTATACATAGAAGCATATACATGTAGCTTCGTATTGCTACAGCGAGAATAGCAGGAAACAGAAGCTAATAAGCAACCATACGCAAGCTAACAGAGTCCATATCTCATAGATTAGAAACGGTACACAGCTGGCTAAATGTTGGCAGCGATTAATTCTTACCTTGAAGTAGTTTCCAACGGGTGACACATATATAAGGAACGTGTATTCCGGAGCTGGAGCCAAGCCCAAAACAGCTCCCGAACCAATAAGTAGGGGCCGGATGTACAAGGAGCCCTTACCTGGTGGAGGGATCTGTAAATGCCATTTATAACAAAAAAGAAATTGCAGTCAATTCTCTCAAATTGAACAGAGAAATGGAGAACCCAAGGGTTGACGAAATTATGTGTCTGTTGAGATCAAAAGATAAACCACAAAATAACACAAGGTGACCAACACCTAGGAAGTAAGTCGCACATGATACGGCAAGTAATTATACTATGTAGCAAACAGGCTAGAACATTTACCCATCGCTTGTTAGCAATTACTGTTTGTTTCACAGCGTTGACAAAGGCATCCACAGGAAGTGCAGGCATGCTCAGCCTATCAGCCCCATTGATCATACGCAAAGCATTCTCCTCCGGTCGGAACAAAAGAATACGCCCATCAACAGTCCGATAAGCCTTCATGCCTTCAAATAAACCCTGTAAAGGAAGAGTCATATTGGTCCTCACAGTAATCAGCACATATTCTTACTACTTTTGTTATTGTTTCATGAAAATATCACTGTCCTGTCACAGTTGCTTTTTTGATGAAAAAAACAGAAGATATCAGAAGAACTAAGTACAGAAACAGTAACTTTGAAAAAAACTCTGACGCGTGTCATAGCTCATAATTCTTTCAATAAATAGCACTCCAAGATCATGATATGGTTCAGTTTTGTAGGGTAGACAAAGTCGAAACTGGACATGAACAATGTCGATGTGACTTACCTGACCATAATTGAGAACAGCAGCAGAAGGGCTAAGCTCCAAGTTCCCAAAAGGTTTCAACTCTCCCTTTCCCCAGTGTCCATCATGTTCACATTTCATTACATACATGGCATCCGTTGGGCGAAGTCCAAATCCGAAATTATCCCAGTCCACGCCTTCAAGTGTTTCAACATTACTGCGAACACACTCAGTACAAAACAGTTAACCCAATTATATGTAATTGTTTAAACAAGAGCGAAAACACAATGGATACTAAGACTATCTGCAGAAATCTCTCCTAAGCGCTACTTGCGGCATTCCGAATCACCGTCCCCGGCCATTTAAAAAAACTAGTTCAGAGCGGATTCTTTCCAAAATGCTTGAGGTCTTCTATATCGTTGAATGCATAACATAGACAATGTTTATCAGATTTCGGAAGGTAAAACTCACTCCGAAGATACAGCCGTGGCTTCGGACCGAATGCTGTTGGTTTTTAAGGTTCGACATCTTGATCCCCACACACAAAACTTGTTATCTGCGGATTGCTGTACCTGTGACAAATTACACATCAAGGATATATTTAAGGTGAGGACATCTCATATACTCTATCGTCATTCTTGCTCGGAAAAGATCGTCAGGAATCATGTCATGCTTCCTGCGGTTTCTGATAACAAAAGCTGAAGTGTCCACACGCATAATAAGCCTTCAATAGAAACAAGCTAAGAAAGTACAAATCAACGTGGTCGACGCCGTAATTCAACACAGGTACTTGTGTTCCACGCACGCAGATGTCTTGATGGAATAAATTTATCTTTTCGATGAACAATAAAGAGTGTTTCCAATGGGCTACGAACATGTCAGGCCAGAGCAAGATTTGCTCATTGAAGACATCGCGCTCCGGTTCTAGTGGAAACCGTCTTCGAAAAACACAGAGCAAGACGAGTAGTACCATCGAGAAACCTTACCACATAACCAGACGGCCAACGGGGCGAAGCGGGAGACGAATCCCTGTCCCTGTGAAGACCTCGGAATGTATGAGGGCGAAGTCTGGGCGACTGGGCAGCTCCTCCCATAGCGCGCCCACTCTCCACAGCGCCATCCCGCAAGGCCAAATCGGCAGTAAACACAAGCTGCCTACAACTCATCGCCATCCTTGTACGAAACATACACGAATTCACCTGGCCCTCGCCTTCTGCTCTCCTTCCCTATACCAGCCCGGCAGTCCCACGAATCTCAAATTCCTAATTTACAGGAAACCCCTCTTCACAACACAAAGCAAGGCAGAGAGGGCAATGACCGCACAAGGGAGCAATCAAGGCACACATCCACTCACTCACTGGTCGGCATACACAGCGACAGTGCAGGGCAGTCAATCATCACAGAAAGCAAACAAATCTATGGATTCTGCCCTTCTGTACGGTACGTTCCTACTGCTGGGCGTTTGAATGAGTCTCAATTTAAGGAAGAAAAAAAGGGAGAGGGTGAGAGAAGAGGGTCTCACTAAGGGGACCGAACGGAATCAGTCACTGCATAAAGTGAGTGAGCAGAGGATTCGTCCTAACTAATGCTGTCTTCTCCGGCAGATGGTGGGGATCCAACGGGGCTGGCGCTTAGTACCCACCGCTTAGTTCTCCTCGATGCTCCTCCACCTTGCTTCTGATGACCTTTTCGCCCTTGCACGAGCTCAGGACACGGACGTCGCTGCTGAACCCGAAGCTCTCTGTCTCCGGGACTCTTCCTTGTCGTCATACCGTCTTATCTTTATAAGAGTACACGCCCAACTCACACAGTTCAGTCCACTAGATTCTCTCGCTTCCTCGAGCCTGGGAACTGACATGGAAGCCGGAGCTACCGTGGTGCCTACGGGAATATAAAATAATACAGAATACCGTGGTGCTTACGGAAAAGCAAACGATCATCACATTTCCCCTTGTTTTTTGACGAGATTTGGTGTAAGCTTTTGAGGAAGATAGAGAAGAAGCGACTAGTAATAGAAGTGGATAAATCGATTCCCTCCGGAATTAATTATTCCCATGTTGATACCTTAAGAAAATACATTGTATATTGTGAGTGAAATCCACGAACTTGGAAACATCATAGTTTTGTTGACGTTGAAACAATGCTATCGACCAAAGTTACCTACAAACTTTTCAGTTACTTGGAGGTTAGGAAGCAGGTCACGCAAAGATAGGCTAGTAGATATTTACTTCATATAATAAGAAGCAATATCTGATAGGGCTAGATTTCGGTGGGCACTTTAATGATCCTGTTAGGACATAAAACATGGGCTCCCATTTGGGGCCATGACCACAAGATCCACTCAATCTTCTCAATTACCATTGAAATGTCATGCCAAGAGTGGAACATCAGAAATAAATATGCAAAAAGTATAAATATTAAGAGCTTAGGTACGATTTTGAACTCTAGGGGTATGAACTAGGGGGGGTTCACTTCTTAGTTCATATTGAGAATTTAGTTTCAAACGTAGCTCTTTGACATGATTGCTGATCTTTTTTGAATCTTTAAAAGTGATCGTGTTTTACTGTTGACGCAGAAGGATAAGATACTATTCGTGCAGGTATGGGTTTCGTGATTGATAAAATATAGTATTAATGTTCGTTTCGTTCCAAAACAATCAATGTTTCATGATTGATCGGATAGGACTATAAATTATGGAGTTTATTGAATTTGAAGAGCAGATTATTTGTATGATTAGGGGCTATCTAGAAGACAGGTAGTGTTATGATAAAATTACAGATATTATAAGTATATATTTTATAACACATTTTTATTCTATATAATTAATTTGTATTCTCAGACCAAAATGTAACATTACAAAAATGGATTGACCATATTTAGTTTTCTAGAGTGTTAGTAACACAAACTGCATAGTTTCATAACTGAGGTAATCATGAATACGAATTGGAATGCTTATTATCTTAAGGTAAAATTTGTGGATGAAAAAAAACCTGTCTATTCTTGAATATCATTCCACTATAAACATATAACTGATATTTCTTCTTATTCTTAAACTCGTAGTTAGCTTAAATACTGAAATTAAACTCACACGTTGAAGAATTACGCATCATGATCAATGAGTGGAATTTTTTGAATAAAAATAAAATAAATTATTTGGTAAAGATAAATTTACAATATTTGAATCTAAAGAAGTAATCTAAAGCTATTTTTCCACATAAATTATAAGAAAAATCTCACAACCAAAATTTTCTTTGTATAAAATAATTGAAATAAAATTCATTAAATTTCAAATCAAATGTTCTTTTGAAATTTTTTTAAATTTTCTACAAAAAAAATTATATGCAGAAGAAAAAATGTATCTCATCAATTGTAGTTTTTTGTAGATTAGTATAAGGTGTGGGCTGACAAAAGAATAAATTAGTTTGAATTAAACATGAAAATTTTATCATTTTCAATTCAAACGTCAAAAGAAAATATTAAAAAAATATAATGAAAATATTTTTTGAATAGAATCATAATTAAGTGTTTTCCAATGTGTCAACTTGAAGTTATATAATTTATGCAGATTGATGATTGAGCCAAGACTTAATCTCGATTCATACTTTATAACTCCTTATAATACTAAAATTATGAAATATCATTACAATATATTGAATCTAATGATTATATTCAAAAATTAAATGAAGGATCTAAAAATCTCAAACATGGTTAAAAGAAAGTATCAAATGAATCATCAGTACATTTTTGGTTTGCATTGTTCAAATTTTGCATCAATAGCAATGTAAATTGACACTGTATGTACTCGAGTATAAATTTCAAGATGCCTTTGGACAAAATTATGATAAATATCAAGCATTGATTTTTCATTGATCAAACAAACATTTAAAAATTAAGTCAGATCATTATCTAAACATTTTCATTCTCATAGCGAATTTATTTTATTGGAATTCAAAGAAACAAATTTATTTTAATTTAAGTCATTATTAAATAATATGTGTTTAGATTTTGACTTGAATATGTATTTTTTTCATTAAAATCATTTGACTACATTAATTTTAAATATTTGAAATTTAATATAATTGTACATGTCTGTATGAACTTCTTGTTATGTTAACTCTATCTTGGATTAACTCCAGTCAGTGGTAACCATAGTTAGAAAGTTAACTGTGGTTATGTTAGATTAGGTTAAATTACTTTATCTCTTCTTGTATAATAGAAAATTAGACTCTATATGCGTAAGATAGCAATGAGAGAATGAACAGTAAGTAGAAGCAATTGGCTATGAAGGCAGTGTATACATCGAAGCTTTAGTGAAGTTTTTGCTCTTGTCCGTGGACGTATCATGTGGAATGTGAACCACCTTATCTCGGTGTTGTGATTATCGTGCGTGCTTATCGATCTGGATGTTTGGGTCTTTCAATTGGTATCTGAGCTTTGTCATGTAGTTACGAGTCGGCTCACGCAGTTTAGACACTTACTATATTTAGACGTGAAGTTAGGGTTCGGGTCACGAGGGGTATACAGTCGGGGACGGCTCGAAGAACGTTAGTTCTTCGAGTCGAGCCTGGATGCGTTGGGAGCGTAGAGTGACTTTCCCCTTTGCGTCGACCTGGATTCTCCGAGTGTGGAGTGGGTTGGGCTTGACTCATGTTTGTGACGGTGACGGTTTGTTGCCAGTAGGGTAATTGACCGACGGGAATTCTAGTGGGGAATCTCCCGTCTATTTCACTCGAAGAACTGCTTGCACCGAATCCGTCGGTGTTTATTGTCAAGTTTTGTTCGAAGTTGGTTTGATGGTTTCGAGCAGTAGGCCGTACCAGAAACAACGCCCTTTTTTTACAGACGGTGGTGACTTCTTTGCTGCCGTAGAGTTAGTGATCTTAAGCTTTTGGTTCTGAGCATTAAGATGGCAAATTGAGCTTTCTCAAGAGATTTGCAGAGGAGTCTTCGAGCGTTTTCTGAACAGCGAAGTTCTGTCTTGCGAAGGTTTGCTAAGAGGCCACTTGACCAGCGTCGCGAACGCCATCAAGGCACGGAGATGGTGTAGTTTTGTAGCCTGTGGGATCTGGTCGTGTGTCCCGTCTTTCAGAAGTGATTGTGTGGGACAGAACCTGATTCTATTCACCTGTTTACGTTTACAGTGGTCGATATAAGGTTTTTTCGGTTTCGCTACAGAGCAAAGGTCGGCAAGTACGGGAGGTCGTCGCGTAGCCAATCCACATATCTTCGTTCTTGTTTAGGGGTCGAACCTGCGTTAAATGGCATAGTATAGCTGGAAGCGAGATAACGAAGAATCTCAAGGATGAGAGATTTAGGGTTTTAGGGATTTAGATTCAATTCGAATTCTGTGAATTTGACTTGAATCCAAACTGAAGAGCGAATTCGAATTGAATTCGAATCGAATTCAAACTGAAGACCAAATTCGCTGAAGAACTTACACTCGCCGATCCCTGCCTTCGTATTCTCATTTTTTTTCAGAGCGATCAGTGTGCGAGAAGAGGAAGGATTGCTCAGCGATTGCCGCAGATATTTTGGGTTGGATTTCGGTCGGGTATGGGCTCGTGCTCGAGGTCTTAGTCCAAATCGCGAAGCGCGGAGATGGTGTAGCAATTGTGATCTGTTGGGTTCGGTTTTTATGGTAGGGAATCGGATTTTTCATGAAAGCATCTGCTGCGTAGTTTCTGTCCCTTTCTAGTGGTGCTTACCTTCAAGAGAGACCAATTGCCTACCTGAGATCACTCAATTACAACCTGAACGCAATACAAGTTCGAATTCTAGAGGCCGATTCACGCGCCGATATCAGCCCCGCTACGGACTGTCACCGTCGTCATTCATCTGTTTGACGAAACAGTAGACATATTTCGGGAATTGTGTAGTTTTGTGGCTGGGCATGTGAGGGGTTCCTACAATCTGGAGGAGCAGAAGAGTATTCCTTGTACCTAGGAAAATTCTGGAAGGGGACATGGTGCTACATTTATTGGAGTGAACTAAGTTCAGGCAACGAGATAAGACAGTGGTTGAAGGCCATCTCCTGGAGATTTTCACTTGCAACGGGTTTTGCAAGGTAGCAAAGATGGAGTGCTGTAAGTTGGCAGAACTTTGAAGAGGTGAAGCGATATGCCGACAAGGTGTATTTTCCTATGAAGGGCGCAAAGATGGAACTCTACATCTCGTGGCAAGCCTTGGTTGCGGTATGAAGGGAGCTCTCCCATGATATTCACACTGGTATCTGTGTTTGCATTCTTCTCTATACAGATGGAATTATTTTAGCTCTTTAGCTGGAGTGAAGAAATGCCCCCTTTGCACAAAAATTCCTTCACCTTGTTTCATGGTTTCTCTTCGTAATAGCATTCATACGAATCTGTCCAAAAAAAAAAACAACAAAAAAAAAAAATAAAAAAAAATATACAATTGTTCCAGGTCTTACAACTGCTGTAAATAGATTTCTTTTTTCTCCACAAAAGAAGTATTAGAAAGGAAGTGGTTTTTCTACACAGAAATATCACCACGTCAGAAACAAGGGAACTGAATCTCACCAATTTCTTGGAAGGTGGATGTACCTTGTTTGCTGCGTGAGACAAAGAAAACTTCAATTATGCGGGGTACAGCTATGTGAGTAGGCGTTGAGTAATTATAGTCTATTGTTTTTTGGGTTCAGTAATACAACTGATCAATACATGACTGGAAATGAAGTACATCAGATGTAGCAAAGACAAGTTTTTTCTAGATTACTGTAGTTAAGAAGACTTGTTTCTTGTGAATCAA